TGGCATTAATCAGAATATAGGGCAATAACTGAGATTTGGAGATTATATAAAATCAATTAGATTACAAAAAATACAAATGGTCTTTCTTTGCTTCTATGAGAGCTTTATGTTCCCTCGAAGAAGTAGTCATGTTAAGTTCTTATGGGAGTTCGAATTTGGGAAGCAACATGAAAACATCTGAAAACATACTTTTTCAACTATGTTTGGATTTACTTAAAATGTCAAGGATAGTTCATATAGAATACAGACAGTAAAATCTCATAGAAGTGTCAACTGCAATTGATTCCTTGGAGTTTTCAATTTCAGATCAGCCATAAGTTTTCTGTTATTGAACATTCACTTTCTAAGATATAGCAGTTTGTTGTTAGACTCTGTAAAAGTCACTTCACCCAGCATTCATTCCTACCATACATCATTTCTATCAAAACCTTCTTCATATATATGTTCACTACATGTACATGCCTGTTTGCTTTAATCATTGTAAAAAACAATATTTTTTGCTCTATTTTGCATTTTAATATATGGCCACCCGCAGGATTTCTCCGCAAGATTGTAAGTATGTGGTTAGAACTGGCAGATGGGAGACTGGCTGCATATGGGGATAAAATACAATTGATAATTATAGAAGTTGAAAGCTGTTGGCAAATTATTAGGATGTGACTAGAGTTCACTTACAGACAACTTACCCATGGAAAAAGCTAGGGTTTAGTTTTGTTTTAAGGCAAAATAGAGCAGAAAATGCATTATTTTGTTAGATAGAACAGGTATGTTATCCAGACTGAGTAAATTGTAAATAAACGCTGGATGCCATGTGTTTTAATACAGGATATTAAAAAGTATTCATGAGGCAAGAAACATTTTATTTCCAAGTTGTCTTCAGGTGAAGCCTGAGAGTGAAACACAGAACAAACTTCAAAAGATGCAGCTCTAGAATTTAAAAAACATAATCATTGCTTCCATTCTGTTGTGGACATCAGAGGAATATAAAAATACAGAACATAGTATATTTGGAAACCTCTAAATTACAATATAACTGTTGAATATACATAGAAATCATTAGGATTAAGATCAGACTGATTTTGGAGATTAACATTTCTGTAACATCAATATAGTACAATACACATGAGGTGCTCACCAATCCTCCAATAATGTTGAACAGTTCATGTGGAGTTTTGTTGTGATTAAATACAGTTTTTGGCAAATATCTTACAAGCTCCCCAAGCTTTGGGTGATTGTTGGACTTGAATCAAACTTTAATGTATTTATTTAAAAACATGGATATATAGTTGCATGAGTGTTAGTGCACTGGGATTAATAGTGGATTATACAGTAAAGCATTGGGATTAGATCAACATCAAGGATTATCAAACTTCAATATTGACTTTGACAAAAATCTCAAAACAATGATGGATATTTTTTAAGAAAGACATGGGTTCAAAGAATGTTTCTGAAGATGATGTTTTTATGGAGAATTCAGATCACTGGATAAAACAATGGATTCATGGTAATTATGAATGCTTGTTAGGATCTTTTATTGCATGTTACTACTGTAGATGTTATAGTATTTTCCAGGATCCCCACACATATATAATGTGTCATTGAAGTGGTTATATTATTATGATCATATGATCTTTTGAAATTAATTGGAATTAATCAGATTTTGTACTCTCTTGAATAATCATTTACTGTATACAATTATTGACCTCTCCAGAGGTTTACTGTCAAAATTATATCCCGAGACTGTAAACCGAGACCGTAGGTCGAGGTTTACAGTCGAGGGATATAATTTTGACAGTAAACCGAATGGAGAGGTCTATAATTGTTTTGTTAGTCCGAAGAATATCTTAGATTTTTCTGACCCTTGAAGTTGACTTGAAGTTGGATCCAGACCCTCGAGACGTTCATGTTGTATTTCAAACACAATATTCCTTACATCACTTAATGGAGTCAAATTACTCTCCTGGGCGAAGTCCACTAAGATTTTTCTTCGTAATTTGACTGTCTTTACTCTCTAAGAGACTAATAATATCCTCATCTTCAACATTTTTGAAACGGCTAGTGCTAGCGGCGGCCATTTTATCGTCTGATAATGACGTCATTTTAGTGGAATGCTGGGAATATTATTCACCGGCAATGCATGCGCGGTGTACAGTTAAAATTATCCATCGCTCGTTGACCAATCAAAATCGAGTATTTCAACTGAGGTACTAACAATATTCATTATTTCACAAAAATATATTAAATGCTTAAAAATAATATTGATAACAGTAAAGGCAAAGGCATAAATGATTAGATTACATAGATTTACTTATGTGAGACTAGTGCCCTTATATAAGAGAGGTTTTCTGACAGCCTCAAATTACCAGACTTGACTCTTTACCTTAGTTATCAGATGTTCTTGTAGCTGTGCGCCAGACTATAAAAGAAGCAAAATTGACACATACTAAGGTTCAGTTACATCCTAGGATTAAGAAAAAAAGACGTTACATCTAACTATATCTGCTCTTCTTCATTTCATTTATGCTAAATTAGCATTACGATGTGTGAGGAAGACGTTACATCTAACTATATCTGCTCTTCTTCATTTCATTTATGCTAAATTAGCATTACGATGTGTGAGGAATATACAAGATTGAATTGAAAAAAGTATTTGTATTGGGAAATGTGCCTCTTCTGATGAGGGGGAATTAGGGGTTTTGATTAAGAGATTTTCAGATTGCCATCACTCTCGAACATTTTGCAGTTTTCATGATGAATTGTATGCTTACAGGAATCAGCAGCTCATTTTTTATATGAATTCAGATATTTTCATTTCAGGATGTGTAATTCAGGCAGAAAGCAGCAATGAGAATATAATATTCCATATGAATGATATCATATGCATTAATATTGTCTAATATTCTGATATATATTACCCCCATGGTGTTTGTTAATTACTGAACTATACCTCTATATCAGCATCTAAAGTCAGGTTTTGCATATTAACAGTGAAAAGACATGGAACTTTGCTATTAAGAAATGTATAATTGCAATGAGAGTGTTGATTGGCAAAAGATGGCAGCAACGGACCTATATGTAGCTTTGTTTATATTGAGAAATGTATTGCATTGATAATTTTGACCTTTTGACAACCTAGAGTTACGAAATAATCTATCAAAAGATTTTGTAGGGCCTCATTAGTAGGGCTTTTTGGGCATTACTTGGGCTTTTGGGCCTTATTTTTTAATTTTAGGCCTTATCAATAAATGGGCTATGAATTTTCAAAATTTGTGCCCAATTAGCCCCTTTAGATCCCTTTACAGTGCAAAGGGAGTTGGTTCAGAGGGGGGAAAAGCGGGATGGGGGGGGGGGTACTGAGGGTGTTACAAAAAGCTGGCTACAAGTATGATTATTGCAATATGTTTGAAGTTTATTTGAGCAGTACATATATATTCCATTTGCTCCCTTCTTTTTTAAAGTTTGATATTCTCATACCACTTCTCATGGCTACAGTATGCTGTTTTTTGTGCAGACTTGTTCTCATCTGTCTTTCAAATGGTTTCATATTTCATTTCTACCAAGAGAATTCATTCTAATTTATTTGCTTATTTGTATATGATTGATAGTATGTCTGTGATGTCAATGTCATTGATTGACATGAGTGAGCAAATTGCTATTGATTTGATGTACCCCTCAATACATAATGTGCTAACCTTCGTAAGACTAAAGTCTCAAATGGTCTTGTTGGTTTGGATTGAGCAAAATGAATGGTATGGGTAGGGAGGAGGGGGAATTGGACACTGATTCTGTACATGTAAGATCATCATTTATTTAGGGTGTAAGGTTTTGCTATACTCCTTAATACGTATTGTTGTTTATAATTGTAGGTCTGCCAGGGCTGGGTAAGATGACCAAGGCAAGTCACCCAGCCAGTAGCAGTGGGGGAAGCAGTAGCATAAGTGACAAAATGACCTGCTATACTCCTTAATACCTATTACTGTTTATAATTGTAGGTCTGCCAGGGCTGGGTAAGATGACTAAGGCAAGTCACCCAGCCAGTAGCAGTGGGAGAAGCAGTAGCATAAGTGACAAAATGACCTGCTATACTCCTTAATACCTATTACTGTTTATAATTGTAGGTCTGCCAGGGCTGGGTAATATGACCAAGGCAAGGCACCCAGCCAGTAGCAGTGGGGGAAGCAGTAGCATAAGTGACAAAATGACCTGCTATACTCCTTAATACCTATTACTGTTTATAATTGTAGGTCTGCCAGGGCTGGGTAAGATGACCAAGGCAAGTCACCCAGCCAGTAGCAGTGGGGGAAGCAGTAGCATAAGTGACAAAATGACCTGCTATACTCCTTAATACCTATTACTGTTTATTATTGTAGGTCTGCCAGGGCTGGGTAAGATGACCAAGGCAAGTCACCCAGCCAGTAGCAGTGGGAGAAGCAGTAGCATAAGTGACAAAATGACCTGCTATACTCCTTAATACCTATTACTGTTTATAATTGTAGGTCTGCCAGGGCTGGGTAATATGACCAAGGCAAGGCACCCAGCCAGTAGCAGTGGGGGAAGCAGTAGCATAAGTGACAAAATGACCTGCTATACTCCTTAATACCTATTACTGTTTATAATTGTAGGTCTGCCAGGGCTGGGTAAGGTGACCAAGGCAAGTCACCCAGCCAGTAGCAGTGGGAGAAGCAGTAGCATAAGTGACAAAATGACCTGCTATACTTCTTAATACCTATTACTGTTTATAATTGTAGGTCTGCCAGGGCTGGGTAATATGACCAAGGCAAGGCACCCAGCCAGTAGCAGTGGGGGAAGCAGTAGCATAAGTGACAAAATGACCTGCTATACTCCTTAATACCTATTACTGTTTATAATTGTAGGTCTGCCAGGGCTGGGTAAGATGACCAAGGCAAGTCACCCAGCCAGTAGCAGTGGGGGAAGCAGTAGCATAAGTGACAAAATGACCTGCTATACTCCTTAATACCTATTACTGTTTATAATTGTAGGTCTGCCAGGGCTGGGTAAGATGACCAAGGCAAGTCACCCAGCCAGTAGCAGTGGGGGAAGCAGTAGCATAAGTGACAAACAGAGTGACCTGCTACATCCCTATGGGTCTGAGGGTACAGGCAGCTCTAGTGGCAGAAGACGGGGTCTCACATCATCTGAGGTAAGAGGGACAGAACATATTACATTGGTTTTGGTTTTTCACTAAGGAGTCACAACTTAATTTAGGAATAGAAAAGTTTCTAAAAAAAAATTTCTGCAAAACATGGCTATCAATCAATCCTGATATGATTTAACCAGCTTTTTCAAACTATTGAAAGCAATGGCGGATCCGGGGGGGGGGGGGGGGGGGGGGGGCCCATGGGGCCAGGGCCCCCCCTCTAAGTTGGGCCCAGAAAAAACAAAAATTGGGCTCAAAAAATTTTGGGCCAAAAAAGGCCTTCAGGCACTAAAAAAAGGGGCTTTTTGGTCATTACTAGGCCTTCTAAGGCCTTATTTTTTAATTTCAGGCCAAATTTTGAAGAAAATGGGCCTCAAATTTTCAAAATTTGGGCCCACTTTTCATTTTTTTCTATGACCAACAATTTGGGCCCCCCCCCTTGTTGGTTCCTGGATCCGCCACTGGAAAGATTTAATAACGGTGCTAAAACCCTTTAAGACATATTCTTCTGTGATGTTTGCTGTTTTCAGGTTTTTAAACGTATCAAAAGTAAACTGAAGAAAGTAAGTCAGTTAGATAAGGCTTGGCTTTTTCAACCAATCAAATATTAACCCTGAGGCCTGGAGGCTATGTAGTTATTACAAGTAATTGCAGATGAAGCAAAATCATGCAACTTGAAAAGGACATCAAATTTTGCTTATTAAAGGTTGTCTATTATGTACTGTTAATTGCCATTCCAGCAATCAAATATGGTATAGAACACAATCGCAATATCATGTCTCAAAAATGATATTAAATCCAGAAAGGTGATTTGAAAACATGTGGTTTGTTACATGCTCAGGTGGTAGGCAGAGTGGTAGCCCACGTTACCTCGATCTTCACCAAGTACACACATCTTTCCTGCCATTAAATGTTAGTTTTGAAAGTGCCAATTTTGTATTTTTGCAAGTAGAGGTAGAAATGATAACAGTTATTCTTGGAAAGTATATGATTATATCTGTTTTTATGACAACTGGATCATTATTGACATTCAGGCAATGAAAAATCTGCAAAACAAACTGAATACAGTTGTAAGTATGAAGTTATATATACCATAGTTATAAGAATGCTTTACGACATATAACTTATAAACTCATAACATGTCACACACACCTATCTGCAATCTGATTGATCTAGCATAGGAGATTCATTTCAAGGATATTTCAAATAACTGAAAGAGTTTTCAATGTTTGTTTTATTAAAATGGAAACTATATTTTATGTACATCTTACCTAGCCCTGGTGTACACCCTACTTTCACACCTAGGGTAGCATAGTAAGAACATCTAGTCGTAAAGGAGTCATCTATGAACCAACCAAATTGCAGATAGCTGTATTCATTCAATTTTTTTTATTTATTTTTTATTATGGGTAAAAACTTGATGAGTGATCACCTCATAATATTTTATATGTCTGCAGTGTTGAATATTCACTGATTCACCAAAGTAGCCAAGCTGTCTTTTGGGCATGGCGTGAAATTCAAAATATTGCAGAATTGTCAAAGAATATTCTATTTTCATTGAATTACTATAAAAATACCAGAAAAATAGATCAGATATTATGAATGACCATGTTGACAGTTCTATGACACCTCTCAAGTGGTTATGTATAGAACTGCAAATATGTAGTACTTTGGGATTGTGTAGTCATTTGATAATTGGTGAAAGCTGATGTTGGTCTTTATACAATGGAGACTTTAGAGGTTATTGGAACTACTTCGTGTCTAATTATCATAGTGACAAGTAATTATTATAATTATATAATCTGCTTTGGGGATTTTAGCTTTAATGTTTCCCTGGTTAGGTTCCCCTGGGATTATCCCATAAAGTATTGGTAGTTTGATCCAAACTAGATGCCCTGTTTCAGAAAATATTGATTTTTGTAGATATTCCAATCAAAATAAATCTTGCTTCATCTTTGTATTTCATATGAATTGTAAATAATAGTGACTTACTTGACTTTGTAACACTTTAATTACATAGCTGGTCTGCAGATAATCTCTAATTGATGATATTGTGCTATGACAAATGATTCATAAAACAATCAGAGTGGTCTTCTTGTTAAAATACCATATTGTTACCTGTCAAACACTTTTTTATATGTTTTCAATTGTATCTATCATTCATTGTTATGTGTCCTTACATTCTACATATTCATATGTCCTCTATATAGCTCTCTATGTTTCAGATATGCCCTACATGTGTCCAATATGCCCTACATGTGTCTAATAATATTCTACATGTGTCTTGTTTTCCAGGTGTCTGATGATGAGGGAGACAGTAATAGCAGCATTCACACAGCAGTCTCTGAATCCCATGGTTCATTTGTGCGCCAGAGTGGGGCCATTAGGAAAGCTGGGTATGTCATACCTCCTTTGCTGCAGTAGATATATTATTAATATATGATTAAATGACATAAAAGTGAGAAAAAAGGAGTGGGATGACACATATTTGTAACCTTTAAAGACACATCAAAATTCAAATTTTGATTCAATAGTGCACCAATTATTTGCAAAGATATTTCGCCATCTGAGCCATTCTGAGGAATAGGTGAATAGGTATCTTGTGCAAAGTATATATGATGACACTATGATATTGTTCACTCATAAAGTGATGTTAATGGTATTGTTTACAGGTGGTTAAATGTGAAGAACTGGTTGATTCATAAGAAGAGAAAGGTAGAGTTGGCCTCTAAAAGGAGCTGGAAGAAGTACTGGGTGTGCTTGAAGGGAACCACATTGCTGTTCTTTACATGTGATGAACAGAGCTCTCTATCAGAAGACACTGCACCAAGACATATGCTGGGTAAGTCATCAAGGAATCATTGATAATGCCATAACACATAGAAAACAACATGAGCTACAATATATTCTCATACACTGAACATTCAAATAGTTTAACATGAAAACCTTTCCATTTATAAATGCATGTGTCTCTTTGCAGTGATAGAAGGCAGTATTACACAGGCAGTGCCTGAGCACCCTAAGAGAGACAATATATTCTCACTGAGCACAGCATTTGGAGATGCCTACTTGTTCCAGGTATGTTTAGAATTGTGTAGCAGGCTCATGGAATGGATGTTTCCACTAGGGTTCTACTTCTTTATGTTATGAAAGTCATGCTTGCTCTAGAATAACTTGTTCCTGGATGGCCATATGACAATAGTATAGTGTGAAGGCCTTTATGTACAATTAGCTTAATTAGACAAATGCTCATCCTTCTTCAATATGAAATGTTATTAAACTTTTTTAAATTGTAATTGTAGGCACCAACCCAGATAGAGCTGGAGAACTGGGTGACGAGTATACACTCCGCATGCGCGTCACTGTTTGCAAGGCAGCATGGGAAGGATAACACATTGAAACTATTGCGCTCAGAGATACAGAAACTTGATAATGGAATATGCTCGGTGGGTAAACTCAATTTAAATATTTTAATATGTAAAAATATATATTGAACTCCATACAATTCTATTTGAGAAATGCATGATGTAAATGTACTCATTTGCATAATTAATACAAGTTAATACAATGCATTTATCATGAAGGGTCTTACCAGTTATGGATATTTTAATTTTGGTTAAAAAAATAATTATCAAATTGAATTGAATTTTATTATACAGGACATCAAGATGAAAAAGATGGCTGATCTCCAACTGACTGTGGTGACAGACCCCAAGAGTAAGGCTGCTATAGTGAAGCAGATAAACCAGTGGGAGGAGAATCTGGAGAAAATCTACATAGAGCAGTACAGACTTAGGTGCTATATGGCATCATTGCAGGGCTCAGAGCTTCCAAATCCAAAGGTACTCTAGCTGGTAGAAGCAATGCTAGTTACTTCTATTTACTTGAAGGATAGCACCATACCAGAATGTTTACTGGAAACAAAATATGTGTTCAGTTTTTCGTGGACGTGAACAGTCCTATTTCTGAAGCTTTCCCATGTATAATATATTTGATTTAAGCAGCATTGCTTCAAAAATCTACTAATTTCCCCTTTTTAATGTTTCAGAACTTGCTCACAAATGTTTCCAAGGCAACAAAGAGTTTGTTGGGACGGTTAGGAGTGTTCACAGTGACATCTTTCCATGCTCTTGTCTGTGCCCGGTCCCCCATGTCTATGACCTTATATGGGAAAAGTGGAAGAAAAGGTCAGGGGTCAAAGGTGACAAAACAGGATGCTCTCCTGAGGAGCAAGAAAAAGGCATCTGGAGCATTAAGTCCAACCCAAGGGTAAGTGAATATATTGCCTATGGGCTTCACTTGAAAATGCAAAACATGGTGGAAAAGAATGATCAGAAAGGGATAGTATACTATCTGTAGAACAAATTAGAACACATTCTCCTTGAAGAGATCAACTTCCTTCCTTTTGATGTCATTGGAGAGATTAATATAATATTCCAAAACGGGCAAAGCAAATATCTTTGGTCAAGAAACAACCTATAGCCATAGTATGTTTGCAGGTCTGTGTACAAGGTGTCAGATATTGATGAGAATGCAGTGGTTGACTTCACCAAGCACAATGTAGATAATCCAGAAGAGCTGGGAAGTCCCAGGGGAGATCCAATGACATACAATGATAATCTCATCAGAGTCAAATTGCCAAATAATCAAGTAAGTGTTCCTTTTAAACAGTTCTGTATTCATGTCTTAATCATACTATCACAATAATGTTCTTAAACTACTTTTACAATCTTTCCTAGCTGAACTTTATCACTTGATTGAAGACGATTGCATTGTTGTTTTATTGCAGAGTGTCATAGTTGGTCTAACTCAGGAAAACATGACCATGCAAGAGGTGCTGGAGGCTGCATGCAACAAGCGACAACTCAACCCTGGAGACCATTTCATACGTCTTAAGCTACAAGGGCTGAACAATTACCTGGTGCCAGAGAAGTCTTCTTACCTCCAACAGCAGGTAGGGCTCAGTCCACAAGGTGCCCATACAATGTATAAGTTGATCCCACAGTGAATAGGGTGATAATACAAGGACAGGGTGGCCATACAATGTACAGAGTGGCCATTCAATGTACAAGGTGCCCATACAATGTATAAGTTGATCCTACAGTGAATAGGGTGATAATTCAAGGACAGGGTGGCCATACAATGTACAGAGTGGCCATTCAATGTACAAGGTGCCCATACAATGTATAAGTTGATCCCACAGTGAATAGGGTGATAATCCAAGGACAGGGTGGCCATACAATGTACAGATTGGCCATTCAATGTACAAGGTGCCCATACAATGTATAAGTTGATCCCACAGTGAATAGGGTGATAATCCAAGGACAGGATGGCCATACAATGTACAGATTGGCCATTCAATGTACAAGGTGCCCATACAATGTATAAGTTGATCCCACAGTGAATAGGGTGATAATCCAAGGACAGGGTGGCCATACAATGTACAGAGTGTCCATTCAATGTACAAGGTGGTCATAAAGTATAAGTTGATCCCACAGTGAATAGGGTGATAATTCAAGGACAGTGTGACCATACCATGTACAGAGTGGCCATTCAATGTACAAGGTGGTCAAAAAGTATAAGTTGATCCCACAGTGAATAGGGTGATAATTCAAGGACAGTGTGACCATACCATGTACAGAGTGGCCATTCAATGTACAAGGTGCTCTTACAATGTATAAGTTGATCCTACAGTGAATAGGGTGATAATTCAAGGACAGGGTGACCATACCATGTACAGAGTGGCCATTCAATGTACAAGGTGCCCATACAATGTATAAGTTGATCCCACAGTGAATAGGGTGATAATTCAAGGACAGGGTGACCATACCATGTACAGAGTGGCCATTCAATGTACAAGGTGCTCTTACAATGTATAAGTTGATCCTACAGTGAATAGGGTGATAATTCAAGGACAGTGTGACCATACCATGTACAGAGTGGCCATTCAATGTACAAGGTGGTCATAAAGTATAAGTTGATCCCACAGTGAATAGGGTGATAATTCAAGGACAGTGTGACCATACCATGTACAGAGTGGCCATTCAATGTACAAGGTGGTCAAAAAGTATACATGGTGATCAACAGTAGTGTGACTACAATTTGGAGTTTTTGTAAACAGTACTGAAAAAGTTATATTTTGTATTGCATGAAATCTCAAGTAAAGAGATTATTCAGTAGCTATTTCTGACTTACATGTATGTGATGACTTTTCTTCAGTCATTATCCTCAGCTGACATTGTAGCAACCTTGCATGTGACATTTGCCTTCTCTTGCAGCCATACGAGGGCATTGAGGTATGTGCCAAAACTATCTTCCAAATAGAGCTGTCCAGAAATGAAACAATCCCCGATTTTGGATTTGAAATTGAAGCTGAGCTGGCAGAAGATACGGAACGTGATGATGAACTTTGTGTGTTTGTCAGTGAGATGAAGGAGGGTGCTCTTGGACAGACTCAAGGTAGGGCCAATTCTGGGGCAGATTCTAATCTGTACACCCATACAATAAATGTGTTTTGATACATGTATATGAAGTGCCCTTTGGAAACATGAATTATAGCTAGAACATAGAGTACTTGATATTCTGGCCATTTGTTGACCATGTGCACTTTGGTATTAAAAGCACTTGTAATCTGTGATATATAATGCACAACCCTATGTTGTTTAGTAGTCTCTACAAACAAAGGACTGCACAACCAGCATGTAAAACCTACTAACTTTGGATCAGGTGTCATTGTGGCCATGTTTTAAACACAGAATAGAGTGTAAACCCATCTATTATCAAGAAATAAATATAGAAATATAGACATTCTGAGACTCTAAATTGTGTAGAAATGTAAGACAGGATATTCATAGAGAACATTAGCCTGGAATAAGCATGAACAGATAAAGCATCTAAGCATGGGGAACTACTAGTTATTATCAGCATCATGAGTATCCCACAATGAGGTATCAAAGAATTAGAAGTAAAGTGTGCTGTTTGTTGCATATAAAACACTGTACAGGGGGTGGTATATTACAGTGTTTTGAAAATATCATAGAGACCAAAAAGAAACATTTCAAGAATAAGATAATCCCATGTGGTGGTTACAATTTGTTTATATGATTCCTATCTTTTAACTCTCTTTTGATACATCTCCAACAATTATACAATCTTATTCTGGTTTCTGGCTTATTTAATTTTTTCTGTTTTTTTATCGTACCTAACAAAAGGTACGATATTGTAGTCAGCTTGACGGGTGGGTGAGCGGGCGGCCTCTCACTTTTCAGCTTGTCTACAGGTTTCCAGCCAAACCATTTGAGGGATTCATCTGAAATTTTCAGGGATGTTTTTACATATCAACGTCAAGAACTGATTAGTTTTTGGGCATTCTGGGTAAATCTTAAGGTGGCCATTTTGGATTTTCCGTCCTAAAATCTTCACTTTCAAGACTTGTCTACAGGTTTCCAGCCAAACCATTTGAGGGATTCATCTGAAATTTTCAGGGACGTTTCTACATATCAACGTCAAGAACTGATTAGTTTTTGGGCATTCTGGGTAAATCTTAAGGTGGCCATTTTGGAATTTATGTCCTAAAATCTTCACTTTCAAGACTTGTCTACAGGTTTCCAGCCAAACCATTTGAGGGATTCATCTGAAATTTTCAGGCATGTTTCTATATATCAACGTCAAGAACTGATTAGTTTTTGGGCATTCTGGGTAAATCTTAAGGTGGCCATTTTGGATTTTCCGTCCAAAATCTTCACTTTCAAGACTTGTCTACAGGTTTCCAGCCAAACCGTTCAAATTTTTACATATGTTACACAGTGATAAGTTCTAGAGCTGATTAACTTTTCTGCGGCCATTTTGCTTTCTTGGTCAACAAGACCACAATGCTGTGTTTTAGGTACGATGTTGTTCACGCCTGTGCCTTGTTGGAAATATCTGTCCACTTTAAAACATTAATACAACCTAATACCAAGGATATTTATCTCAAGATAGACGTCCTTGGTAATAATGAACTTTTTATCATATAACAAAATTCCATTTTAAAACATGGCCCCTATATTAATTGACTGACTATATATTCTACATAGAAGGCTCATCTATTCTGAGTGAGGGAGAAGAGATGCCTTTACATAACCTGCATGTTGCATGTGTTAATCCTCTATCCAGGGCTTATAGTGGGGGATGAGATTCTAGTCATCAATGGTCGCGTCGTCTCAGATCTGGACATGGTCTACATTGAGGCCCTACTACAGGAGTGCCCTACGGTTTGTTTGACGATACGATCATGTCGCACTGAACGTCCAACGCAATCCACATTACTTATGCGTCATGCAGATGTGTACATTGATAACATGATGTGCCCCCCTCCACCAACACAATCAAGAATTAGTGATAAAATTATTGGGGATTTGATCATTCCCGCACCAACTTGGGGTAAGTAGCATGAGCGCCACCTATTGGTAGTAGTTTGCACTAATATTTTCCTTTCACAATTATTGTATATTCTAGATTCTAATATGTAACTTGACAATACCTAGAACAATTGATTTACTACTTGTCTATATTGGCGTATGTATGACCGCTTAAATTCATAAATGCAAATAGTTGTGTGTCTTGTCTGCTTATCACATTAGAATCGTAACAAAGACCTCAATTTTATGATTTATGTCAAATATATGACCTTAAATTTTATTCTGGCCATTGCCAAAAATCTCAATCACTACGCAATTTTGGTCTTTTAGCAATGAACAGAACAACATTTTCGGTCATATATTATGCCATATATCATAAAATCTCAGTCTTTATTCCTTAAATATACATGATTTGTATATTACAAGTTGCTACTCGTCTCATAACATTTGACCAAATATTTGATCATATGAATGTCCATTATTCCAAGAGCATGCATTATATAATGACAATGCATGTGAAGCATACATAGGCAAGCTCGGTTGTGAGGCCACATACAACAGAAATCTTGGATTATGCCCATATATACCTCCATTATGTTGCAGTCTTTTATAACTTTGTTCATAGCTTTGTTCATTACTTTGTTCATATGTAGATCTGATTAGTTTTTTGGCATTCTGGATAAATGTCAAGGCAGCCATTTTGGATTTTCCGTCTTAAAATCTTGCCTGTAAAGTCTTGTCTACGCGTTTTTAGGTGAACTGTTTGGTAGATCAATTTCAAATTTTCAGGGATGATTCTTAGTGTGAAAATCTACATCTGATTAGTTTTTTGGCATTCTGTGTAAATGTCATGGCAACCATTTTGGATTTTCTGTCCTAAAATCTTGTCTGTTAAGTCTTGTCTACGCGTTTTCAGGTGAACCATTTGGTAGATCAATGTCATATTTTCAGGGATGATTCTTAGTATGAAAATCTAGGAACAGATTAGTTTTTTGACATTCTGGGTAAATGTCAAGGCAGCCATTTTGGATTTTCCATCCTAAAATCTTGTCTGTAAAGTCTTGTTTACATGTTTTCTAGTTAACTGTGTGATGGATCAATTAAAAATTTTCAGGGGTGGTTCTTAGTTTGAAAATCTAGAACTGACTAAATTTTTGGCATTCTGGGTAAATTTAAAGGTGGCCATTTTGGATTTTCCGTCCTCAAATTGTGTTGGTAAAGTCTTGTCTACTCATTTTCAGGATAACCATTTGATGGGATCACCCATTGGTGGGGACATTTTGTACACATTTGTGTTCTTGTTTTGATTTACATTCCAGCTGATATATTTTGTGCTTATGACAGCCAATATTCTCTGTACATGAAATTGTAAGAATACTTACAAATGAATGACCAAGTACTACTTTTGTTAAAATATCCAAATTTCAAAATATTCACTGTGTACAAATAAGTAATTCCAATGCTAGGATGTTTGCAGTAAGAGGTTAGTGACTTTATTGCCGGGGGATCTCTGATACCTGATCTAACATGATTGTTATACTGATCAGGGTGTTTATTTGTTTTCAGTGGACTCAGGAGGAAGAGGTGACCAACCAACTAGAATGGTACCACATGATCTCTCTAACAAGCACATCGACACATTACTAAAGGTAACACATACATGCAAACCTCACCAGTCCTGTATATCTCCAAACATCATAGACAAAAAATTGTTGATTTTTGCAATTTCTCAATAAAATGACCAATTGATATGGCAGGCTGTAACTACAATGTTTAGAGGCTTGTAGGTAGCAGGATCCTGGTTGGAATCAGATTATTCTTATATATTATAAAACAGGTCCCCTTTGTACCTTCTTCAACCCAAAAAGAGTCTCCCGAAGGATTTGCTAAACACATAACTGATTGATGAATGAAACAAATGTTCTTGCTTTAATAAAATGTGACCACATTAATTAAGATAATAATCACATATCACCATGTGAGAATGCAGCAATGCACATTTAAATATTGAACATGTAATCTTTAGAAAGTTTATATTCTTTCTTGTCTCTAGGGGACTGAACAAGTGACTGTCCTGTGCCGCGATCTCTATGGCAACCTGTATGATGGTCTTGATGCAAAGAATGTTCCTATGGCTCAACCAATGAGTGGAGCCCAGAGGGTCAGAAAGGTCATCCTTGAGCTTATTGACACTGAGAGACAATACGTGAAGGTACAAAAAACACATTTATGTCACTAGTAGTAGAACCTAGAAGCCTCCCCTTATTTAACACATTAATAGAACCAAACAATATCACCATGTATGTAGTACTTGTATATAGGAGTACTTACATGTATCATAAGTGCAACTGCACAAACAAGTGCAGAGACATCAAACTGTATGATGTGACTGTTGCAGGACTTGAACTGTCTGATAGAGAGGTACCTGGAGCCCCTACAGGCAGAGACATTTCTCTCCAATGATGACATTGAACAACTGTTTGGCAACATCCAGGAGATTGTGGCCTTCCAGCGCCAGTTCCTGCTCAGCCTGGAGGAAGCTGTGGAGCTAGAGCCAGACTTCCTAACCATAGCAGACACCAGACACTTCAGGGTGAGTTAAAGTACTTCATAAAGCACCTTTTTATAAAGGTCTTCTTGTGAAGGCTCTTTGTTTTGTCCCATTGGATGGACAGTAATTCAATAAGAATGACATGTTGAGAAATATAAAGTTGAACAATATGTTTATTCTCAAATAGTCCAATTTAGAATTTTCATTTTTATGTCAAAATCTTCTGGGTAATTAATTATAATAATTACCTTTATATTATCTTACACATGGATGCGTACAAACTGACTTCACATGAATTCTAATATTTATACTGGTAATTTCATTCATTTGTTCTTTATTTACTGCCTTTCCAGGAAGATAGATTACGGGTAAGAACACTAATATGAAATATGTTTCGGCAAACGCATATGTTAGACCTGTAGCACCACCTAATTAGTACCCAAGTCATGCATGTTTTATTGTGCAAGTTATGTAAAAATAAAATTCATGACAGTTATTTTTCATTATCCGTGTAGATGAAAGGACATGAACCTTATCCATATCTTTATTAGTATCTAGACATGTTTGTCCATAATAACATCTGTAGTATAACACCAACAAAATGAAATATATCTTTTATAAAGTCTCTGGTATCAGGACACTAAATATTCATTGCCTTTGTAATGGCATTTTCTCCTTCTATGAGAGTATGGTGAAATCTGCATGAATTGCTCCCTTCAATATAACTCAATATAATTCAAATAGCTCACTTGCCTCAATATAATTCAAATAGCTCACTTGCCTCAATATAATTCAAATAGCTCACTTGCCTCAATATAATTCAAATAGCTCACTTGCCTCAATATAATTCAAATAGCTCACTTGCCTCAATATAATTATAATATCACTGTCAAGCTTGCAATTGTATGATTTATCAAAACCAGGTCACATATCATGAAAGATCTAGTGATATTTAGTGGACATGGTTATCAAATCAGACACTCTGAATAGTTAGGCATTTTCAGATCCTGGGTATTTTCAAGACACATTTATTTGGTCATTGAACACCAAGATTATTATCAATTTATCATGTCACTTGAACAGAGGTGTTAACCTACATAAGTGCATTGCTTACATATGCTGTTTAAACCTAATATGAATTTATAATGCTGAGGATAGTGAGCTTGACAGTTATAAAATAAAACAAATATTTCATTCTATCTGTGGCACTTTCACAATGATATTCTTGGGAAAGATGCACAGGTTTTCACCTCAATGGAATGAAATATTTGTATCATTGTTGCAGGAGATTCATTTATAGATTTTATTTAATTTTAACCATTTAACTTAAGCATCCACATTAATCCTCATGCTACATTTGGTCTCAAAATTACTTGTACACCTTACAAATACTTTTAAATTACATTGATATCACATTTTGACCTTGAATTAATACTAATACAGTATATTTATTCAGTGGTATAAGGGAAATCTAGTAACAATTTGAAATAATAGACACTCACCCAGTATATATCTTGAGCAAACAGCTATTTTTGCACAATTGAATGTTCCATGCTTTTTATTAATTAAATGCTTATTAAAATGAGAAAAAATGCTTTTATTCAAGCAAGCCTCTTAAAAAGGTCTCTCTAGACTACAAAGTATGTGCCTTGTTAAATCTGTTGTACTGTATTGTGAATTAAACATTTTTATTCCATTAAACAAAGTTTGGAGGGATATAGAGAACGGCTTCAGTAGATATCTATTGATCTATGTGTAAAGATTGTTTATATGGTTCTGTTACTCTTAACAAAACATGAGGGTAAATTTATTTATAATTACAATATGTTTCAATTTTACAGTATGTTTTGAATGCAAAAAATAGTATATAGATTTACATAAAAATCTAATGATGCAGAAAATGTATGGTGGCCATCTTGAAAAATGGCAGCCATTACACATTATTTTATGATAACTGGAAAAATAGTGGAGCGAATTTGTTCATATTTGATGTGAATACTCCAAATCATGGCACACTGTCTTGACACTGGCTAGTATGTGGTTGTTTTTCTAAATGGCCACCATTTTTATGTGTGTTATTATTCGTTTTTTACTATAACTGAAAAAGTAGGGGCGTAATTTTGTTAACATTTTATATGTGCCTACTTATGATCATATTATACTTTCTACTCCAGTAAAATCGTTGTAAATTTTCACAAATAAATGAAAAAATTGCAACACAGAGTAAACCTAGTGTAATTAATAGCCATTGGTAAGTAAAACAACATATCAAAAATCTAGAAAAATCTAAGTAGTGGAAAACCTTAAAATCACCATTTATACCCCTTGGGATAATTTTATGAGGGGGTAATATGATAATCATTAATAATTCCTGTTACATAACTCTAATCACTATGAAATCTTCAGGGATCATGCGCCTATATATAATGAGTTGTCACGACAATTTTGAAATTAATTGGTCAATTGGTTACCATAGCAACACAATTTAATTGCTCAAAATCTTAAATATTTCAGGTAAATCTAAAGCTTCTTATAAAAACAGATGTTGCCATTTCTTTTCAAATCATTTGAAAATGAACATTAAACTACCCCAAAAACATATTTGGGGAGTGTTTAATACGATAACATGATAAATGTGATAAATTATATGATATCTTTGACCCTGAACTCTATTCTATTAGGTGACTATCTCTCTATCTACTCAAAAGTTGGCGTGGCACTTTTCAGTGATAATGTCCTAAAACAGTTATTTTTACAAAATCAGTCACAGTTATATTTATAGGGTTCATGGATACGGATGTTATTCTTTAATATGGTGAGTCTGTACATGATTGGTCAAGGGATTGCCATAGTAACATAGAGCAAAATAAACGCAAATAGTGTAGTACATATGTTCTGAAAAAACTTATCTCATAACATAGAATATGATTCAATCCCCGGCGTATATGGTGTCCTTCAATACCAAGAACATGTCATCCAATAGTCTAATATGGTAGAACCTGAGACTATAGAATAGTTCAGAAGAGCCTAAGTTGGTTCAGCCCCCGGAGTAAATAGATGGTACAGCCTCAAGAGTATAAAATTAGTGCAGTCTCAAGAATCTAATATGATACAGCCTCAAGTAGTATATGTATTCAGCATCCAGAGTCCAAGATGATATAACATTCATAATCTAAGATTGCTATAGTAGTCAGAGCCTAGAATCAGTACAGCCTCCATAAGTCTAAGATGGTATAGCCTCCAGACCCTTAGATGGTACAGCCTCCTGATATAACATGGGATCAGTCTCCAGAGTATAAGATGGTACAGCTTTCAGAGGCTATGATTGCTATAGCATTCAGAGCCTAGGATGGGTACAGCCTCCATGAGTCTAAGATGGTACAGCCTCCATGAGTCTAAGATGGTACAGCCTCCAGATATAACATGGAATCAGTCTCCAGAGTCTAAGATGATACAGCTTCAGAGGCTATGATTGCTATAGCATTCAGAGCCTAGGATGGGTACAGCCTCCATGAGTCTAAGATGGTACAGCCTCCATAAGTCTAAGATGTTACAGCTTCCAGATATAACATGGGTTCAGTCTCCAGAGTCCAAGATGGTAGATCCTTCAGATCATTTGATTGCTATAGCATTCAGAGCCTATGATAAGTACAGCCTCCAAGAGTCTAACATGTACAGCCTCCAACCCTTAGATGGTACAGCCGCTCGATATAACATAGGACCCGTTTCCAGATTCTAAGATGGTACATCCTTCAGAGCCTAAAATGGTTCAGCCTCCAAAGTTAAAAATGGTATAGCCTACGACTAATATTAACAATTAGAGTCTAATATGGCCTCAGGAGTTTAATGCAGGGTACATCTACTTCTATAATGGCTACAACCTTCAATTCCAAGAGTCTAAGATGACCCAGCCTCTATAATTTAAAATTGATACAGCCTACAGAGTCTAATATGGTACAACATCCAGAGTATAATAAATAGATATAAGATGGTACAGCCTCTAGAGTCTTAGAGGTTGTAGACTCTAGTGTTTAATGGGTACATCCTCCAAAGTCTACAATGGGTAGAATATCCATAATCTAAGATTGATACAGCGTACAGGGTCTAAGTTGGTACATCTTCTTGAGTCTAAGATGTCAAGAATCACCGTTTTGTCACATATAACACTAATCTGTGATTAATTAATAGGTCAGGAAATGCTCAGACAGATGGGCGGGCAGACGAACAAACAGAGCAGTATTTCAAGAAACAGCATTATTAGTTGTGTTACCATAGCAAACGCATATCAATATTATCCAAACCTGTATTTGTTAAAAAAGATCATACACTAAAACAGTTCTTAAGGATGAATGTAATAAACAATTAAGATTAACAAGGATTGCCTGAAATGACCTCTACCCACGATTCACATACAATATGTTGTGTTACTATGGCAACCAATTGACAAAAGATATTTGGACTCACCATTTCAGATAATTACATATGTATTAATGACCCTTGTAAATATGATTCTGTCAACATGAAATTATTTGGAATTGTAATAACAAAAAGTGCCACGCCCACTTTGTGGTAAATTGAACAGTAGTTATCAAACATGAGCCAAATATGCCATCCAATTAACCTATTTATCATGTTATCTTGTTGTAAACTCCTTCAATATGTATTACGCTCAACTTTGTGTTCATTTTGAAAAATTAAAATTGACAAACTACGATCTGTTTGTACGGAAACGGTATCTACTTATCCTTAATATTTGCAATATTTTGCAATTAAATTATGTTACCATGGTAACCAATTGACCAATCAAGATCAGTCTTTTCATGACAATTAACTATATATGGATGCATAATCCCTGAAAATTTGAATGTGATTGGAGGCACCCAACAGAAGATATAAATGCTTATCACAGTACCCCCTCATAAAATAAGACCAGGGGGTACAAATAGTGATTTTTACATGTCTTCCACTACTTAGATTTTTCTAGATTTTTAATATGTCTTTAAACTCATCAATATGCATTCGTTGCACTAGGTTTAATAAGTATTGCAATTTTTTCATTTATTTTTCGTGTTTTTACTGGAGTATTCTATGACAATTTGAAAAAGTAGTGGAGGGATTTTGTAAAAATGGCAGCCATGGCTGTTCATTGAGATTTGCTACGCCTTGGCGATGCTGTTTTCTGATTAATATTTCGTATTGTATGTATGTATGTATTCTTTATTTGCGTCTATTCATTTAGACAGTTACATGGTATACAATGATATAAGGTAAAAGAAAAGAGTAATTTGCTCCACTAAATGGAAAATGAATTCTGTTTACAATTGTTGCAGGTACATGGGCATGTCATAGTAAGCATGATCAGAATGTTTAGATGAAATCTATTCAATATTTTAAGTACATGTACTCTTTATATTCTATACTTGAGGTAGTCTCTATATTAAGAACTCTCCATTTTAAGTACTATGGCTTACCGTAAGTACTCTATATATTACATACTCTATATATTTCAGAGGATCTTGTTCTCATTGGGAGGTTCATTCCTGTACTATGCCAACCACTTCAAGCTTTATAGCTCATTCTGTGCCAGCCACTCCAAGGCCCAGAAGGTTCTCAATCCAGGTCAGTTACACTTCCCTGGTTTAGACCTAACTGTGAAATGGCAGCCTGGGGGGTAACTGGACATCTCATCAACTGGACAACTCATACCTTAGACATATCTTCCACTGGACAACTCATCCCCTGGACATCTCATCAACTGGACAACTCATCCTCTAGCCTGCAACAGAGATCACCTATTGTTTTGGATTAATAAGACATACTTTTACTATCCTCAATACAAAGATCTGGCAAATATATATGACCTAAAAAAGATTGTCAAGCTCATTTCAATTGATTATAAAACTACATTGATTATGTTACTAAATGTCAAAATTATTGTACTTATGTTTTAGATGATAACACTCCATTAAAAGAGTTTCTACGAGCTCGTAATCCTAAACAACAGCATTCAGCAACTCTAGAGTCATACCTGATCAAACCCATACAGAGAATACTGAAGTATCCCCTGCTTCTACGACAGCTGAAGAGTCTTACCAATCCACAGTCAGATGAGCACAATCATCTCTCAGGTAACATACAATAAAATGTAAACATGTGTACCCCATAAGTATTCCATCAATTTGCTTGAGATTGTACAGATACCTTAATTTCCAGGTTAACAACAATGACTTCAAGTTTAGGACTAATCTATTTATTACATGTCTATTAAAATCCAAAGTATGTCAAAATATTTTGAAGTTCATGAAATCTTTAAAAGTGACACTTTGTCACATAAATTAAAGGAATATTCCTTGCCAAACCATCTCTCTCCTCATATGGTAGCTATAACCATATATATGCTTGCCATGTTTAGCAAAACACGCGAAAATGTTTTAATATGGTCAAATTTGATCACTTAGAAATGTGATGCTCAATTCCAGTAAGCTGCCATCTTTTAAAATTTCACACAGGAAGTGATGTCATCGACTCTCAACTTTGCATTTAGCATTAGGTGAGGAGCTATTAAGAATTACAAAACCAGCTAAATATTCTTTTTCAACTTTGTATCTTATTTAATCCTTCTGAAAATCTCTTCTTTTATTCTAAGTTGACAAGCCCTGAAAAATATTTTTGCACAGAAAGTAATGATCACTTGTCTAGAAGTCATTTTGTGCTACTTTCCTATACTGTTATGGGCAAGGTTATAGAAGTTGAGAGTTGATGACATCACTTCCTGCAAGAAATCTTAAAAGATGGCAGCTGACTGGAAATAAGCACTAGATTTTTAAATGATCAATATTGACCATATTAAAACATTTTCCCATGTTTTGCTAAATATGGAAACTATATATATGATTATAGCTACCATATCAAGAGAGAAAAGGTCCGGCAAGGAATATTCCTTTAAAGCAGATATGAAATGGTATTTTTAACCTAAAGGAATCAATATAATTTTTTGATAGATGTATTTGGACATGTTTTCTCATCAGTAGTGTGAAAACTATTTCACTCTAACGATCGTTATAGCTGCTTAATAAGCAATATTCGAATTGGTTGTGACGTTATTGGCCCCCACGTGATCTCTCACTGGTCCCCACGTGGCCCGTTTTGGTCCATTAGATCATGACGTCATAATGCCAAAATGTTTTGTTATTTGTTTACACAACAATCCTATGGTTGCCGTGAGGTTGTGATTACTATGGAACCAATAAACCAAAGCTATATTTTGTATATGACGTTACTAATCACGTGGGGGCCAATTTGATTTATCAGTTAATTTTATTTCGTTATCTATGACCGTTAGCAGTTATCTAACATTTATTTTATAATGGCTATCGCAAGAACTCTACGGTGGGCTTACAATGGAGAAACCCGCATTTTCGTAGCTGCAAGTTGAGAAAAGCTATTTCAGTTGTCCTTTAAGGAGAGGTTTGTGTGAAAAAATAACATAATTTGAAAAACTGGTGCTGAGTGTTATGGCATAATTTCATTAGATCATGTCAATAGGAATGATGATGATAAGGGACATGTGTTTACAGAGGCACTCAAGGGCATGGAGGCAGTGGCTGAACACATTAATGAGATGCAGAAGATATATGAGGAGTATGGGGGAGTGTTTGATGAACTCATGAAGGGCTACAAGGAGACACATTCCCTGTCACATAGCAAGGTGGGTGCAGAGTATGCAGAAATTCTGTATGGGCATGATTCCGTTGATGTCCCACAAGGTTCCATTTTTTTTAATTATTTATCGTACCTAATAAAGGTACGATATTGTCGTCAGCTTGACGGGCGGCGGGCGGGTGGCAGGCGGGCGGCGGGCGGCGGGCAGCGTCTCACTTTTCAGCTTGTCTACAGGTTTCCAGCCAAACCATTTGACAGATTCATCTGAAATTTTCAGGAATGTTTCTACGTATCAAAGTTAAGAACTGATTAGTTTTTGGGCATTCTGGGTAAATTTTAAGGTGGCCATTTTGGATTTTCCGTCCTAAAATCTTCACTTTCAAGACTTGTCTACAGGTTTCCAGCCAAACCATTTGACGGATTCATCTGAAATTTTCAGGAATGTTTCTACGTATCAAAGTTAAGAACTGATTAGTTTTTGGGCATTCTGGGTAAATTTAAAGGTGGCCATTTTGGATTTTCCGTCCTAAAATCTTCACTTTCAAGACTTGTCTACAGGTTTCCAGCCAAACCATTTGACGGATTCATCTGAAATTTTCAGGAATGTTTCTACGTATCAAAGTTAAGAACTGATTAGTTTTTGGGCATTCTGGGTAAATTTTAAGGTGGCCATTTTGGATTTTCCGTCCTAAAATCTTCACTTTCAAAACTTGACTACAGGTTTTCAGCCAAACCATTTGACGGATTCATCTGAAATTTTCAGGGATGTTTCTACGTATCAAAGTTAAGAACCGATTAGTTTTTTGGCATTCTGGGTAAAATTTAAGGTGGCCATTTTGGATTTTCCGTCCTAAAATCTTCACTTTCAAGACTTGTCTACAGGTTTCCAGCCAAACCATTTGACGGATTCATTTGACATTTACAGGGATGTTTCTACATATCAAAGTTAACAACTGATTAGTTTTTGGGCATTCTGGGTAAATTCTAAGGTGGCCATTTTGGATTTTCCATCCTAAAATCTTCACTTTCAAGACTTGTCTACAGGTTTCCAGCCAAACCATTTGACAGATTCATCTGAAATTTTCAGGGATGTTTCTACGTATCAAAGTTAAGAACTGATTAGTTTTTTGGCATTCTGGGTAAAATTCAAGGTGGCCATTTTGGATTTTCCGTCCTAAAATCTTCACTTTCAAGACTTGTCTACAGGTTTCCAGCCAAACCATTTGACGGATTCATTTGAAATTTGCAGGGATGTTTCTACATATCAAAGTTAACAACTGATTAGTTTTTGGGCATTCTGGGTTAATTTTAAGGTGGCCATTTTGGATTTTCCGTCCTAAAATCTTCACTTTCAAGACTTGTCTACAGGTTTCCAGCCAAACCATTTGATGGATTCATCTGAAATTTTCAGGGATGTTTCTACGTATCAAAGTTAAGAACTGATTACTTTTTGGGCATTCTGGGTAAATTTTAAGGTGGCCATTTTGGATTTTCTGTCCTAAATTCTTCACTGTCACACTGCTGTGTTTTAGGTACGATATTGTTCACGTCTGTGCCTTGTTCTTTATATTTAACATACAAGAAGCCACTCTAATTTAATGTGATCACATGTTTCATTCATTAAACTTAATTTCAATTTAACACCGCTTTACTGTAAAATATATCCAAACATATACATAATGTTTATGCCTTTATAAAGTGATATCAGTGCTTAATTTTTTGTTTGCAGATCATAGATCTGAATGTGGGAGAACTGCAAATGTATGGTAATGTAGAATGGATGAATGCACATGAAAACATTGGCAAGATCAAGAAGGGAATGGAGGTTGTCAGCACATGCTTTGTTTTCAGGACTGGCGTCGTTCTACTCTGTCGGGAACGCATGAAGAAAAACTCTCGTAAAATGAACCACAATAAGGTATTTTTCTGAAAGGTTGCTCCTTTTATCTTTTCACTATTATTCTCAGTCATACTGATGTTTAGGAATTGAGCCATGTGCTACAAATTTAAAGTGTTTCAAAATGTAGTTTTATTTTACATTACAAAGAGATTGTTATGTTTTTAGTTTCAGTAGCATCAGTATCAAGATTCACTAGGTATCAGATTTCAAATATCCTTATAACTTGTGAAGATCTCCTATTTTGGACATTGCAAATTGAATTATTTGAAGTGATTAAAACGAATTGGTGCTGTATTCCAGAATCAGTTGCCCAATGAGAATGGCTCAGAGATAACTAGGTTCCATGTGTTCATACCTGTCTATGAGGTGCAAGTACGCAGCACACCAGGCAGTGAGGGGGACACGCACCACATGTGGGACCTGGTACACCTCAAATCTGAGACAGAGGGGCGGCCAGAGAAAGTCTTCCAAATGGCTAATGGGTAAGTTAATGTTGTATTCAGTCAACCGTTATGCCTTTAGTTCTTTCATATTGTTGTTCTGTAAGGTGTATTTTATGCTTCAATAAGTTCAGTTGATTGTAGCATTAATGCAGGAATCGGCTCCTTTGTTGAGTATAACATACATGTAAGCTGGGGATCGTTTCTCAAAATTATTATGAATCACGATTAATGACTTTCTGTTTAATTATGACAACATTTCGGTGTGACATTTTGGATGGCAATTCATGAGTTGTTATTCATGATCATTTTTTAAAAGCTGACTCCATTTGAATTTTAAGAACTATTTTGGGATGAATTGCTCTAAAGGTGACATGTAGGTGACATAACACTTCATATATCACTTTCTTACTGATATAACCCCATCTTACAGTACAGTATATAGCCATTCAGTCTTTCCTATCCTAATTATAACATCTATGTGTGATAAATAATTCTTCAAATTGATTACTCATCATCCTAACCACACCCTTGGTATACGCAGCTAACGAAAATTGACCGGTACGGGTCAAAAGCTGGACCGGTACGGGTTAACGGTTTTATTTGAATTTAAAACAGCCATAACTTGCTCAATATTGACTTCCTCGTGTCTAATTTGAAATATATGATGCCTCCCGATGCTTTTAAGTACCCCAATTTTTTACAGATTTTTAAACGGACCAAAACTCTCTAAATGCGCATTTATGCTCTTTTCTCTCGAGAACGACTGTCTCATTTTCACGATAACTTTTATTTAGTACTTCTAACATATAAGATCTATTTTTCCCCATCAAGGTATGATGTAAATGACATGCTATTTACATCTTGTGAGGTTCAATGACGCGCATTTGATTTTATAAAAAATGCCAAACTTTGTGACAAAGAATTTCATCAGCTATTGCCCCGAACCGGTCCGTCTTCTCGCTGCAAGCAGATTGCCCCGAACCGGTCTGTCTTCTCGCTGCAAGCAGGATGAAATTCTTTGTCACAAAGTTTGGCATTTTTTATAAAATCAAACTTGGGTTACTTAAAAGCATCGGGAGGCATCATATATTTCAAATTAGACACGAGGAAGTCAATATTGAGCAAGTTATGGATATTTTAAATTCAAATAAAACCGTAAACCCGTACCGGTCCAGCTTTTAACCCGTACCGGTCAATTTTCGTTAGCTGCTTATACCAACGGTGAACCATTCATATTTGAGCTTTAAGGTCATATGATTAGATGTAGTTTACTAGTCAATCATATACTGTATGAGCTTAAATGTGTGATCCTTGTCCTACTGTATCATATGCCCAAATTAACAAATAACAATCATGTGATATTTGAATTTAATACCGTTCTTTTTATTACAATTTAGGTCTTATCAAGCAGTATGTGATTATTTTAAGATGATCCGCCATATAGTTAATGAACATGTGGGTCCTGTGGCATTGTGACCTTGAGAAATGAATGACCTTGAGAAGGGGATTCTGATTGGTCAGTTGAATTCACTGTCATGCAATCTGTTTCTTACTTATTTCACTAGGTGGAAGGGGGCTGAGGGTGTAACAGTTATCCCACAAAACAAACAAGACTGATAGCTTTTTGTAGACCCCTAGTGCTCCCCTCAAAATTTGAAGCATGGTAATATCTAAAAGATTTTGGGATTTGTGCTTTCAAACATCCTCCTATCCTAACAGTGTATACAAATAATATGATTAAAAGTAACATTCCCATTGTTAGTTTGAAATCCATAATGTGAAGTAGAAAATCTGATATACATACTTTTTGAAGTTTTGGTCTATTTATGGGGCACCCTGTATTTCTGTAGCATACCTATTCCTTTATCTCCCTACCACCTTGTAGTGGGCCACCCTGTAGAATGGTTACCCTATATACATATTATAGTGTATAAAGGACAGTTAGTTTATGGGGGATGCCCTGTAACTGGGGCACCCTATTGAACGGTCACCCTGTATATAAGGGGAATCTTTATATGGGGAACACCCTGTAGCTATGTGCTTTATTTAGCTTGACCTTCAAATATGTTGTGATATTTATACATTTTCATAGAGAAATTTAAAGAGTAGACCATTAGATCTTAGCAGTCACTCCATTGTTGGATAAATTCAGTCTTAATAAAGGAGGAAAAATATTTGGAGCTGTATATTGTCATAATATGTTAATAATACGCAGAAAGAATATTTTCAGCTTTACAAGAGCTCTAAGAGAACAAATTTGTATTAATGCTTATATCCAAGCTACAGTGGTCTGCTCTTATATTAGGGAATACAGGGTGTCCCGAAAGTATGGGGGCCCCCCTAGGCAGACATATACCAATGTCTCCATAGTATGTGTCATATATCATTTTAAAGCTCATCCAAAGTTACATTGATTTGCCAAGTATCATGGTTCAATTCATAAATGGGAAAAAATTACAGGCATTTCAAAATTTAGTGTTTGGCCAAAATTAAAGTCAGTTTTACACCAGAGTAATAGTTGGTGTGTCTCCCTAGGCCATGTTAAACAGCAGCAATGCTTTCCATATATGACCTTAAACATGCTTCAAATAGGGATGTGGCATTTTGTAATCCTCATAAAACCTTTTTAAGGCATTTTAGAAGAATTTCCTTGGAGTATCTACCCTCAATGTCCTCTTTTTAGAACTCAATATCCATCCTATCTTCGTTAATAGCACCCATATTTTCGGCCACATTCAGGTCAGGGCTGTTGCCAATATACTGAAATGAACTATATTTTTGACCAAACACTAAGTTTTAAAATGCCTGTAACTTTTTACCAGTTGTGAGTTGAACCATGATACTTGGCAAATCAATGTAACTTTGGATAAGCTTTAAAATGATATATGACACATACTATGGAGACATTGGTATATGTCTGCCTAGGGGGGCCCCATACTTTCGGGACACCCTGTAGTGTGATTTGGTTTTCTACATGTATAAAAGTTGGAAATACTCAGCAGTCAAATAATGCTAATATTTTCCAGTTAATATTCTTCAAATTTTGCCTTGTATTTCCATCTGATTTAGCTAGATGTTTGGTGCTAGAATTTTCCTTACTGATCACTTATGATGATATGTGAACACCTATGATAATATGTGAACACTTGTTATGATATGTGAACACTTATGATGATATGTGAACACTTATGATATGTCAACACTTCTGCACCATATACAGTAATTTCATCTTACATTCAAGTTTCTGTTAAGGGTATGTTTATTTGCTATCTTTTTCTGTAACATTAAGCTGGTACATTTAGTTGGGAGCTCCATCAATAATGTTACAACATGAGGTGGTGTCTTTATAATAAATATTTTGATACTTTGTTCATGCACACTGTACCAGTATATGAACTATTATTCACTCTTGAATTATAAAGTAAAAGCCCATGTTATAGAGATCTCAGCTTATGATTTCATTTGCTACACTCCCCTCCATAAGTTTGGCAACCTTTTTCCCCCATTGAACTACGTGTTAAAGCCTCTTTACGTTTGAATTTTTATTTACTTAACCAGGAAAGAAATAACTTATAATATTGATGGAAACGTAATTTGACTTTATTTTCAATACCTCCAAATTTTCTCAATTTTTTTCCCTCAATTACAATAGGTCGAAAATTGATGATAAATTTGATGAATTTTTGAAAATCGTCATTCCCATGTAATCCAATGGGAAATGAAGGGTTCGGGGCAAATCAGAAATCAGGATATCTTTTCAGTAAAAGATTCAGCAAAAAATATTTTTATATAGAAAATTGAATTATCCAACTTTTTCGATCAATAAGTGTTTAGTTTATTTGATGAATATTAAAGTTACAGCGCTTCAAAGTCATTTTTGAAAATAATTTTTCGCCTCCTGTGTTATTTTAATGGGAGAGGTTTTTTGAAAAACAATTTTGACTTTAAAGCCCTATAACTTTGTTGAACCTAAAGAAACGTATCAGTTTTTGTTAAATAAAATTAGCAAATTCAATTTCCTGCCTAACTCGTATTTTTGCAAGGACTGGGATGGATGGATATTCTGTCATATGACTTGCGGCAAACCTACCATTTCCCATTGGTTAACATGGGAAGTTTGATTTTCAAAAATTCATCAAATTTATCATCAATTTTCGACCTATTGTAATTGAGGAAAAAAATTGAGAAAATTTGGAGGTATTGGTATTAAAGTCAAATTACGTTTCCATCAATAGTATAAGTATTTTCATCGCAGGTTAAGTAAATAAAAATTCAAAGGTAAAGAGGCTTTAACACATAGTTCAATGGGGGAAAAAAGGTTTCCAAACTTATGGAGGGGAGTGTACCAGCGTAATGTTTAAATATGTTGTATTTTTAGGATATTGTGATGTAATTGTGTTGTGATGTAATTAAGTTTCATTTTATAAAAATTCCACTGAAGAATTTGTTTTAGAAGACCACACTACTCTGCCACGTGACCACATTTTAAAAGGATACAGGGTACAGTTAAGTTGCAAATGGAGCGGGTATTCTCTATCTTTGTCCATTGGGCTTTTCTGATAATAATACCTTTCAAACTGCTTGATGAATCCATACATTGTATAGTAGAACTCTTAGAATATGTGTAAAATCTAGTATACATTCAGAACTATGGAAATAAACAAACATGCTCCATTTGCAACTTCCCTGTAGCCTGTATTTCTTTTAAAGGTCTGTGTACAGGGAAACCGCATTGTAAGCTGATATTGCGAGTGCTTCATTTTAGTCAATAGTGCAAATGTTACATTTATTACTGAATATTCAAATCCCTGCACTGGCAATGATGAAATATATTAATTTATTTGAAATTCAATTGTGTTTGAAGTGAGCTGCATTGTAAGCATGATTTTTGTGTAATACTTATTGCAGTTAATATCTGTTTTTTTAGTAACATTTTAGCTTTCCCCTTTCCTTATAATCATTAGATTTTACCACAATATTGCAATGTGAGACTTGAATTGTGTCACAGTGAAACTGTGGCAAGATAATGGAGAAATAGAAAATAATATTTACAATATAATTTTCCTATTCCAGGTCATTTGATGCCAAGAATGACTTCATTAAGACAACACGGCAGATTATACGAGAGAGTGTACGGAGAATGACAGTACCCCCGAGATTACGGGCAGGATTACCCCCACTCCCTAACAGACAGGTCTCAGCCCCCTCAGGTGAGAGGTCATTGGGGTCAAGTAGCAGACGGAAAGGTCAAAGGTCACGTGATGACATTCAACGTCACTCGATGAACCTAGACGAACACATCAGTATTCTAGATCATGATGGAAATTTTCGAACTCGCAGTCAAACATATACTGATTTGCACAATCCTGATGGAATATCTCAGAACAGTCTATCATCTTCTAATATGAGTCGACATGACTCAGCCCGACTTTTATACTCAAGTAGTAACCCATTGACATATGCTAGTAATACAATTCTAGAGGATGTTGGCTCTCCAGTTTGGAAACCACGGCAATTAACCGTGAAAGACATCAACGAGCCAAAATCTCCAGATTCGCAGCGATCGCAGCGTCTCAATACAACAGTTTTTAACACCCCAGGGTATGGGGACTACTCTAGTGCCCTCTATAATGATCATAACGGCTCTATGACACTAACGCCACCTAATGCTTATTTTGAACAGGTAGACACTGATACAGAGTGCTAACACATACTTATTACTCAGGAGTTCTCTCATATTCTTGAGTAAAATGCATGGAATGAACAGGGCCTGAGTGAGATTTTAGACATAGGTTGATTAAGCATTGTAAAATAGCATTTAATGGACAGCATTGTAATACTGATATTTTACAGTTGAACCTATGTGTATTGAGCACCTTTTACATTGAAGAAAGGTGTACAATGAATGTTATGAACTTGTGTAAATCCATGGAAGTATCATGCTAAAATTTATGTGTTCAGTTGTCATGTTATTGTGTACTGTGTGTCCTGGAATGTATTGCCAAATGTGTCATTCATCTAATTGAATGCATTTCCAAATGTGTCATTCATCTAATTGAATGCATTTCCAAATGTGTCATTCATCTAATTGAATGCATTTCCAAATGTGTCATTCATCTAATTGAATGCATTTCCAAATGTGTCATTCATCTAATTGAATGCATTTCCAAATGTGTCATTCATCTAATTGAATGCATTTCCAAATGTGTCATTCATCTAATTGAATGCATTTCCAAATGTGTCATTCATCTAATTGAATGCATTTCCAAATGTGTCATTCTTCTAATTAAATGCATTTCCAAATATGACATGACACTCTTTGAAATAAATTTTGAATTCTACTTTAGATTAGTGAATTGAATATGTCCACACTACTATACCCCCATACTGTATCCTGTATTCCTTTAAAAGAAGTACAGGCTACAGGGAAGTTGCAAATGGAGGACGTTTGTTTATTTCCATAGTTCTGAATGTATACTAGATTTTACACATATTCTTAGTGTTCTACTATTCATTGTATAGATTCATCGAGCAGTTTGCAACATATTATTACCAGAAAAGCCCAATTGACAAAGATAGAGAATACCCGCTCCATTTGCAACTTAACCGTACCCTGTATCATTTTTAAATGTGGTCACGTGGTAGGGTAGTGTGATGTCAGTGAGTTTGGAAAAATGAAAATACTTGTAAATTCAAGAGATTTTAACAAAATATCAACAGACAATGTAAAAATAATTGTTTAAAATCTGAACAGAAATTTACTCTGCAACAATTCAGTGTATTTTTAAGGAATAACTTATTATTTGTGAGATTAGATATTAATTACAATTTAGTAAGAAAATGTGATGTTTTCTGCAGTGTTTATACATGAAGATGTGCACTATATATAATGGCATGTGGTGTATATAATGTAGTTAACACTGTACTCATAAATTGTACATATTATTACACTATGTATGTAATGTATATTGTAGATATGCCTATTTGAAATCTGACTGATATATATATATTGTGTTATTTATTTATATTTTGCGTCCACTAGTGTTGAGTTTTTCAAAGTTCTATCTTTGTTTTTTATTTGCATTTTCTGAATGGTGCATGTTACATATATACAAGTAACACAAAAATGAACAGTGTTTTATTGTAATATAGAAATGTGATATAAGAGGTGCGTGAATCTATATAATTGAGACTTTAAGCAATGCATATAAAATCAAAACGTAAACCTGTATGTAAAAGTTGCCCTATACAAATGCATGTAGTTTTCTCACATAAATAATCGTTCAGTTACCGTGTTTACTTAGTCCGTTGCATAGACTACACATCATTGTGTAATATGCCATTGATAGTTATATAGCTAGTTTCCTATGATACATCTTTTAAACAAGATCGTTTAGTAATGAAGATATTTGGAGCTAAAACATGTATGACACACATCATTTTCTTCAGAAAGCATTATACTGTGCATCGAAATTAAAATTGCCAGCATATTATTCAATAGACATGAGTTTAATGATTCCCATTGACACCAACGTGAAATTGCAAACCTCCCGTTCTAAACACAGCTCTGAAGCTGATTGGGTATTTGAAGTAGACTAAGTACCGCTTGTTTTGTATGCGCGCTTTATACATTACTGTATTGATTCATTGGCTTTGCGTTCACGGTTACGTTGGGAAAAATATCGCTAGCTTAAACTCTCTATTATTGTTAGTTTCTGAAACCCATTTGGGTCATCCAAATGAACCTAAGTAAGTGTGACACTTGGTTGATTAATGGCCATACAGTGCATACTTTTAGAATGAACCTAAGTGAGTGTGACACTTGGTTGATTAATGGCCATACAGTGCATACTTTTAGAATGAACCTAAGTAAGTGTGACACTTGGTTGATTAATGGCCATACAATGCATACTTTTAGAATGAACCTAAGTAAGTGTGACACTTGGTTGATTAATGGCCATACAGTGCATACTTTTAGAATGAACCTAAGTGAGTGTGACACTTGGTTGATTAATGACCATACAGTGCATACTTTTAGAATGAACCTAAGTGAGTGTGACACTTGGTTGATTAATGGCCATACAGTGCATACTTTTAGAATGAACCTAAGTGAGTGTGACACTTGGGTGATTAATGGCCATACAGTGCATACTTTTAGAATGAACCTAAGTGAGTGTGACACTTGGTTGATTAATGACCATACAGTGCATACTTTTAGAATGAACCTAAGTGAGTGTGACACTTGGTTGATTAATGGCCATACAGTGCATACTTTTAGAATGAACCTAAGTGAGTGTGACACTTGGTTGATTAATGACCATACAGTGCATACTTTTAGAATGAACCTAAGTGAGTGTGACACTTGGTTGATTAATGGCCATACAGTGCATACTTTTAGAATGAACCTGAGTAAGTGTGACACTTGGTTGATTAATGGCCATACAGTGCATACTTTTAGAATGAACCTAAGTAAGTGTGACACTTGGTTGATTAATGGCCATACAGTGCATACTTTTAGAATGAACCTAAGTGAGTGTGACACTTGGTTGATTAATGACCATACAGTGCATACTTTTAGAATGAACCTAAGTGAGTGTGACACTTGGTTGATTAATGACCATACAGTGCATACTTTTAGAATGAACCTTAGTAAGTGTGACACTTGGTTGATTAATGGCCATACAGTGCATACTTTTAGAATGAACCTAAGTAAGTGTGACACTTGGTTGATTAATGGCCATACAGTGCATACTTTTAGAATGAACCTAAGTGAGTGTGACACTTGGTTGATTAATGGCCATACAATGCATACTTTTAGAATGAACCTAAGTGAGTGTGACACTTGGTTGATTAATGACCATACAGTGCATACTTTTAGAATGAACCTAAGTGAGTGTGACACTTGGTTGATTAATGGCCATACAATGCATACTTTTAGAATGAACCTAAGTGAGTGTGACACTTGGTTGATTAATGACCATACAGTGCATACTTTTAGAATGAACCTAAGTAAGTGTGACACTTGGTTGATTAATGGCCATACAGTGCATACTTTTAGAATGAACCTAAGTAAGTGTGACACTTGGTTGATGGCCATCCATTGCATACTTTTAGAATGAACCTAAGTGAGTGGATCAAGGGATTATTTCAACTGCAAAGTGGAAAGATAAACCTGAATGGAATCAAATGCTTTTTAATGACCTTCGTGGATATGCTATATTTGATAACCAAGAGTACAACATACTACATGTAGTTTCCCAGAATTATGTGTTGTAGTTTTTCTCCTGAATTATTATTTAATGTACACTTTTCATTGACTTTTTGTACTACCGGGTGATACCCATTAATTTGAGAATAATTTTCTCAATAATCTTATGATTTTTATATGTATGTTCAATGACTAAAAGATTGGTATGCTTGCATAGCATCATCAACTTGGAAATTGAGAGATATGTCATTTTCCGAACATTGAACATTCTATCTACACACAAAAAATCAGGAAGATTCCTTACTTATTGAGAATGTTATACCAAAATTAGTGGGTGCCATTTTTGTGTCACCCTGTATTCTCCAGTGAATAAATGTACTATTATCCCCCAGTGGATTTAATGCACTTTTTTCATTGAATTCTACATTTGTATGTATTATGAGTGAATATCTTATGGTACAGCACTATTCTTCCCTGAATTACTTGTTGCAGTATTCTTATGGACTTGTATCATTCTCAACTAAGTTCATTCAACTTACAAGAGGCAAGGTGCATTAGTTAGGGATGTAAACTACATGTTTAAATGACTGAGTTTTGACATAAGCATACAATGTTTCATAATAAGTAGAGTGGAAGGAAAACCTGAGATTCTCTAGATTCATTCAGGCATTTATGTAACTATTAAAAAATACAAGTACATATAGATGAAGTTTGGATGGAGCGCTCCCATTTTGGACACCCTGTATGATATAATAATCCATTATGTATGTTGGTGCAGTCAATAGAGAAATGTTTAATGTAATATGTTATGATGATAACACAACAACAGTGTCACAGGCTTATTGGTCTGCAGGAGAATGTGAATCACATATTTGGTTTTAGTGAATAAAAAGAATTTAGCTATAATGACTGTGTTTTGTTTTACTGTTTCTCCCATAATTTTGTGAATGATTCAATCTCATCTATCTGATCATCATTTTCTCTCAAGCATGTAATTTAATTTTCTAAAAAATATGCCTTTTGATTTAAAGTGAACAACTCATGATAAAATTGTACATACAATAAATTTTACAACTAGTAGTATACATGTACATGTAGATACAAAAATTGAAACAATTTCTGATTTATTCCATAAAAAAGAGAATTTGAAATAATTTTTATCCTATATTTAAAAAAGCACATTGGATAATTTGAGAGTAATGTTATCCGCATAATCAATGATAATGCCCATAGTTTGTGCCACGTATCCATTTCAAATTTTGTGTATAATTCTTTGTATGAAAATCTCAAACTGATTCTCAAACTGAGTCAAACGTTTTGGAAAAATAACTCCAAAGCCAACAACACATCTACCAATGTTATATCAATGTTTTATTTTACTGCACATAGTACTTAATCTATGCAAACTGCGAAGCTATTTACATTTTATGCAAAATAATATTTAGTGTGAAGTGAACAAACAAGTATAGCTTTACAGTCTTACTCATATAAAAGTCAATGACAAACCAGATGTGTGAACTCTTACTCATGTACTGCTTTGACTAAAATAAATATATTAATTTTTTTAAAGTATAGGGCCTATGTATAAAGTAACGCAAGTTAATTTTATTCTTAGCAACAGTTAGTTCATAAAATGTTTTCTATGACATTTTGAATGCATCCTTTAAGCCAAATCCAGAATTTGGTGTGTTCAACAAATTATACTTTTGTGACCAATTTTGTGCAACTAGGTGGCAACCCTGATGCCAGTCATGTTAATGCTTTAAAGTCTTAGACCTGAAGTTAGTGATGAAGACCATGTAGTGCAAGCTTTTAGAAAGAGAAGTCAAGTCTCAGTTTTATGCCAAATTAAGTATCAGATCATGTCCCATTACCCACCTTTTAAAATGCAGTCCATTCCTAGCTTCATTTAAATTATGTTTTGTCTCATATTGATGACTAATGCCTAGCTCACATCAACTCTGATTCATCAGCCAGCGCCCATATGATTGAGTATTTTGTTAAAAAATGAATGCAATTCTGAACAAAATACTCAATCGTACAGGCGCAGTCCAATGAATCTGGACTTATGTGAGCTAGCTTGGCATTAGAGAGGATAAGCCACACTTCAGCTGAGAGCAGATGGAATCAGACTAGTAAGATTTGTTTGCAATAACTTTGACCAATCATGAGTGACCATACTAACATTTGACCAATCATGAGAGATCTTACTAGCAATTAGACCAATCGTGAGATCTTATTATCATCAGCCACATAGAAAGTACATAATATAACATTTCTTAAATTCTCCCCATGTCCTTTTATTAAAATAACATATTTTATATGTTCAACATACAGTTAACATATAATTGTTTGCTTGCGAGAGATATGGACCTACATGTGTGACAATATTTTACATTATTTTATATTGTACATGTAGAAAGCTAAATCTATAACAATTTTCTACTGCACATAAACATATCATTCCCAGAACCTCCCACAAAACTAGGTGTTTTACATGGGTATACATACATTGGGTAGTGGTATAACAATTGAACTACCCGTCCCAGATATGATTGAAATGTTGCATTTCTCTTATAGATTTCTTCAGAGAACACTGCCAATGACTACAAATAATCGTAACACTTTAGAAATATAGACTTTTCATAGAAAGGACATGAGGAATTATTAACCGTTATAAAAGGAAAATATTATATTGTACAAAAATTTAATTTCAATGGATCTTTATGATTGTTTTAAAATATGTCATAAAGACTCCTTGTACAATAAGGTATCTAGCTAGGTCTACATTGCACTGCCCCTTCCCTCCCTTCCTCCTCTTCCCCATCTAGGGCTCCTTGATAGCGATAACCCATGTTCATTAACATCACTTCTAAGGGATCTGCATTCATACGTTTCTGATTGGCTGAAGCAGCATCATCAGAATTGTCAACGATCCGGTCATTGAGAACATTCTGGAATAGTGAGACGCATGTGTACAATGTTATTTGATCATATTTGAACATTCAGTTTCTGAATGGTTCACTATTGTTCCAGTCAAGCCAAACACTCATCCAGCAGAAAATCTATTATAATTCAGTATACATATGTTTTGAATTGCATTATATCAGATATTCAGTAATGAATTAATAATGTATTTCAAATGCAGAATGTCTAACTCATTGTGTACTTTCATGATGCAATTGCTTTTTTGAAGGAAGTCAATGTTTGGAAAAGACCCCTTAGCTTTGAAATGGAAACATTCATCCAATGACAAACAGAAGGATTCACTTACAATTGGTTGTGGAGTCCAGAGCCTAACGACAGGATCTATCCCACTGGTTGCTAGGATACAGTAACTAGGGTGTGGCTGAAGGCAGTTAACAATGGAATCGTCACCACGAAGCACTCTCACAATATTTGTTGTTTTTCTCTCCCATATGAAGAATGAGCCATCGTCTGAGCCAGCAACTATATACTGGCCATTACTGGAATAGGATTGGAATAAAACTTTTATTGTATACATATTCTTTGTGCAATCTAGTAAATATGTCATAAATGAAGTACCCTTGAAAAAGGAGATATTAGTCACAATATTGTTTTCCCAATTATACTTCTCTACCTGCCAAAAAAGTTTGCTTCTTTTATATCTGTTGTGGTATTGCAATGTCCGCAGAATCTTGAGTCATAATCAAATGCCATCTTTTGCCATGCTAGTTCCTGACTGGACACAACTTCCTTCTTCTGTCGGGATGAGCTAGGTGACTCCTCAGTGTCTTTCTTAGCACTCTCTAAAATATACAATCACAATTATTAATCCCATCATAACAACTGAACAACTAAGTCTACAAGATAATAAATCGTCACTTATTCTCAGTCCAGAAGGTCTACTGTATCCCATCACATTGTGGTACAAAAGGTCTACTATATAACATCACATGTGGTACAAAAGGTATACTGTCTACCATCACATGTGGTACAAAAGGTCTACTGTATACCATCACATGTGGTACAAGAGGTATACTGTATACCATCACATGTGGTGCAAGAGGTTTTCTGTCTACCATCACATGTGGTACAAAAGATCTACAGTCTACCATCACATGTGGTACAAGAGGTATACTGTCTACCATCACATGTGGTACAAAAGGTCTACTGTATACCATCACATGTGGTACAAGAGGTATACTGTATACCATCACATGTGGTGCAAGAGGTTTTCTGTCTACCATCACATGTGGTACAAAAGATCTACTGTATACCATCACATGTGGTGCAATAGGTATACTGTCTACCATCACATGTGGTACAAGAGGTATACTGTCTACCATCACATGTGGTACAAAAGGTCTACAGTCTACCATCACATGTGGTACAAGAGGTATACTGTCTACCATCACATGTGGTACAAAAGGTCTACTGTATACCATCACATGTGGTACAAGAGGTATACTGTCTACCATCACATGTGGTACAAAAGGTCTACTGTATACCATCACATGTGGTACAAGAGGTATACTGTCTACCATCACATGTGGTACAAAAGGTCTCCTGTACACCATCACATGTGGTACAAAAGGTCAATGCCTGATCTGTGTACAGGTTAATTTCAAATCAATTAAACATGTCCTTGACTCATTAGTATGTGTGAATGAATATGAAAGCTTCTCTGATGTATTAAATACACCAGTAAATGAGTAATGTTTCGGGGTATAAGGTGCGTACTTGTACTTCCAAATTTTAGAAGTGGCAATATCTGAATCTACTAGAGACATATTTGATTCTTTCATCCTACTTTCCTCATTCAACTTTCTAAAATTAGACATCTAAAATCAAAGAAACATGTCTTGGAGTACTTGAATATACAGTAAGTCAGAGTCAAAATAAGCTAATGAGCGATGAACAAGTATCTTCAGGATAATTATACAAGGGTACATGTAAATAAAAAAAATAAACAGCAGTGTACCTTTCTCATCTGATTGTTCAGCTATGTCAGTTGTAATGTCTTTATCTAATGCTTCACATGCAGGACTTTTAGCATAGTCAGGAAACTTTTCTTTGAACATTGCTAAGCAATCGTGGGCCTCCTTGGTCCAGGCAAGTTCATAGAGGCACCTGGCTAATCTAAAGTGAGCCTTTAAGTGGGTGGGGTCCAAGCGGATGGCTGAGTAGCAGTCTCTTAGAGCAGCATATACATCGCCATCCCTGAATCATAAACTCAATAATTAAAACAACCATATTTTGGGGATATTTTATGATCCTTGAGAAATATGTAAGTATATAATTAAATCCGCCATGCCACGAGAGCAAAGCAAAAAAGTAAGTCCTAGGTATAATAGAATTTATGAGTGGAGAAATAATTAGGGGTGGGTTGGACTCCAAACTGCTTCGGGCCTCGGGTCAGGGCGGGCAGTAATGTCAATCTTCTAGTTTGGATGATACCAAGAGTACAATTTAATAAATAAACATTATACTGAATTAAGTGTCTTATGTTTCTTGTTAATATTGCTTAACCATTTTCTGATGATTTATGCTTCAAGGGCTAATGATTATTAACAATTTAGCCAAATCAATTAATCTATCAACATGTGGAAGCTTGAAAACATAACCCAAATAGAATGTAATGTTCCAAAATCACAACTTTATTGCTTTAAGTGAATATGTAACTCCCCTCGGGTTGAACTAGACAAAGTTATCATCTTTCAATTACAATACAATTTCAATATATGGCGCAAATAAGTTTTATAGATGTTCTAAAATCACCATATTTTCTAATACTTGCCAGGCTCGCTTCAAATATGCAGCTGCACGATTCCCAAACAAGATAGCAGAGTCTGATACCATGGCGATTGCTCTGTTGTACAGCATGATGGCGCTAGTGTAGTTCTGGTGTTCAAAAACACTATTTGCTTGCTGCTTTATAACCTCTACATTCGGTGGCAGCACTTTATCACTCCGATATTTATACCTGAAAACAATTAAGGCTGTTTTTTAAACAAAACAACCATGAGACTTGAATGTACTGAGCAAGTGTAATGCATTGTAATTGTTTTTACAGATGGTACACAGTTTAGGAAGACAATATTGAGGAGTTCAAATCTTCAAATAAAAGATGTATCGCTCAACTTCTACTTAAATGTGTATGTAGTATCCATATATGTACCACCTAACAGTTAAAAAACTTTTCATAATATTTGATGATATATAAATGTTCATTACTAAATGTTAAATTATCAAAAAATTAGTCAAATTGACTCTTTAACCTTTTAGCTTTTACTGGTTCATCAATGTGTGCTAGCACGCCATTGGTTGATTCTTGAATGTGACGTGACACCCCATTGGTTGTGCCATTAGTGCCATTTCTTGAAGAAGTGAATCCATTCTGCGTAGCTGCTGCTTCTGAAATAAAAGATTTAATATTTGATGCAGCTTATAAAACAAGTAATAGACCTCAACTCAGGGTAAAATAAGAGAGACAGACTTCAAAATAAAAATTGTATTATAATCATAAATTATATCAACTAATAGGTGATAATCTAACCTTTAACGAATCCATTGGTGTTAGGCATTCTGGGCATATTAAACTTTTGTGGTAGTTGCCTTCTGTTGATATCAAACATGTAGATCTGTTCTCCGCCAAGGTTGACTAGGAGCTCATTGCCGTCTGGGCTAAAGGTGAGATACGTGGAGGCAAGAGTTCTATAGCGCTTCTTGTAGTCCTGCTGCTTCTGGGGAAGATGACCTGAAACATTCAATACAATATTATTTCTCAGAGTGCTACCATAGCTCCCTTATGGGGATTCAATGTTTCAGCCCCATTTTGTTTTTTTGATAATTTGTTTGTCTTCCAACTTTGCAATTGAATGGAGGAACACACAATTTAGTAGCAATTGCCTTGTTCACAGTGGGACATCCATTAGTTAAAAGTAATGTATAGGATAGACACCACCCTAAAGTATGTTTCTAAAATTGACACAATTATAATATTTTGGGCTCTTATCACTCCACGTCAGATTTATTTTCTAAAAAGTCAAACAGTTCTGACTTTATTTCAGGATAATTCTTTGATTTAAAGTAATATTTCCAAAATTGTTCCAAGTGAACAGGTCTTCCTTATATGTTCCATAGCAAAATATTGTTGATTATTGTTTTGGGTGTTTTATTTTTTGATTACTTTAAACAATTATGAATTAAGCTTTATTGAAGCATTTATAATCTGAAAGTTTGAATCTTAAAAAGATCAATTTAAAGAGACTTTTGTGATTAAAAATGAAAAGAATGAGATATTGTAAAAGCTGACCTGCAACATAATAGCTGACAGCAGTAGTTGGTATGTCAAAGTCTTCAGGTGACATGTGGGACATTGTTTGAGCTTGGTTACCATACATCCTCTCACTGGGGAACTGAATCATTTTACAGGCCAGCATACGCCTATCATAAATCCTGACATATGGGTCATTTGCCCCAACAGCCAGCAGCTCAGGCCTGAGAGGGTTAATTGCAAGACACTTGGCTTCAGCATGTGATCCCATGTGGGCATTAAGATTCACCAGGACATTACGTGGAGATGTTCCAGAAGAAAGCTCAGGCTCTCTTAGATCAAATTGCCTGAAATTGAATAACATAATGTACAGGGTGTTCAAAAAAATCCAACCCAAAGAAATCCCTATATCTTGGAAAATACTGATCCAATTGTGTTCATTTTTTCAGGAAAGAAAGGAGAGACTGTGTATGTATAGCCCCTGTTGTTAGTTAGTTGTAAAACATGATGTCTTAGACACTTGCTCAAAAGACAGTTGTACTCGCAAAACACGAAAACCTTGAATGGAAAATCACTATATCTTGGAAAATACTAATTCGATTATGTTCATTTTTTCAGGAAAGAAGAGACTGTGTATGTATAGATGCTTTTGTCAGTTAGTTGTAAAACATGATTTCTTAGACACCTGCTCAAAAGACAGTTGTACTAGGAAAATACGAAAAATGCAGTCAGAGGTGACTGCCACAGCAATAAAAACCAAATAACTTTCTAACCATAGTGCTTTGGCACTTCAGATTTAGCACAAATTATCCCCATTTAATATGTGGTTAATTTGTGGAGTTTGATCAAAATCAATCCAGGAACTTTACAGTCATGGTCAAAATGCCTTCTTAAGTCTGCCTGAACCAGGGCGTTTGACTGCGATTTGAAAGCATTTCGTCTATGACTGTAAAGTCCCTGAAGTGATTTTGATTTCATTCTATAGATTTACCATACATTGTATGAAGATGATTTGTGCCAAATTTGAAGAGCCAAAACACTATGGTTAGGAAGTTATTTAGGTTTTTGCAGTTGCAGTCACCCCTAACTGCATTTTGAACACCCTGTATGTATGTATCTTTTATTCCCGATTTCAAATCGGATTTCATATTAAATAATTACATTATATTACAGTTTTAAAAGAATAAACATAAACAAGGTCACGACATATTTACAGTCTTCAATTTAGTATAAAAATTTCACTGCAACATTACAAAATTACAACATCTTCTGCATGTTTATGCAAATATAGGTACAAGACTAATGCCTGAGTCTGATATTACTATTTGAATGTATTTCAAGATAAGCTCTAAAGTATATATCTCAAATGAATCTGAGGCAGGGCGACATACAGAAGCACAAATTTCTCTTCAGATTCATTTTAGAGCTCACACATATATTTTTTAATAAAATGGCAAGTAGGCAAGTATACATACATATGACCTTTGAAATGTGGTGAAATACTTGTACATTGTAGTATGACAAAAGATATATAAACTGGATCTACTCACATAATGGTACCATCCTCTGATGCACTCCAGAACATGAATGGCACAGTGGGGGCAACTGCAATCCGCTTCACTCTGCCAGCATGTGAGCTGAACACTTGGGTAGTCTCCTTAGACTTGAGGTCATGAACCCTGATCTTGCAGTCTGCAGCCCCTGTCACCACTAGGCCATCATTTGTGTTGGGCAAGAACTGGGAAGAGAAAATACATCACTTATTTCAGCAAAACATGCCAATGATTTAATCTAGTCTGGATTTATTTTATTGAGTCAATTATGAAATAGACCAATGTCTTTAAAATGCCATACATTCTACACATGTTATAACTTACATTGCCTAATTTCCTAAGACTTTTTGCACTGACCGTAGTAGAGGATATATTGCCATTGTTTCCAGTGAGTATTGCTTTGTGCACTAACCTTAGCAGAGGATATATTGCCATTGTTTCCAGTGTGCATTGCTTGTGCACTGAGCTTGACAGAGAATTTATTTTCATTGTGTCCAGTGTCTATTGCTTTATGTACTGAGCTTGACAGAGAATATATTGCCATTGTGTCAAGTGCATATTGCTTTATGTACTGAGCTTGACAGAGAATATATCGCCATCGTGTCAAGTGCATATTGCTTTATGTACTGAGCTTGACAGAGAATATATTGCCATTGTGTCAAGTGCATATTGCTTTATGTACTGAGCTTGACAGAGAATATATCGCCATCGTGTCAAGTGCATATTGCTTTATGTACTGAGCTTGACAGAGAATATATCGCCATTGTGTCAAGTGCATATTGCTTTATGTACTGAGCTTGACAGAGAATATATTGCCATTGTGTCAAGTGCATATTGCTTTATGTACTGAGCTTGACAGAGAATATATTGCCATTGTGTCAAGTGCATATTGCTTTATGTACTGAGCTTGACAGAGAATATATTGCCATTGTGTCAAGTGTGTATTGCTTTATGCACTGAGCTTGACAGAGAATATATCGCGATTGTGTCCAGTGTGTATTGCTTTATGCACTGAGCTTGATGGAGAATATATTACCATTGTGTCAAGTGCGTATTGCTTTATGCACTGAGCTTGACAGAGAATATAGTGCCATTGTGTCCAGTGTGCATTGCTTTGTGCACTGACCTTGACAGAGAATATATTGCCATTGTGTCCAGTGTGTATTGCTTTGTGCACTGACCTTGGCAAAAAATGAATTGCCATTATGTCTGGTGTGTATCTGGTGTGAATTGCTTTGTGTACTGATTTTGACAGAGAATATATTACCATTGTGTCAAGTGCATATTGCTTTATGCACTGAGCTTGACAGAGAATATATTGCCATTGTGTCAAGTGCGTATTGCTGTAAGCACTGACCTTGACAGAGAATTTATTATCATTGTGTCCAGTGTGTATTGCTTCGTGCACTGACCTTGACAGAACATATATTGCCATTGTGTCCAGTGTGTATTGCTTTGTGCACTGACCTTGACAGAGAATATATCGCGATTATGTCCAGTGTGTATTGCTTTATGCACTGAGCTTGATGGAGAATATATTACCATTGTGTCAAGTGCGTATTGCTTTATGCACTGAGCTTGACAGAGAATATAGTGCCATTGTGTCCAGTGTGCATTGCTTTGTGCACTGACCTTGACAGAGAATATATTGCCATTGTTTCCAGTGTGTATTGCTTCGTGCACTGACCTTGACAGAACATATATTGCCATTGTGTCCAGTGTGTATTGTTTTGTGCACTGACCTTGACAGAGAATATATTGCCATTGTGTCCAGTGTGTATTGCTTTGTGCACTGACCTTGACAGAACATATATTGCCATTGTGTCCAGTGTGTATTGCTTTGTGCACTGACCTTGACAGAGAATATATTGCCATTGTGTCCAGTGTGTATTGCTTTGTGCACTGACCTTGACAGAGAATATATTGCCATTGTGTCCAGTGTGTATTGCTTTGTGCACTGACCTTGACAGAACATATATTGCCATTGTGTCCAGTGTGTATTGCTTTGTGCACTGACCTTGACAGAACATATATTGCCATTGTGTCCAGTGTGTATTGCTTCGTGCACTGACCTTGACAGAGAATATATTGCCATTGTGTCCAGTGTGTATTGCTTTGTGCACTGACCTTGACAGAGAATATATTGCCATCGTGTCCAGTGTGTATTGCTTTGTGCACTGACCTTGACAGAGAATATATTGCCATTGTGTCCAGTGTGTATTACTTTGTGCACTGACCTTGACAGAGAATATATTGCCATTGTGTCCAGTGTGTATTGCAGTTAGCTTTCTGTGGTGGAGAGGTTCCCATACAATAACTTGCATATCATCTGAGCCACTGGCTAACAGGCTGAAAATATAGCTTTAGAATATTATGAAGGCATCTTAGTTTAAATTAATCAAACTAGTTCACACACGTCTAGGCAAGGTGTGTCCAATTCCAGCCAATCAGATCATGCTCTTTCCTAAAACTACCTTGCAATATACTAATCTAATGCACTCAATGTCATATTTAGATTCTAGTTAAACTAATGAAACTGATAAGCTATTCAATTTCGTAGTTGAGTAAAAATCTATAAATAGTATCATAGGGAAATATCAAGCCAAGTGCTTGTGCAAATCAAATGGTTAGTGTTCAAAGATTGTCTAGGTGACAACTTGACCCTTGCAAAAAGTTTCCTTTAAAATATATTCTTTGAAGTCACTTCATTTTTTAAGTGCTATTGTAAAAACTATTTTGCAATGTGTAAAAAGAATTAAGCACAAGACTGAATGCACTGTGGCTGATTCATTCCACTGAGGAGTTGTTTCCTAAATTATATAAATGTAACTGTGACTCAACTTAATTTGGCGACCGATTTAATTTGACGAATTTGGCAAATTGCAAAAAATTCGCCGATTCATGTCTCCGCCAATTTTCAGAAATTCCTGGGAAATTTTAAAAATCGTGGTTCAAATGTTCAAGATCTGATTTATCCAAGAAATTGGACTATTTAGTGTTCGAAAGTTGCAATAAGATCCAGTAGGGCTTATTCATTCACCAATTTCACAGCCATTTATTCTTGCTAAATTCGCCAAATTAAATCTCCGCCAATTTCCAAATTTCGCCCAATTTGAAACAACACATTCGAGGAATAATAATCTGTCCACAATACACTGGTCCAGGGCTTAAATCTTAAAACAAAGAAGGAGTCTATGAATGACCTAAATCTGTTTGTAAAAATAATACTGTTATTACTTCATTAAATTATATACTATAATACAGAAAAACTACATGTTATAGACAGTGACACCAAGATGCGACAAAAAATACTATCTTGACACAAGTGATATGTTAAATGTTAAATGAATACAGAATATTATTTCAGTTCAAATACTGTGACAAAAGTAATAATCTTTTATACATCAATCATGTTTTATTAAGAATCTTATGGGTAAACATACTAAAGAGGGAACAATAAAATACAATGATGACATCATATTTAAACATATGTTTTTGGTATTCATTTTTATGTCTCTTACCTTCCTGACTGGTTCCATTCCAAGCAGTTGACACACCCTGTGTGGCCCTACAACAAAACATGAATCATTATGTAGAATATATACATATGCACATATATACATATGCACATATATACATATGCAGACACATCAGATATCAGGAAGAGGACATTGATGCAGAAATCAAAGAAACATTCAATATACTTGTTACTTTATAATCCAAGAATTACAGAAAAAATTCAAAGACATTTTGACAATTTGAAGGTCAATCTTTAACTTGAGGTCAGAAGTGAACTCCTGAAAACTTGTAGATGATTTTTTAAAAAAAGTTTTGGGCTGTTATATCTCGAAACTGGCACAAAAATTTAATATAAAATTAAAACTTTGACCCTTGACCTTATAAAGCTGACCTAAATTTGAATCAAAAAATCAAATCGAGAAATTCACCTTTTGACCTTTCGAAGGTCACTGAAGGTCAACTAAAGGTCAAGTATGAGGTCAGATATGGAATCCTGGCAATTTGTAGATAATTTGTGAAAAATTTCGTCAGATTGAAGAAAGATGAAAAATGACCTATTTTCACCATTTTTTTACATCAAATATCTCAAAAACTGTAAAACTTAAATGCTGAGATACATATATGAGCAATTTCAAAATTTAATTTATCGTAACAAATAATGAAGTACAAGGACAAACATTGAGAAACTTTTGGATTTGACCTAAATTTGAAAGAAGAATAAAGAAAACAGGCAAAACCAAAAGACTCCAAATAACTAAATAAAGAATAAAGAAAAGCTATTAGAAGCCTTTTCCAGGGGGACTTCTTAAAAAGAATAAATAAAATAAAAAAAGAAAGACAAGAAAGCCATAGGAGGCCTCTTTCAGAGGGCCTCCTTATAATTGATTAACATGAATAAGTTTTTGTTTATTCATTATATGGTTGCAGTGAATTAATAATGAGGCATTTACATTCCAGACATTCAGGTCAAACCAAACAGAAACCTGTCTCAGTCTTGGAATTATACACTGTTTATATACCTGTATTACATACCTAGCGAAGCATTTGTATGGAAGCCAATGGGAAAGTTAGCGAGCTATATCCACAGATATTGCCCGATTACCCCGATATAGCCCGCTTACCTCGTTTTGATATTAGATTTCTTTAATAACCATGATAATATCATGACGTCACGTCATTGATACAAAGTAACCATGGGAACAAAGGCATGTAATACATCAGTTATGTCACTATGACGTGAAATATGCCTTCGTTCTTGCCCAAATATAGAGCCTCCCAAGGTCGGCCTATATTGGGAGAACTCAGGCATATTTCACGTCATAGTGACATAACCTCTAAATATTTACTGTATGTATGTCTTTACCTCTAATTCCTTTTCAAGACCAATACGGAGAGTAAGATCTGGCGTGACATGGCTCTCACGTTGGAATTCTGTGTTAGTAGATCCCTGAATAAAAGTTAATATATAATTAAATAATAATGACTGAATTTTCATTCATCTTCTCCTTAGGACTGAAAATCAGAAATTTACAGGTACAGAATGCATCTCCTTTCAGCTAGCTGACTAGAATACATGTCTAAGATACAATGGACCAATGATAAAGTTCAACGTTGGAGAGCTAACTGTATTTAACTCTAAGGTATACCTGTATCTGCTATGAGGGAAATATATGGAAATTATATAAGAAAACTAAATAAAGTATACTTTGACATATAAAACATATCAACTTCAATCCTCATACACTTGGCTTGCTTCTTCCCCACACCTCTTTATCTAGAGCACATAGTCCTTTTTCCCCCTGGGTCTCATCAGCCCCATGAATGAAATCCTGGGGAAAATTGACAAAAAAGGGGGTACGGCCACATCAACGCACCCCCCCCCCCCCTTCGAACATGCATGTATAAGCCTAAGCTCATGAACTAACTACTGTTTTCACTATGTTTTTGCTCCAACATATGCCATTTGCAATTATTTACATAATTTACAACTCTAGCAATTCAATTTCCATTCCAGGAAATTATATTTCCATTGGACTAAGTGCATTTTAGGGTTATAGGCTCCTAGTCTACTTACCAAAATTTCCCTTCTATTTAACTGCTTTAAAAAACTAGTTTGGTATGTCATATTTCACATTTGAATGGCCTAATGCTTGGCTCTTATTTCTATATCTTGATCGAAAAAGTTGCCTATTTTCTGAAAGATTATTTGTGATTCTTTCGTCTATAATCGAGCAAATAAAGCATTTTCATCCAGTATATAGATTCCACTCAAAGCCTAAATGTTTATCAGTGATTGTGTAATTGCTTGTTTGTTTCTTGAGTTCAAATGACCTTTTATATCCGTGTCAAACTGTTGTTTGTTATGATTTCTACGAGAGTTTTTATATTTTTAGAACGACTACTTTAAGGTAAATTATATTTCCCGTTGTCGTAAAACTGGTTAGTGGCTGCGTTCTGTTGCCACGAAATATTGATAGGTACGTGTACTTTGCGCGAAGGGTCTAGTTATGATCCGAAGTGAAGCAAAGTTGAACGAATATAATGGATGGTTGATAGGCAGCCATCCGGACCAAAGTATAAAGTAGCATGGAACTTTGAAGGCCGTCAAATAGGATTTTGACATGAAGGCCTTTTAGAGTAACTCACTTAGGCAAAACTGCCCTAATTCACGTCACCATACTAGTCAATGGGCAAAAGGGCAAACGCCTGACTTTTTATCTCGAGTTATGGATTTATGTGGCCTCACTGGCCTATCTGAGGTTCTAAAGCTATGTCTAAGCTACATCTTGACACTAAACTCAATAGGGGCCAATCATCTACTTTTTGAAATAATTGGTCAATTGTGACACTACCCCCTCTCTCTGCAGACACAAATTGAAATTCACAAAAATGAAGGCAAAATTAATACGCCACTTGACTCGAAATTTTCCTTCAGATAACCCAAATAAACGCATTTTCAGAAGAAATGGCATGTTGCCATTGCAAAAAGATTACAACTGTGCCTACATACTGGCTTACTGACTCGTCATGATCACAATTGTGTTGGGACTACATTTATTTTTGAATACTACTTTTTTCTATTCAGCGGAAGTGATTAGGGCATTTTGGCCTAATAGCCACATGGTTGGATGATTTCTGGCTTTAAATTGCGTTTTTCCAATTTACTAGAGTTTTTCAAGTAGTTTTGTGCAGTTTAAGAATATTCTGACAGCAATTATGAAAAATATGGCTACTTCATTACCCCTGGGGTCATTTTTCCAAGAACCCAATGGTTTTCCTTTAAATTTGACTAGTTTTTCATTTACATCATGAAATCCACTGCCTGATGGTGACATTTTTCAGTATCGTGTCAAGAAATTGAGTATTTTATTGCATATTGCGATTTTTAGCCAAAATCACTGAACCGTGAACCAGAAAATTGGACAAATTTGGCCCACTTTTTGGCAAAATCTTACTAAAATCATCACTTTTTCATACTTTATTCCATTCAACAACCTCCTGATTTGAAAAATGATGACAAATTTGATCAGTTTTGACTCTGGCCTAGAGAATTGGGACTTTTGAGATATTTTTTAGCTCGAATGTAGTCATTCAGAGTGAACAAATACATCAAAAATTGACACTTAACTCACCAATTTCTGACTGCACCCCCGATATGTACCTTCTTTCTATACTGGAAACCATAAGATGGAAAATTCAATCTTTATGATGAATAGCAACTCGTTGGCTTACCCATTTACGACAACAAATGACATTTAGTTGTCACTAAGGACAAAATTGTAGCCAAATATTGTCAAAATCAGTGGTTTTTGGGGTAAAAAGCGAAAACTGCTGATTCAGCAAAAATATTAAATTTGTTCATGAAAATACCCCTTTTTGCCTCCGTCCAAAATATGTTTCACACTAATAAACTTCAATTCTGGGCGATTCTGAGTAGTTTTAAAAAATTTTGGTCACTTTCACATGTGACTAATAGGCAAAACTGCCCTAATTCACGTCACCATACTAGTCAATGGGCAAAAGGGCAAACGCCTGACTTTTTATCTCGAGTTATGGATTTATGTGGCCTCACTGGCCTATCTGAGGTTCTAAAGCTATGTCTAAGCTACATCTTGACACTAAACTCAATAGGGGCCAATCATCTACTTTTTGAAATAATTGGTCAATTGTGACACTACCCCCTCTCTCTGCAGACACAAATTGAAATTCACAAAAATGAAGGCAAAATTAATACGCCACTTGACTCGAAATTTTCCTTCAGATAACCCAAATAAACGCATTTTCAGAAGAAATGGCATGTTGCCATTGCAAAAAGATTACAACTGTGCCTACATACTGGCTTACTGACTCGTCATGATCACAATTGTGTTGGGACTACATTTATTTTTGAATACTACTTTTTTCTATTCAGCGGAAGTGATTAGGGCATTTTGGCCTAATAGCCACATGGTTGGATGATTTCTGGCTTTAAATTGCGTTTTTCCAATTTACTAGAGTTTTTCAAGTAGTTTTGTGCAGTTTAAGAATATTCTGACAGCAATTATGAAAAATATGGCTACTTCATTACCCCTGGGGTCATTTTTCCAAGAACCCAATGGTTTTCCTTTAAATTTGACTAGTTTTTCATTTACATCATGAAATCCACTGCCTGATGGTGACATTTTTCAGTATCGTGTCAAGAAATTGAGTATTTTATTGCATATTGCGATTTTTAGCCAAAATCACTGAACCGTGAACCAGAAAATTGGACAAATTTGGCCCACTTTTTGGCAAAATCTTACTAAAATCATCACTTTTTCATACTTTATTCCATTCAACAACCTCCTGATTTGAAAAATGATGACAAATTTGATCAGTTTTGACTCTGGCCTAGAGAATTGGGACTTTTGAGATATTTTTTAGCTCGAATGTAGTCATTCAGAGTGAACAAATACATCAAAAATTGACACTTAACTCACCAATTTCTGACTGCACCCCCGATATGTACCTTCTTTCTATACTGGAAACCATAAGATGGAAAATTCAATCTTTATGATGAATAGCAACTCGTTGGCTTACCCATTTACGACAACAAATGACATTTAGTTGTCACTAAGGACAAAATTGTAGCCAAATATTGTCAAAATCAGTGGTTTTTGGGGTAAAAAGCGAAAACTGCTGATTCAGCAAAAATATTAAATTTGTTCATGAAAATACCCCTTTTTGCCTCCGTCCAAAATATGTTTCACACTAATAAACTTCAATTCTGGGCGATTCTGAGTAGTTTTAAAAAATTTTGGTCACTTTCACATGTGACTAATAGGCAAAACTGCCCTAATTCACGTCACCATACTAGTCAATGGGCAAAAGGGCAAACGCCTGACTTTTTATCTCGAGTTATGGATTTATGTGGCCTCACTGGCCTATCTGAGGTTCTAAAGCTATGTCTAAGCTACATCTTGACACTAAACTCAATAGGGGCCAATCATCTACTTTTTGAAATAATTGGTCAATTGTGACACTACCCCCTCTCTCTGCAGACACAAATTGAAATTCACAAAAATGAAGGCAAAATTAATACGCCACTTGACTCGAAATTTTCCTTCAGATAACCCAAATAAACGCATTTTCAGAAGAAATGGCATGTTGCCATTGCAAAAAGATTACAACTGTGCCTACATACTGGCTTACTGACTCGTCATGATCACAATTGTGTTGGGACTACATTTATTTTTGAATACTACTTTTTTCTATTCAGCGGAAGTGACGTATTAGGGCATTTTGGCCTTAGCGGACTCTAGTAAGAATATTGGATCGCCTGTCGATTCACGTACTGTCAAATGATTTTGAACGCCGTCAATAATTACAATCATGAACTTTAAGGGCTATTTTAATAGAATGCTGTCATGAATTACAGTAAAACCTGTCTAATCCGAACAATATTGGGACCGGTGTACGAGAAATAATGGTCCCCTTGGGGGGGGGGGGTGATTAATTATCCCTTGATAATTGGACAATTGTTGAAAGTCGGTGATAGGACCTTTAACCCTAGTATTCATTGTCCCAGGTTATAGTGCCCCTGGGAAAATAAACCCTGATCGGACAACCATTTCTGTCACATCAGAAACAGGGTTAATAGTCCCCTTTATCCCAGTGTTATAGGTAAATGACATGCGGGAATATAATTGATATCTTAGGTGAGCGGGTGATATATAGTATAAATAGTATGAGGTGAGCGGGTGATAAATATCTCCCCCTATGCCCATGTTTTATGTTAAAAAGTGTGGAGTTTTAAACTGAAAACAATAACTGTGAAGAACTTTACATCGATATAAGATATTCATGTTTTGATTGTAGTTATCATTTGTAATTATTACATGAGCGTTCCATAACATTCAATGCATGCTTAATAATCTACTAATCTTCATAATTTACTAAGTATAGGATAAATCAGTTATTAAATGTTCGATTTTTGATACAGGGTATATCCCTCGGTAAATATAGGTTATTTACTGGGAGGGATTGAATATGGGTTTTATTCCGAGGGACAATATGATATTGACCGAAGGGTAATATGATATTGACCGAGGGAGCGCAGCATCAGGGATGCGGTACGTGCGATGAGATCAAGGGCAGACATTTGCATTGAAAGGAATGGGGGTCATGTTGAAGGACACTAGGGTTAAAACAACTTTGAATGGACATTGGGATTTAAAAGGGGTGTTAAATATGATATGTGTAATTTTAATTGGAATAAATGAGTAAAAGAGTGATATCCTGATGTTTGTTGTTACTTACCACTTTGTTATGATGGTGAAATTGACTTGGCTGAAAGTGGTACAAACTCATTTCTGACATGGTCACTTAAATCCCTTAAAACTCAGTCATCCGTGGAGGAAAATAGACAACTTTGGTATCATAAGAAAGACGACATCATAACCTATCAGATGGTAGCTGTGAAATTTTCCTATTATTATTCATATTTGAGAAATAAGCAATATATTGCTGGTTTCCTTTTTTGGGACACACTGTATAACGATCGCAGTTCCCTAAAATCGCCAAATTCCTATGACAACAGGAAAACATCTACGGTTGGCTTATGATCTCCGTCAACCTTTTTTAAAAGCCTGTAGAGTGGCCGTTTATAACTTTATAATCTGAGTTAAAACTGTTTTCATTTCTATGGTCACCGTAGAAGTGAACAAGTCGTAGTGAAACTGTAGAAAGGTTCCACACTAGCCGTATTTTGGGCGCGCGGTCGATTTGCGGCTGCGCTAAGGGTTTATGGGTTATATTTTACAAAAGCAAAGTTCCATTAAACTTGAATATTCATCAGTTTTAGTTGTTCAATTACCATATACAAGGTATATATCTGATAGTTACACAAATTAAAATATGTTCAGTAAAGAATAGTCTTGCTTAAAAGACCCTGTACTCACCCCCTTTATCCTTCTCTCTAGCCAGGTAAAGAGAGCGAAGGTGACGGGGGGGGGGGGTGGATACAGTCTTTGAGGAAGACTAAGTAAAGAAAATATTATCTACCAGATGTCAATATTGCGCTTTGGGCAAACTTGCACCCGTCATTCAAAATGTTCATACCATACTAACCTGACTTCTACATGTGGGATATGCCAAAGATAAAGTGTACAAAAACGACCTCAGGACAATTACTAGTAGTTGGGTCATAGACAACTTGTGCAGGTTTGTCTGAGCGCGATGATGGCCACACATGGAGCATGTTGTTTAAAGTGCTGTAACATTGTGACTATCAGTCTGATGGTCATGAAAAAGGTAGGTTGATAGGAAACTGAATGATGTACAAGTGTGTAAAATACCAGGGAGTAATTTCCTACATTGACAAAGATATGAGGAAAATACAGGGTTGCCGTTTTTTTACCACCCATTCAAGATATTTCACATATTTGTGATTTTATAATACGGGGTCAAAGAAAATTGAATTTTCAAAGTTGATAAACACTTTTTAAAACAATGTAATTTTACATGTTGATTTCAAATGTGATATCACTTTGACTAACGTAAATCAAGATTATGTCTAATCACATCTAGTCTACCTGACCGTAAAATCGCCGTACGAGCCCCCTGAGACCGCCTTGGCATTTGTCTTGAACTAAGTCAACCGTAGGGACGTCCTACGGCGACCGTGCGTTTTTTGCATTCCGTAGAGTCGCCGAAGAAATTATAAATCAGAGTTTCACCTTTTTTCATTCACCATAGAAATTAACAAGTCGCATTCAGATCGTGGAAAGGTCCCAAGCTGGTCGTACATCGGGTTTACGGTCGAATTACGACTGCCCCGAGATTTCATGGTTAACAGTTGACCTTTGCGAACCGTTGGATCGCAGTAAGGCCCCCCTGCGTCATTGGGAGACACCCAAATGGACCATTCAACCTAGCCATATGACAATATTTTCCAGGTGTTTTTCCTTGGTTAAATGGTCCAGGGACCAAGATCCCTCGAGAAAATGCTCCAGGGGAGATTATTTTGGTGGGACCTAAAATATTTCTACATAGACTTTGTAGCATATTTGCTATTGACCCTTTCTCGACTTAATGCAAGACTAGTTATCCCAAACGATATGTCAACCTGTCCTGTTTCCCATTTTATATTAAAAAGTTATTGACAAGCCATTTTGTACAAAAATATAGACGATGAAATAAATTGATCATTTATAAATAAATATGTCAATTTACAATGAAATTTATTATAGAAGTCAAATTGATTATTAGTTTTATGTTTCATATCTATGCTAAATTGATGCTACGACATTCCTCTAGATTATTAATATTTGGGATGCAGGTGTTTCCTGCATTGATCTAATAGCTATTTATATTTGTTTTCTTAAAAATTACCTTCCACAAACTTAACTTGTCTCAGTGTCTAGCGATATGAAGAATGGCTCACACTGAGGCTCCATTGCCTTTATTTGGAGACACTGGAAAACATATGCAGCACTTATTGTAAAAGAAGGGCAGCCAGCATCGTAAGAAATTCCTTCTAGAAGTTTGCGAGGTAGAGATGGTCTGAGTATCAGAATGGGAAGCCAGAATACTAAATAAATCAGTCAGACGACGTTCTGGTAATTTGTTATATTAAATTCTATTATTTGTAACGATAGAGGAAGAAGTAAAGTCGTGGACGATGAAAATCATTACGTTGATCGGATATATAACGTTGACGTTAACAGGAGTTCTAATCAGTACACTCATTGGGGGAATGGGAAGTTGGTCGAGTTCCTATGGAAACGCAGGTTATCTGGTCAAATGCGGTTCCAGAGATGAAACAGTGACTGTGAAAAGGACGAAGTTCACCCTACGAGATGGTATAAATGATGAAAAAGAGATTACCTCACAAAATAAAACAAGAGATGAGAAAATACCGCGAAACATAACAAAAGTTATAATACTGACATACAGGAGAAGTGGTTCAAGCTTTTTTGCCGAGTTATTAAAACAAAACCCAGGTGTATTTTTCATATTTGAGCCCCTTGTGCCTGTTGCTGAAAAGCACGGGGACCTTGACGTTCCTATCGTGGGACCTGCTTACATACGCGAAATACTGAATTGTCGTTTCGGCAGCAACTCATTCCTCAATCAGTCAGCGACCATGAAGGGCTGGAGGTGGCAATCTGTTTTCCGGGGAGTAAGTGACTTTAAAGCTATTCCAAAGGTATGCCTCGGGAGAGGGATTGTTGCAACAAAGATTATTCGTCTGAGAAATATTGGTGAAATTGCTCCGTTCTTTGACGAGGACACTGCGATCCTATCATTGGCGAGGGACCCGAGGGGAATTCTAAACTCTAGAAACAAGGAAAACGTAGAATACATGAACCAAACATTAGAACAGAAGAAAAATGACATGAAAGTATTGTGTTATAACATGCTAACTAACATAAACTTCATTCACGATTTGGATAAAAGTAAGAAACGACTTCGGTCAAGCGCTTTCATCAAGCAAGTCCTATATGAGGATTTCGCAATGAATCCATTGAATAACACAAAAGAACTGTACAAGACTTTGAACATTGAATTCCACGAGGCCGTTCAGCAATGGATAGAGAAGAATACTTCAAATAATTCCAATTGGGGCTCTGTGTACGGCACTAGCCGGAATTCATCTAGCCTCCCGTCCATGTGGAGGCATGAGCTCAGCCAAAAGGAACTACATATGATTCAAAATATAACAAATTGCTCAAAAGTAATCAAATTGCTTGGCTTTCAGAAATAAATAATGTTTAAAGCAAATAAGAATAAAATAAGCCAGTCCTAACACCAATAACCAAACGGTATCAAATGGGCTATAACCATTGGGAAAACAATTTGAAAATGTGGTGGTTTACCCTATCACAGTATTTCGTCTGTGAACAGCAATGTAACTTTGAATGGTTTATCACATTTTATACAATATAATCAGAAGTCTTGAGGGGATGTGACTCAATGAATGAGTTTCACATATGTACTTTAAAAAACGAGGCTAAATACAAGAAATTAGTTTGTTCATCAAGCTCATATTGATCAAGTACTGAGGCTATCCCCTCTATGCAGTGTCCCGAAAGTATGCCCCCCCCCCTAGGGAGACATAAACCAATGTCTCCATAGTATGTGTCATATATCATTTTAAAGCTTGTCCAAAGTTACATTGATTTGCCAAGTATCATGGTTAAACTCACAAATGGTAAAAAGTTACAGGCATTTCAAAACTTAGTGTTTGGCCAAAAATATAGTTCATTTCAGTATCCTGGAAACAGACCTGACCTGAATGTTGTCGAAGATTGGATGGATATTGAGTTCTAAAAAGAGGACATTGAGGGTAGATCATCCTTTTAAGCAGGTGTCCAGAATCCGTACCTCCTTCCCCCTGCTATAACCAAGTTCCAATTGCCCGATCAAACTGAATCATGTGATCTAATTATGCGCCGATGACATATACATGATTGCTGGGACAGCGAATCAAATTGCGAGTTCTTAATCTGTGAAATGCTAACTGCTTATAGCAGGGGGTAAAAAGAAAGAAGATATTCTGGATTTTGAAGCCATGTGATCGAGGATGAGGGTAGATATTCCAAGGAAACTCTTCTAAAATGCCTTAAAAAGGTTTCATGAGGATAACAAAATGCCACATCCCTATTTGAAGCGTGTTTGAGGTCAGGTCATATATGAAAAGCATTGCTGCTGTTAACATGGCCTAGGGAGACGCACTGACTACTATAGTATTATTTTGGTGCAAATCTGACTTAAATTTTGGCTAAACACTAAATTTTGAAATGCCTGTAACTTTTTCACATTTGTATTTGGTGCCATTTCCTATTGTAATCTATGGTGTTTTAGTGACATTATTTGCCAGATGACTGAATTTATATCTGTTTCCCAGGTAACAGCTATTAAAGACTGTTTTGAAGCCACGCATAAAATATTATTCTGAAAGGCCTTTGACAAGATACGAGAACTTAATTGTTCTAGAGGTTTTCTTTGTATTTTGTCACAAGAGTTCACATAACGAATACATGTATTTAGATTTACGTGTACAGTAAAGTACTATTATGTATTGTATAAACAAGTTCATAATTAACATTAATATTTACAATTAAAACTAGATAAAATATTGAATAAATAACGAAATGATATAGCTTACCAAGACTAAAGATTAAATGTTAAAACAACTGTCTCTTTAATTCAAATGAATATATGTAAGTATGTAAATCGCAGGTTCAATGGATAGGTCAAAGGTCTACATCACTAAAATTAGTTTAATGTATAAATGCAATGATTAGCACATAAATGACATGTACATATATCAAAGAAATATAAGGTTAATTCATTGACCAAGGAAACGTTCTAGTCAATGTTATGTGCATAGATCAATAATGCAGATATTATCAATGCGAGATATGCATTTCAATTACTCATAATCACTTCATATCATTATGTGGCACACACACAAAAATGTACAATATATTCAGATATCTGTACTAAAACTAAGACAAGGTAAATATATCAATATTTTTGAACTTGGAAATACTGACCTAGCACTTACATATTAAATGCTGACATTACACATTAAGTGCTCCTTCATTTTGTAAATAAAAGGTAATTTTGGATTTTTAAAAAGTACAACTCGGAGCTTCTCAGAAGAAAGGCAACTACATGTATTGTACAGTAATTCAAACAGGAACTAGAATGGGACTAATTAGTCATCAGTGTATTTTGGTATTATATTATTTGTTATTTGTACAATAAACTATATGGGATTTTTCTGCTTCATTATTCAATTATCTACTTTACTTATTTAATTTTATGTTTATTCTCCAGTCGCCCAAATTTTTTAATATTTTGTTTATCAATATATTTCGAATCAACATAGTTCTGTCATCATCAAACTGATACCTTGTTGATTACACCAATATTGATTTAGAAAAATATGCAGAATTGCCAAAAATTCATCATGCCCATATTCTTAATAATAATATTTATTATCTTGACTTGATGAGTTTTTGGGGATGAGGATTTATGTGCTTGCAAACAATATTCTGATTTTAAGACTCCTAGTGTGAGTGTAAATACTAGAAAGACAATCATTCACATTTCATTCAAAGAGGCCTGAATAATAGATGCTCAATACCATCATATGCTAAACTTCTTTCTCCACAGAATGCATGTAATTAAAAATATGATAAAACTTAAGCCTAATCAGGCAATTAATTTGATATTATTTGTCCCAGGATATATCATCCTTTCGAAGAGATGATTGCATTTTTTTCATGTCCTTTAATAGTCCCAATGAGGCTCTAGCATTAGCACCAGCAGAGGATGGACGTACAACCACATTACCAGTAGCTGCTCCTTTTGTATGAACTGTAGTGACCACCTTCACTTCTCCCCCCTCTGGTGTATGCAGATGCGCAGTTGCGGATTTTGCTCTACCCCCAGACTGTTTTGATTGTTTTTTGCTTTTTATACTGCGATGCTGAAAAGAAATATCCTTATCCTTAGAGTTTGAAAATATTAGAGTTTAATGATTCAAATATTCAATGAGAACTAAAATTTTAAAATGTATTTCTTCTGAGCCACTTTACTGCGCATGAGTTTATTTCTTGCTTGTTTTCAACTAATTTTCTTAATTTTTCAATGCAAAATAAAAGTGAGACAACAAATCAAAAAGTATTTTTCAAATATTTCCTCATATCATACACTGCATGATTGGGGGCTTACTGTAGGTGCACATTGGTGAAATATAGGTAACTAACCTCTTGCTGCATCCTCCTGAGTCTGTTTATCTGGTCTCCCTTAGCTTCCATCTTAGCCACCAGTTGCTCCAGTTCTCTCTCAAGATCCTCTCGTACTCTGTAGTTCACCGTCTCATTGATCTGTCTCATTGTCTCTTGGTGTTCACTGAAACAACATTCAAAATTTATAAAATCAATTTCAGAGGAATGCCCCGATAGGGAACTGAAATGTCAAATATCTCATTCAGTAATAAATTTTGCGATTATTGTCAAAGATATTGTTCACTCTGACGTATCAGAATAGAGTGTTTAGTTGGGCTCTCAGGAAGTGGAGGGAAGGAATACCACACCAATGCTACAGTATGATGAAACTCCTTAGAATACAAATTGTACTCAGCACTTATAATTTCCATTGGAGTAACAGTGAAAATGATTTAAATATCACCAAGGTGAAGCAAAAACTTGTATATGACTTTTAAAAAAAATTGGTAAATATGAAGCAATTCGAAAAAATACCTTTTGACCTACAACTCATAACATGCTTACATATGTTGAAAGTAAAATTTTGAAGTCTAAACAGTACTTGTTAAGTTATTGGAAGTTCCAAGAATGTGTTACAGATGCTGTAAGAATTGTTTACAGATGCCGATCGCCACCCGCCAAACACCGTCCACAAAAAGTTAGAGACAACATGTCAACACCTGTGGTGGTGATAACAATTGTAGTCAAAAATACGAGGGTATATCATAAAGTTCTCATAATATCTCTCTAATTTTTTTATTTTTTAATATATTATGATGAATTTTTCACAGAATGTGAAGTATAGAATGCTGTATTAATTTATTAAAGAATAATTGGTATAACAGATATATTAGATAAGTAATGGTTGCCATAGTAACGGGAAATCAGGTCACCCGGGGCAAATAAAAATAATTAGGAGAATGAGCTTAATTAACCATGTTTACATTCATAATAAACTCTCATAAATTATCAAACACATTAAAATGTTCATTTGAATATGTTGTTAAATGTTTTTACTATAAAATAAATTGAGCATGTGAATCGTGTGATGTCATAGGGGGGGGCTTACATGCTTCATAAATGTGATACCAGACTCTGAGAATCAAACCTTAATGATCAGAAATGACTGAGTAAGCTAATGCAGAGATGCAGAGCTCATCAGAAAAATAAATTCATACTCATAAAAAGTTCAGTTAAGTTCGAAAAATCCTTTGCTCATACTAAAGATGACCTAAAACAAATATGTTGCAAAGATATCAACAAAAGTACACCCTATGTATGGTCTAAACATATTTAAGATGAACTAAAGGGGAAAATCGACTTTCCTAGAAATATTTGACAAAACAGTTTTGGTGTCTAACATCACTTCTAATGAAGCATTACAATCATCCATTATGAGATCACATAATTCACATGACCATTATAATAGTTCAAAACAGTCAAGAACACATATGATATTTAACAATTTGATGTGTTTCATAGCTTATTTGATAACTTATTATGCATTTAAACATGGTTAGTTGGGGCTATTCTTGCACGATTTTTTATTTGCCCCGGGTGCCTTGATTAAGAGTTACTATGGCAACCATTTCTTAAATAATATTTCTGTTATTCCAAATATTTTTTAATAAATTAATACAGCATTCTATACTACACATTCTGTGAAAAATTCATCATAATATATTGAAAAATAAAAAAATTAGAGAGATATTATGAGAACTTTATGATATACCCTCGTATATTAAAAAAATGTTGAATCTACTTACAAACTCATCTGTCCAAATTCATCTTGTAATTGAAGCATCAAATCATTGAGATCTTCTTCTGTAGAAGATGATGGGGTTGTAGAGCCTCTCTTACTATGGCCTGTTGGGATAGTACGTCCTGCAGCAGTGCACAGGTCTGTATTGTGGGACTTCATTAAAGCTAGCACATTCTGAACATTAGCACCTAGTCTATGGCTTTTAGAGGTTGACTGAAAACAACATGGAACCTTTAAGTGAAAATGTGGGAGAGTTGAAGAACTGAAATATGCAAACTGGTCTATATAATGACAATCTGTTTCTTGAACTTTCTTCAAGTCCATGATGAAACTGGAAAAATTCATAAGGAAACAGTGTTGCAAATTAGATGTAGACATACACATGTTTTATCTTTTGATCAGTGAAACAAAAAGCTAAATGACTTTGATGCAAGTCAATTTAACTAATTAACTCAATTTCCAGGTAAACATTTTTGTTTTGATAGTGATATATGCTAATTATACAGGGTGATGCTTGCCTAAGGTAAAAGGCTAGACAGAGCTTAGGATCTAATATTGGAGCTTATATGTAATTTATAGTCTGTTGTATTAATTTGATTTCAAAATACATGTATTGTTAATCTGATTAAAGTTTATTCTAACTTTTGATATTGGAATAAAAATATGTCCACAATATATGAATGAATTCAGAAAAAATAATTTGATGTACACTAAAACATTCTTGATTTATTAATTTTGAATTTTTGATGGATAATTTTGAATGAGAAATTTCACAAAACACCAATACTTCCTAAACATGCTAAATATCCATTCTAAAAATTTCCCTTGGGAATAACCTCCATTGTTTGACAGAATGAGAAAGGTGTGAGCAACAAATATAAAAGGACTTCTTGGCACTTGGCTTATTAGTCACTTTTAAGACATAATGTTTGTGAAATAAATACACCTGTCATTTCATTCTCTTTGACACAGGTGTTTTATAGAATGTTAAGTTCTGTTCAAGACATTTCAATATTAATCATTATTTATACATCTTTGAAATTAAACTGAACTGAAGCAAATCATCTTTTAAAATATTTAGTCATAAATGAGTCATAAAGTTCAATGTTTATTATTTTGAGGCACTGCTTAAAAGTTTATATACTTTGAGTTTGTTAATTTCAAACATCTATGGCAAATACATGTGACATCAAAACAAGTTTTAAACAAAAAGATTCAAATCATAATTGCAAACAAACTTCCTTGTAATGTTATTTGTTAATATTGTTTAATTTTTATATCAGTATTAATGTAGAAGGTGTCCCATAGAAATAATATTTACAACATTATATGAAATTCTGTGATTCATTCCTTACAGCAAATGGAGTTTAAAACAGGACAGAATTGTTGAAAACACAAAATTCATAGTTTTTATCAAATAAAAGTTCACAATAAAAACAACACTGGGCACATTTCCTGGAAGCAGGAAGACAAGGGAGACATCATGTCTAAAATAATAACAACAGAGACATGGAGATTACAGGTAAAACAATGAGATCAGTTCCTGTGATTGTGTCAGGTTGATTGTTTTATAAACACACGTCAGACCATGAATTGCATGTGGGAACTCATGCTAATTATCTACTGAATAAAACTACTGCTCTGGGATCTTCTGAATCAGTTTTGGCAAACAGCTTAGAGAGAAACACATTGTTAATAACAAATAGATGATCTACAGGATAGAAAAATAGTACAGAATTATATTGTTTATTTTGGCAATACCTTTTTGAGGTATTACACATTTTGGAATTAATTATATAAAACAGGAAAACTAAAAACTGAAGATGTCACTGCTACGACACCTAGGTGATGCAAACCTTCAAGATGGAAACAGTGTTGGGGGTTATCAAACGTCTTCCCCATTGACCATAGACACAAGTGGGCAATACAGCCCTGCTGCCATCCTCGCATCAGCTCTTATCAATGGACTACAATATGAAGCATCCATGCTGGCGATACCAATTTCAGAATTACACCACCTTGATGACCCCACAGAAGAATTCAAAGGAGATTGCAACAATGTTGACCAAAATCAACATATCAAAATTCCAAAACCAGAGCAATTCCGAAAGCTAGAACTGAAGCTCGATTTGACTCCAATGCTAGATGAGGACTGGACAATGGGAGAGGATGATGAGCTCTACTCGTTACCTGCTATATCCCCACAATGGTTCAGCCCAGATGAAAATGAAACTGGCATAGACTGGGATTCATATATACATGGCAATGCCATACAAGGTAAGTTTTTTTCAAAATTAGTCATTCAATTACTGGTATTTTTCTAAATTGTTCCAGCAAAACTGAAAATTGGGAGTAACATCAAAAGTGATTATGTCATTTTGCAAGGTAATGTCCAAGGCAATTACATTGATGATACATGTATGTCAATGATGGTATATTGAAGCAACTTCAACACTGAAATATAGTAACATCAAAAGTGATTATGTCATTTTACAAGGTAATGTCCAAGGCAATTACATTGATGATATGTCAATGGTGATATGTGTTTATTGAAGCAACTTCAACATTGAAATATTCTGAGAAATAAGACATGTTCTTGATGAGCTACTCAAATATTCACATTCTTACATTGACTTCTCAAGGTCAATACTAAAAAATGAAAAAAGAATTAGAATAACGAAAAACAAGAACTTATGAACACACAGAATTAAAGCTTGTGATGAACAGTACTCTTCAGGGTATAATGATATAACAATCCACAATCCGTAAAAAGAATACAAACTGAAACGGCACAAGACTTAAATGAAGGTTTGTGCAATTTTTCCCCAGTACTTGAAGAAAACAATCGATACATACTATAGAGATATTTGAACATGTATACATTAGAACTTGTAAAGTAGACCCTGCTTCCAACAGCTTAAATATTCCTTCTCAGTGTGTTAAAAACACAAGTTTCATTGCTTTGAGTGAACAGAAAACAGAAAGTATCTATCTTAAAGATCTCTTTGGGTATTCTATCATTTTTCTTTTGAGTTCAAAGCATTATGCCGACATTTACTTCCCAAGTAGCCGCCCCAGATGATTGTAATTAGGAAGTGTTTGATGAAACAAATTAAACAATTAAGAAACCTTTATGTTTACCTATTGATTCCAATGAACTGTGTAGACACAGCAGACAATTAATAGTTCACAGCAGACAATTAATAGTTCACAGCAGACAATTAATAGTTCACAGCAGACAATTAAAAGTTCACAACAGTAGTGATTTCAAACCATCAACTCTCAATCAATTAATGAATTATAGGAAAACACAGAACTCTAATATATACATGTATCTCTTTGACTTGTATTGAGTGAATGGAAACAATTAATTTATTTGATTTTAAACTCAATCAGAAATGTGTTTTAGGATAAACAAATAAGTGATTGAACTATTATATTTCCAGATGATTCTTACAATGAAAGTGACATATCAGAGAGTGATAATGAGGCTGGACATTTTGAAAGTGAAGCTGAAATAAAACATGCAGACGACATGAGAGTCCATACAAATAGCTCCATCTGTCATGATGAATTTACTGACTGTGACTCAAAGAACAATGCTTTCACAGGGAGTGTAACACCTTCAGAGACTGTGACACCTAAAGAAAGTGTAACACTAACACACAATGTATCAACAAAGACTGTAACATTTAAATCATTGACCGAAACAGATACAGTCCAGGACAATTCTGAATCACTGCAGCAAGAGCAAACATATATGCATAGTTGTTGTTTTACATTCAATGCAGTTTCTGCTCCAATAACTTGGTCACCTAAATCACATACTGATCTAATTAGAAAGTAATTAAAATTCAATAAAATATAAAACTAAGAACATTGTTAGAGTTAAGGATTTATTAAGGAAAAATGACATATCCATGAAGTAGCAACTCCTCTGCTTTATCAGATCATTCTTTATTTTGTATATCTTGTGCGAATAATGTCTCTTTTGACAAAAAGGACACCTAAGATAAAACCATTTTCAATATGAACACAAAAAATCCATTAAGAAGTACTTCAGTTGAAAATGTAAACCCCAAGTAATGAAATAAATTATGGTAACCCCTAAATGTACTAGTAACCTGTCTCTATCATCAAACAGTAGTTATCAAGTTAGTTTTTCTCAAACACCCTTTCAGAGAAATTATCTTTTCATTGACTACAATCTTACAAGTCTTACCTGACCTGCCACAAATGGGATTTCTTTAAGATTTAATCTAAAATGCGAGGGTGGATCACATTCTTGTTTTCTATATGCCTACAAATAAAATAAGTAAGATATGTTCACTTTTGTTTTACATCTGTACATATACATGTATGCATCAAATTATTGAGTAAACTGATACTTGCTCAACAACTAAGATAGCTATTCAAGAAAGATGCTCATCTATACAGCCTCCAAAACGTGTACCATTCAATAACCTCAATTACCACATACAGAAATTATTTTTATAAATCAGAGAGGAGGAGCTAAGAGAGGCTAAAATGGATTTTATGACTTATAATATCAGATGGCTAGTACAAGTAACTGTGCTTAATATAGTTTATGTCACAGTGATAACCACATCAGAAAGAAAAGTTTAGTCTATGGAAGCCATACCTTTGATGATATTGTTTTCTTTTTCTTCTTCTTTAGTTTCCTTGGCAGTGTAGGAGAGACAGCATCTATAAGTATTCTGTTGGTTTCTGCAGCACTTTGGAGCTGAACAAATAAACAATAAAATACATGTTCCTCTTCTAACATAACAGTAAAAAGCTTTTTTCTACTCAAAACAAATGGAAAAAGTTAACAATACAAGGTGTCAAAAACAATGGCAACCCCCCTCTACAGCAAAAACTCCTTTTTGTTACATGGTGTGTCATATTCCATTTGAAAGATGATTTAATTCCCAAGTTGATTTCACTGATAAAAATATATATTTAGAAAGCTACACAGTTTCAAAGTGTGCTACCTCAGTACTTTGTTTGCTACTTTGTCATTGGTTAAGAGTCAAATCTTGAGATGTCATGTAGGAAAATAGCCAAGATCTCAACTGCACCGAACATAAAGTGTTCAATTTGCTAAATACAGGTTGCAGGGAATGATTGTCAAATATCCTCTTGGAAACAGATACAATAAGGATATACAGGGTGTCCCGAAAGTATGGGCCCCCCCCTAGGCAGACATATACCAGTGTTGTCATAGTATGTGTCATATATCATTTTAAAGCTTATCCAAAGTTACATTGATTCGCCAAGTATCATGGTTCAACTCTCAAATGTTAAAAAATTACAGGCATTTCAAAATTTAGTGTTTGGTCAAAATTAAGTTCAATTTTACACCAAATCACTAGTCAATGTGTCCTCCCAGGCCATCTTAACAGCAGCAATTCTTCTCGGGTCGGATGGATATTGAGTTGGAAAAAGAGAATGGTGAGGGTAGAAACTCTAAGGAAACTCTTCTAAAGTGCCTTAACAGGTTTTAAGAGGGTTATGAAATTCTACATCCCTTTTTGAAGGGCTTAGTAGTGTGGTGTAAAATTGAACTTTATTTTGACAAAACACTAACTTTTAAAATGACTGTAACTTTTTCCCATTTGGGAGTTAAACCATAATACTTGGCAAATCAATGTAACTTTGGATAAGCTTTAAAATGATATATGATACATACTATGAGGACACTGGAGTATGTCTGCCCAGGGGGGCCCCCATACTTTCCGGACACCCTGTAATTGCTAAATATGTGAGAAAAGTGCTTGAAGGATAAAGTAATGCTACACCTTTATTTGAATCGTTATTGAAATCGTATCTATCCAGATAAGCTGTCCGAGTAAGCCATCCGAGCAGCAAGTGGTGACTATACCAACTACTAACAATAAGATGTAAGTCTGTAAGATTATATGATATGAAGCTGAAATTGCTCAGGTAACTCCAGAATTGAATTTTCTTTAAAATGAGATATGACACACCATGTAACATTAAGTACTTTTCCCTGCAGAGGGAGGGGGTGCCATGACACCGTGTACAATACATGTAATAGTGTAATACAGTTGTTTGTACAAGATGACTACTTGGTCTTGTTTTCGGTCACTACTTATAGTAAGTACATGTAGCAAAGCATTCTTATTAGTTATTTTGACTAAACTGAAATAAAGATGATAATCTTGGGTTACTTACTTCAGCTGATTTTTCCTGGATAAGTTTTCTATGATGTTTTTCTTCCTTAAGTTTGTCTTCTAATTCCCTGATTTTACTCTGAAATCACACATATCAACTTACAAATTCCTATTGTTTAGAAAAACAATAATACAACCAATTAAGGTAGTTGTATGCTGGCAATAATTGGTGGATCCATGCTATAGCAGAGAAGCAATGATTTGACAAGTGTTCAGCTTTAGGCCAAATACATTTTGCAATATCATACTTTTGAAAATGGCATTTCTAGTGTAAAAGAGCAAAATATTTGACAAAATCATTCATAAAAGGAGAACGTAGGTTATAACAAACAAATTCAAATGATTCTAATTTGATTATGAATATTTTCTGATCATGAACATGGGTGTATCAATTTTAGATCCATTCATTATCTTCAAGAAAATGATAATTTAGTTTATCAGACCAATCAACATACTTTTTCAAAAATGTTGACCTAATTTCACCAAAAATGCAACCTTTTATTATTATATATATTGTTGAATGCATAATTAGAGTGTGCTTTGAGACATGTTCGATTTCCTAAAAGGAAAAGTTGATTGCTAAAGGGACTTTAAAGATATTGAATTTGGATGACCAAAATGAACTGAAACCAATGGATAGCATGAGATTTTTCAATGGAGAAATAACATGGGGAACACTTATCTTAAAGCAATTAAGTTTTTCTGTCAAGAACATTGATACATCAAAATAAAGATAATAGTAATGCATTAAACATTTTAAAAAATGATTGCATTTTTGGTGAAAATGGGGTCAACATCTTTGAAAAAGTGTGTTGATGGACTGATTGCTAGTTAAATATTTCCGAGTTTGTTTGACTTTATTATTACTGTATACAATTTTCTTTGAGATAATGAATTGATCTGAAAGATAAACCTGACTTCATTGCAGAAAATAGTCATAATCCAAGATATAACCTTCTGAAATTGTTTGCGATAACCTAAGTGCTCCTTTAAAAATTATATTTTTTGGAGAGCAATAGTAATGCAATCGAGTGATCTATTATTTACATTTTCTTAAGATTAACTTTAATTACTAAACTTTCCATTCCAGTCTGCGAAAATTAAAAAATCCAGTCCTTAGTTTTGGAGATACAGCCTCACCTCCCCTACTCTTCTATTCCTTACATGGAGGATAAATATGTTTTTTAGCTTTATTGGTACTAACTTTTTTGTTTGATAATGAAGCATAATTATGTATTGGTCAATTTAATACAAAAATATATACACTTTATCAAAGTTGTTTTTAGACCTCCAGGTATACAACTGCCTAATATGTCGTTATGGAAAACATTCTTGCTACCAAGTGAAATATCACTCATCTACAAAGATACATCAATTTGAAGTAGAACAAAAATCCCTGTAGTGGCAAATATCACTAAACAAAACATATTCAATCAAATCACACATCATTTTGAACATTTGATGATAGAAATAACCATGCAGTCAGTTAGCAGGCCTGTCAGATGAAGGTGTGTTGGGTGTGGTTGCAAACCCCTCAGAAATATCAGAAGAAATCCCTCAGGGAAATAACATCATAACAGCAATCAGGTATTTTTTTTAATTCGAAGAGGACTGTATTCAGGCCTTCTATAAACTGTGAACAAAGTCAATATTTCGTATATATATTATGTATTCATCGACACTGCACCTGGTAATATGAGTAATATATGACGTCATAATCGGGCCACAATAAATATTCCAAAAATTTTGTTGAGTTGGTGATTGCCTTGTTGGTCATTTTGAATCCTGGTGGCTTCACTATATATAAACCTTGATGGGGATCCTCGGCGTACTTGGGTACCTTTTTTGACATTTTGTATGACAATGGACCCAAATTTTAGATACTGGTTATGAGAATGTTCCCCAAATTAGGACTTCTGAGGTATGGCAATGGTCAGATTTTTCCACTTTTTGGTATGAGAATAGTCATGGACAATATGGTACCTCTCACTTGTGGTATGGCACTTGGTCTTATATTTGGTATGATATTGGTCCTATATTTGGACAATTGGTATGGCATTGGTCTTATAATTTGGACATTTGGTATGGCTTTTGGGGACAGTTTACCCCAAAAAAAGTGAATTGCAACCCCCTTTGGGAATTTTCAAGACATGGTTCACCATTTTAAATTCAGTGGTCATTTGGTAAATTCTTCTTGAACAGAGGTCCGACCCATGGGGGAACAAAATGTAAAATTTGAACCCAATCTGTCAGCATTTATTTGATTTATTAAAGATTAGATTCTTATGAAAAGTGGTGGCCAGTTCAAATTGAATATATAAATATTAATTGCCATTGGAAATTCCTTAATGATAAGAGGTCCTTATGCCCATAAGCCTCCAGCCTATAAAATTTGAACGAAATCCATTTACCAGTATTTGAGCTATAGCCCCCTCAGATGAATGGACAGACAGATGAATTGTCTCTATATTCCTAATTGAACCTCATTTGGTGGCAATAATTATTTCATATTAAGTACAATTTACCTCTGCAAGAGTTTGTGTGGCAGTTAATTTTAAATGTTCCCTTTCCAAATCAACAATTTTATTAAGTTGCCTCCGTAGCTGTTCATCCTCAGCAAGATTAGTAACTCTTTTTTGTGTCTCTATAGCTGCGGTTTGCTGTTGGGCTGCATTGCGATCAGTCTCGGCACTCTGCACCATCTTGCGCATGTACTCCAGCTGTTTCTCCAGCAGCTGACAGCGACTCTCAGCTGAACTTAATTGGGAGCCCAACTCTGAGATATGAATAAAAAAATTACATAAATCAACTTATTATATATTGAGAAAGATTATAATATTTTATATTTAGAAATAATAAAACAGGGCACTATGGTGAATTAAATATGGTCATTGTATCTAGACATAATGTCATCAATTTTTAATCAAAAATATTATTGAATATATTAAATATTGCAAAATCAGTTTATCTGTTTTTGATTCTCCTTGATATTTCGTGTCATTTGGTTGATATAATAGGTAAATACGATTTAAAACCAAATGTATCAGCAGGCTAATTGCAACTGATAACATATGAATTAAATATGAAAGGAACAATTTACAGCCCAAACAATAAAAATAAAAGCTTCTAATTTTCTAACATTCAATTGTATTGTTGGAAACATCTCATATTGCAATGCACCACAAAGTGTTTGCATTAAAAACTGTCAGAACATTATTGACAACACATGAACATACAAAGAACAATTAAGCACCAACAGCAACGCCAGAAGTAGCACATCCCGAAACAAATTATTTGTATGTTCAAACCATTTGAATGAATAGATGGAACACCTAGCGGCACTTAATTTTTTCCAGGAAAATGGCAGGACTAAAACATATTTTTGACAATCCAACTGAGTTGTTTTGGTGTCAAATGAAAATCTTTCTTTTCCTACAGAATACTGTATGTATGCAGAGTCCCTTTTTGTTCTGCGAGTATATTCCTCCCATTATGAAGTATTTGATGGATCAAAATGGGTTCAGTGTACAGTATAGAGTTAAGCAGAGCATAAGTGAGTGATGGACAGAGGGCTTCGCTATCTTCTACCTATACACTCTATTTACTTAGATAAAAGGTTTAGAAGAATTCAAATCTGCCATTTCACCATGGTGAGTTCCATTACATAATCAATGGGCACTCTTTTAAGCAATAGGAAACAAGAATGAGACACTGAATACCTAACATTTCCTTTGAGTAATGTAATTCCAAATCAATGCTTTAATCTATAATTGCCATTAGAGAGTACCAGGTGAACAAATCATTCAAACCTTTTGAGTTTTTCACAAATCCCAAGTAACACTTTCCAGGTAACACATACTGAATGGCTTATTTAACAGTTAGATTCATCAGGTATTCATCAGAACAATTGCAAAATTCAAGATCACGGATTTTGGATTATGGAATATAAACTCTAATTTAGCTAAAAGATAAGCATATTGCTAGTGGCACTAGGGATATTGATAGAATGGAGTATCCACATGGTGTGCCCTTGGGGTGTCTGATTGTCATGTGTGTTATAGGAGTAGCAGGTAACATGCTGGTGCTCTTGATGATTATCACCAGGAAGACACTACGCAAATTACAAAATGCACTTATTGCTAATTTAAGCGTATGTGACTTCATGGCAACAGGAATGTTGGGACTTTCTGCAGCTAATTTACAAAATGGAGATTGGGTTATGGGGAAATTGGCATGTAAGATAAGTGCAGTATGCTTTGCTTCTTACTGTGTTGCTTCACTATCAACAATAGTTAACATTGCTGTTAATCGTTATATATGTATTGTGAAGCCACATTTGTATCACTGCTACAACAGGACCTCTATCATATTAATTATATCGTCAATATGGATATATAGTTTCCTCATCTCCATCCCTCCTCTCTTTGGATGGGGACAGATAATATACAAGCATAATTTACTAACATGCATCCCTGACTGGCACTCAAGCCTATCATTTCTGGCATTCTATGCAACCATCTCATTTGCACTACCAAACATTATAGTCTTGATTTGCTACCTGACGATCTTTCTCCATGTGCGAAAAAGCAAAAATAAAATAAGAGAATACGGAAATAAACTTGAACTAAAACCATCTACAAGTACTAGTGAAGAGAGCAGGCTGAGAGCTGAGAAGAATGTTAACAGAACTGCAGATTCTACTAAACTTAGAGCTATGCTCCATGAGGACACAGCCACAAGTGGACATGAGGGTTCAATAAAAGGTGATACATCAAATACAAATGATCGGGAACACAATAAGAGACAAAGAACCTTAGACACCAAGAAGACCTTCAACCACAGTGATGCAGAATTTGGCAGCAAATGTGAACGAATAGAATCAATAGAGGAGATTTCATCAAGTTCTAATACCATGGAATACAATGCACAAGAAATCAAGCAAAATACATGTAACATAAAAACCAAAACCCTGAGTAATGAGGAAAACCATGTTGAATGTGACACATTGTCCACAGACCATGAATTCAAGACTAATGCAATAGACAGTACAACTCTCCAAAAGCCATCAGTACCAGGCGAAATATCCAGTAGATACTTAAAAGAGCAACAACCCCAAATTAAGAAAGGAGACATGAATCTTGCAGTACAATTACTGGTAATTTTCCTTGTCTACAACATATGCTGGGGTCCCTATGTTATCATATCAACATTTATAACACCATATCAGAAAATAGAAGACTGGGTCAATTTATTTATAGGTGTGTTTCTTATTGCAAATTCTGTTTTGAATCCTTTCATATATTTCTTAATGAACAAGCAATTGAGAAAGGAACTACTCCTGGTGTTGAGCCGATGTCATTTCATGAACAAGAAGTTGAAATTTCATAACAGCCCAAATAATTGATTGCACAAGAACAAAGACAGAACTGGCATTTGAAAATTAACAAATTGTTTCATTAATGTGAGAAATTCAAAAATGAAAAGAATATAATTGCCTCATGGTTTCACATCCTACCTTGTGTTTGTCCTGACATATTGTGGATATGTACTGACATACTATGGATTTGTACTGACATACCATGGGATTGTACTGACATGGGTTTGTGCTGCTATACTATGGGTTTGTAATGACGTTCCATGGGTTGATATACCATGGGATTGTACTGACATACCATGGAATTGTACTGACATGGGTTTGTACTGACATACTATGGGTTTGTATTGTCATACCTTGCGTTTGCTTTGACATATCAGTCTGCTTGACACTTCTCCGTTCCTGGTCCCTATTAAGGACATCTTTAAATCGTGAGGTCTCACTAGATAATGTCTTTAAATTTTCCTCAGCTTGCGAGCGTTCAGCTTCAAGATTTCGTATTTTATCTTGTAGACCTTTGAGGGCACTTATGACACCTGTGTGAAAATACATTGTGAGGTACATGTAGTACTAAATAATAAATAAAATAAAATGTGAGAATTTGGTTTGTGAAATTTTTTCCTCCATTACTTTTTTTAATAGAGGATGTGCTATTTTCCGAGGAGGAGAGAGGGTGGTTGAAATTTCAAAATTCACAATTTAAAAAAAATGTATTTACATGTACATACATTTCAAGCACCCCTTGCCTCAATTGGCATGAGTGGCACACAGAATAGAATCAAAGTACATTCAACATAAAAAAATCTTTGTAAGGTTCTGGTGCTGGTTTGAAGTAGAAATTTAAAACACAAAATGGCAAGAAAAAATCATGAATTATTTGTTTGGCTGAACATGTCTTTTTAGATAATCATACAATTTGAATGAGAAATGAATTATTTTCCCATTTAAACAAACATCAAGATATTAAATATGACAGAAGAAGCTTTTACTGAGTAAATTTTGGTATACACTGTACAGGGTGGTCCAAAAAATGGGACACTCGTATTTCAAAAATAAATATTGATGAAATTGACCAGTTTATGCCAAGATCGAGGGACATAATTGATTAAAATGGTGAACATATTGAACATTGTTTATGTTGGTTTTTGCAAGATTTTGAAAAAACATTTTGAAATGAAAATTACGTCATTTGTACAGGGTGTCCCGAAAGTATGGGCCCCCCCTAGGCAGACATATACCAGTGTCGTCATAGTATGTGTCATATATAATTTTAAACCTTATCCAAAGTTACATTGATTCGCCAAGTATCATGGTTCAATTCTCAAATGTGAAAAAATTACAGGCATTTCAAAATTTATTGTTTGGTCAAAATTAAGTTCAATTTTACACCAAATCACTAGTCAATGTGTCCTCCCAGGCCATCTTAACAGCGGCAATTCTTTTCGGGTCAGAGGGATATTGAGTTGGAAAAAAAGAATGGTGAGGGTAGAAACTCTAAGGAAACTCTTCTAAAGTCCCTTAACAGGTTTTAAGAGGGTTATAAAATGCCACATCTCTATTTGAAGGGCTTTTAAGGTCATATCTGAAAATAATAGCTGCTGTTAACATGGCCGAGGTGGGACACATTGACTAGTAATGTGGTGTAAAATTGAACTTTATTTTGACAAAACACTACTTTTAAAATGACTGTAACTTTTTCCCATTTGGGAGTTAAACCATGATACTTGGCAAATCAATGTAACTTTGGATAAGCTTTAAGATGATATATGACACATACTATGAGTACACTGGAATATGTCTGCCTAGGGGGGCCCCATACTTTCGGGACACCCTGTATATAGTGAACGCTGATTCACAGGCATTAGATTAAAATTGAACTTATGATACCAAATTAAAGACAATAAATTCCCTAACCACTGATATATAATATGATATGCTTTCATCAAGAAAATGAATATCTATTTTTGAAATGAGTTCCCATTTTTTTGGACCACCCTGTACTTGGTGATCTAAGGAATAAAGACCAAGATTCCATGATTTACGGCACCAAAAATTTCATTCTGTTCATTGTTAAAAGACCATAACTGGGGTAATATATTTGCCATAAATCATAGAATCGAGGACTTTGTTATCATTCTTATACATGTATGAAAAATTAACCAGAAAAAAAACAACTATTTATGAAATTTAGCGGTCATACATACTATGCCAGTAGGTAGTTACCAGTTTCACCACCAGTTGGTGAAGGGTCAGATACAGTAGAAATTTCCTTGAATATTCATCAGTTTCAGTGGATCAATTTTCTTATCACTCTTATATATCTTATAGTCAATACAAATTAATTTTAAATATGTCCAGTAAAAGAAAATATTATCTGTCCAATTAAGAAAATATATTTCACTTTGTGTGATTTTATAACATGGGGTCTATGGGGAATCGACTTGACCAAGAAGTCACATTTTCAAAGAAAATAATTAAATTTTAAAAGTTGATCATCAGAATCTCTGAAACCATATTTCTAGATGTAATCTTATATGTAGATTTTTAATATGATTTCACACATAGCAGCCAAGGTGTGTCTGATTCCAGCCAATCCAAACACAGTATTTCATATAATTGCAGTGCATCATATAACCAATTATCCAGCCAAGGTCACTCATTGAATGGTTGTCAAGGTGACAACTTGACTCTACAGATTGAAAGTGAAACTTTGCCAACTTGAGCCTTGCAAAAAGTTTCATTGAAAATATGTTTTTTTAATGATTTCATATCTTTTAGATGATTTCATAGAAAATAATTTGCAATTTGTGAAAAGAATTTAAACTGAAGACTTGATGCATTTGTGGCTGATTCATTCCACTAAGGCATTATTTCCTAAACTCTGTATACAAAAATGAAATAAAAAAAAATTTAGAAGAAAATACATACCTGTAATTTGAAATTGCTGTTGTAACTAGACAACAGCAACGCCAAAGCATAGCAAATCCCATTGAACAGCCATGGCTGGTATTTTTACAAACAAAGTATAAAGCAAATGGCCACCTTCTACCAACAGTGTCATTAGACAGTGTGCCATGCTTATGGTATTCACATATCAAATATAAACAAAATCGCTCCATTACTTTTTGAGTTGTAGTAAAATACGTTTCAATGGTGCCATTTTTCAAAATGGCAGCCTTCTACCAAAAGTGTCATTAAAATAACGAGTAAAGGCCGCCATTTTTCAAGATGGCTGGCATGTGCTTCTTTAATATCTATATTTCTAGCTTTATTAATGTCCTATATAATTTTTTTACATTTAAAACATATTGCTGTTACAGTTTTACGTATTGTACCTGTAAAATCGGCACTAAAATGGCCGCCATTTTTAAATGAGCAGTCATTTTGAAAATCTTTGAGCAGAACTTCAACCCCCATAGGGGATATGTGTACAAAATATAAACAAAATCGAGCAAACGGTATTTGAGTTATTGGCTGGACGGATGGACGGACGGACGTACGGATGGATGGAGGCGTTCCTTAATCCCTCCGAACTTCGTTTGATGGGATAATAATAAGGATACTAATGTTCATAAAATAATGTGATAAAAATAGATTCAAGTAAACTGAACATACCTGCTCTATTGCTCTCTGGAAATGAATTGATAGGTTTCTCTGGAGATCTTCTGTAATCTGTGTGAATAAATGGCTGTGTGGTTGGGTATGGCTGGTATGAAGAGTTGCTGAGGGAGTCATTGTAGGACATATCCCGATCTAAGGCTCTGTAGCCACCTGGTTCAATAGGGCCATGGGAATGGGATACCTGGAATTACACAAAAGCAATTGGTATACGAGAACATTCCTGATCAGGATTCCTAGTGAACCACACTAAAGTTAAGCAGCCAATCACAGAGCAGAAATATCTTACTTCGTTTCAGAGCCTAGATGAATCTTGATGAAACTGTTTCACTATCTGTATATTAAAAGTAATTTATTCAAATTTAAACCTACAAAACATCCATAAATTTTATCAAGTGCTTTTTGGATTTAAATATCATTTATCAATCAATAGAACTTTATCCTATTATAATTGAACTCCCCAATTTCACTGCAATTCCCATAATACACAATGATCCTGCTGTAATTCTGCATCAATAATTCATCAATAGCATCCTATGTGAGTCAAAATTACATTATATTGTGTAACTCTACCTTTCAAACCAATGCATATATTGCATACAATATGAACACCTCAAAAGAACTAGAAAAAAACATGTACCAAAATGTACCAATAAAATGTGAAAGATCTGAGAGGAAAATCCCTGATTATTACAAGAGAAGTATAAAATTGCCTTTACAGAAAAGAAACAGGGCAGAAACTACAAAGGCTTGATTGTAAATTGGTTTGAACTGGTGGAAATACTAGTAAAACTAAACTCAATAATTCTTCTCCACAATATTCATGCCTTTTGTTTGACTCTTCCAAATATAATTATACCAAATCTGTATTTCTTGCAAGTCTAATATAAAGCTACAGCTAAGAGACTTCACGTGATTGTGATGTATGTTTCTTAGGTGAACCTGTGAATCATGTTCTATCACTGCAAACTGAATAGTATTGTTCATGAAATCACTTACAGCTGAGAGAGACATGTGATTTTCTGAGTGAAACCTGGGATCAGTAGGACTATCTCTCTCATCAGCCACTTGAGACCTCTGATGAATGGGTCTATCAGACTCTGCTCCTTTAGACATCAGTGAACCACTTAGTAATGACTCATGTTCAGAAATTGGAGTTCTACAGACAGAAATATGTTGTGACTGCAAGTACAAACTGGCTTGGTAAGGTGCAATTGCATACTGGGATTCACTGTGCCTTGATTCTGTAACAGAGCTACATTTTCTCAATACACTTTGGTGATCTGGTGCAGCATTTGTTCTTGATCCACTGTGATTAGAATCTGGTGGAGCACTTGTTTTCCTTGATTCAATGTGATGAGAATCTGGTACAGCACTTGTTCTCCTTGTTTCACCATGATGAGAATCTGGTACAGCACTTGTTCTCCTTGATTCACCATGATGAGAATCTGGTGCAGCACTTGTTTTCCTTGATTCAATGTGATGAGAATCTGGTACAGCACCTGTTCTCCTTGATTCACCATGATGAGAATCTGGTGCAGCACTTGTTTTCCTTGATTCAATGTGATTAGAATCTGGTTCAGCACTTGTTTTCCTTGATTCAATGTGATGAAAATCTGGTACAGCACTTGTTCTTCTTGATCCACTGTGATGGAAATCTGGTGCAGCATTTGTTCTCCTTGATTCAATGTGATGAGAATCTGGTGCAGCACTTGTTCTTCTTGATCCACTGTGATTAGAATCTGGTGCAGCACTTGTTTTCCTTGATTCAATGTGATTAGAATCTGGTGCAGCATTTGTTCTCTTCGATTCACTTTGATAAGAATATGGGACAGCACTTGTTCTCCTTGATTCAATGTGATGATAATCTGGTGCAGCACTTTTTCTCCTTGATTCACTGTAATGAGAATCTGATACAGCACTTGTTCTTCTTGATTCACTGTGATGAGAATCTGGTGCAGCACGTGTTCTCCTTGATTCACTGTGATGATAATCTGGTGCAACACTTGTTCTTCTTGATTCAATGTGATGAGAATCTGGTACAGCACGTGGTCTCCTTGATTCACTGTAATGAGAATCTGGTACGGCACTTGTTTTTCTTGGTTCACTGTGATGAGAATCTGGTACAGCACTTGTTCTTCTTGGTCCACTGTGATGAGAATCTGGTACAGTACTTGTTCTCCTTGATTCACTGTGATGAGATTCTGGTACAGTACTTGTTCTCCTTGAATCACTGTGATGAGAATCTGGTACAGCACTTGTTCTCCTTGAATCACTGTGAGGAGAATCTGGTACAGCACTTGTTCTCCTTGAATCACTGTGATGAGAATCTGGTACAGCACTTGTTCTCCTTGGTTCACTGTGATGAGAATCTGGTACAGCACTTGTTCTCCTTGATTCACCATGATGAGAATCTGGTACAGCACTTGTTCTCCTTGAATCACTGTGATGAGAATCTGGTTCAGCACTTGTTCTCCTTGAATCACTGTGATGATAATCTGGTGCAACACCCTGTCTCCTTGATTCACTGTAATGAGAATCTGGTACAGCACTTGTTCTTCTTGGTTCACTGTGATGAGAATCTGATACAGCACTTGTTCTCCTTGGTCCACTGTGATGAGAATCTGGTACAGTACTTGTTCTCCTTGATTCACTGTGATGAGATTCTGGTACAGTACTTGTTCTCCTTGAATCACTGTGATGAGAATCTGGTACAACACTTGTTCTCCTTGAATCACTGTGATGAGAATCTGGTACAGCACTTGTTCTCCTTGAATCACTGTGATGAGAATCTGGTACAGCACTTGTTCTCCTTGGTTCACTGTGATGAGAATCTGGTACAGCACTTGTTCTCCTTGATTCACCATGATGAGAATCTGGTAAAGCACTTGTTCTCCTTGAATCACTGTGATGAGAATCTGGTACAACACTTGTTCTCCTTGAATCACTGTGATGAGAATCTGGTACATCACTTGTTCTCCTTGAATCACTATGATGAGAATCTGGTACAGCACTTGTTCTCCTTGGTTCACTGTGATGAGAATCTGGTACAGCACTTGTTCTTGATTCACTTTGATGAGAATCTGGTTCAGCACTTATTCTCTTTGATTTACTGTGATTAGAATCTGATACAGTACTTATTCTTCTTGATTCACTATGGGGAAGACCTGGTTCGGCATTTGTTCGCTTTGCTTCACTGAGATGAGAATCTGACACCGCACTTGTTCTTCTTGATCCACTGTGATGAGAATCTGGTACAGCACTTGTTCTCCTTGATTCACCTTGATGAGAATCTGGTGCAGCACTTGTTCTCCTTGATTCAATGTGATGAGAATCTGGAACAGCACTTGTTCTCGTTGATTCACCATGATGAGAATCTGGTACAGCACTTGTTCTCCTTGATTCACCATGATGAGAATCTGGTGCAGCACTTGTTCTCCTTGATTCAATGTGATGAGAATCTGGAACAGCACTTGTTCTCGTTGATTCAGCATGATGAGAATCTGGTGCAGCACTTGGTCTCCTTGATTCACTGTGATTAGAATCTGGTGCAGCACCTGTTCTATTTGATTCACCGTGATGAGAATCTGGTACAGCACTTGGTATCCTTGATTCAATGTGATGAGAATCTGGAACAGCAGTTGTTCTCCTTGATTCACTGTGGTGAGAATCTGGTACAGCACTTGTTCTTTTTGATCCACAGTGATGGAAATCTGGTACAGCACTTGTTCTCTTTGAGTCACTGTGATGACAATCAAATACCACACTTGTTCTCCTTGATTCACCGTGGTGAGAATCTGGTACAGCACTTGTTCTTTTTGATCCACAGTGATGGAAATCTGGTACAGCACTTGTTCTCTTTGAGTCACTGTGATGACAATCAAATACCACACTTGTTCTCCTTGATTCACCTTGTTGAGAATCTGATACAGTACTTGTTCTCCTTGATTCACTGTGATAAGAATATGGTGCAGTACCTTTTCTCCTTGATCCACTGTGATGGGAATCTGGTGCAGTAGTTTCTCTCTTTAATTCACTATGATGAGAATCTGGTACAGCATTTGTTCTCCTGAGTTCACTGTGATGAGAATCTGGTAGAGCACTTGTTCTCCTTGATTCACCATGAGAATCTGGTACAGCATTTGTTCTCCTGAGTTCACTGTGATAAGCATCTGATTTAACACTTGGTCTCCTTGGTTGGTAACCCTGAGAATCTGGTAAGGCACTAGGGCTCCTTGATTCACTATGATGAGAATCTTGTATGGCACCTGTTCTTCTTGATTCATTATCAGGAAGACCTGATTCTGCATTTGTTTTCCTTGATTCACTGTGAGAATTTGTTGCAGCACTTGTTCTCCTTGATTCACTGTGGTGAGAATCTGGTAGAGCACTTGTTCTCCTTGATTCACTGTGGTGAGAATCCGGTAGAGCATGTGTACTCCTTGATTCACCATGAAAATCTTGTGCAGCACTTATTCTCCTTGATTCACTGGGATAAGCATCTGATTTAACACTTGGTCTCCTTGATTGGTTACCCTGAGAATCTGGTAAGGCACTAGGCCTCCTTGATTCACTGTGATGAGAATCTTGTATAGCACCTGTTCTTCTTGGTTCACTATGGGGAAGACCTGATTTAGCACCTGTTCTTCTTGGTTCACTATGGTGGAAATATGTCAGAGCACTTGTTCTCCTTGATTCACTGTGGTGAGAATCCGGTAGAGCATGTGTACTCCTTGATTCACCATGAAAATCTTGCACAGCACTTAATTTCCTTGATTCACTGGGATAAGCATCTGATTTAACACTTGGTCTCCTTGATTGGTTACCCTGAGAATCTGGTAAGGCACTAGGCCTCCTTGATTCACTTTGCTGAGAGTCTAGTATAGAACTTGATCTTAATTCACTGTGATGAGAATTTGCTACACTTGTTCTTCTTAACTCAGTATGAGAATCTGGTACAGCACTTAAACTTCTTAAATCCTTGTAATTTGAATCTGGTACAGCACTTGGTCTCCTCGACTCATCATGGTGTAAATCTTGAACAGCATTTGTTTTCCTTGATTCACTATGATGAGAATCTGATGCAGAACTTAAACATCTTAAATCATTGTAATTAGAAACTGATACAGCACTTGGTCTCCTCGACTCATCATGATGTAAATCTTGAACAGTATTTGTTTTCCTTGATTCACTATGATGAGAATCTGATGCAGAACTTAAACATCTTAAATCATTGTAATTAGAATCTGGTACAGCACTTGGTCTCCTCGACTCATCATGATGTAAATCTTGTACAGCATTTGTTCTCTTCGATTCACTTTGATAAGAATATGGGACAGCACTTGTTCTCCTTGATTCAATGTGATGATAATCTTGTGCAGCACTTTGTCTCCTTGATTCACTGTAATGAGAATCTGGTGCAGCATTTGTTCTCCTTGATTCACTGTGGTGAGAATCTGGTGCAGCACTTTGTCTCCTTGATTCACTGTAATGAGAATCTGATACAGCACTTGTTCTCCTTGATTCACCATGATGAGAATCTGGTGCAGCATTTGTTCTCCTTGATTCACTGTGGTGAGAATCTGGTGCAGCACTTGTTCTCCTTGTTCCTGTAACAACACTTGGTGGATTGAGGTAGACCTTTGGTTCGGTAAATGACAAGGATATGATATCATCAATTTTTTGTTCATGTCTTAAGACCTTACTTTTAGGTTCTTGTGGTCCAGCATAAATGTTTTCTTGTTTCATTTTTATTGTATAGTCCAATGTTGACGTTCTAGATCGTTGTCTTTTTTCATCTCTACTTGCTCTCCTTGATTGTTGTTGTTTACTCTGAGCAGAATCTACACTGCTCCTTCTTGATATCTGGGCTCTGGATGAATGTTTCCTCAAGTAATTTCCTAGCTTTCTAGATTTCGTTTGACGACGGTCCACTTCTCTCGATAGTATTCGTGTTTGTTTTTGATATCTGATGATTTTGTTGTTAATTTTCCTGGATTTCATTTGATGCATGTTTATTTCAGCCGTAATGTTATCTATGATGCTATCTAAATCAGTCATATCAATAGAGACATTAGAGCTTGATTCACTTAGTGGGCCTTCAGTTTCAATGAGCTCTTCTGGTGATGTGTCAGTCTCATCACAAGGCTCTGTTACAATTATACTAGGTGTGCTGTATGCTGCAGCATTCTTCAGGATACCATGTTGAGAGGAAGATGATTCTCCCTTTGGCTCTACTATATTATCCTTGAATGCTTGTAATTTCTTCATGACTTCTTCAGGATTAACAGGTATAGATCTCTTACTCTCTGTTGTACTGGTATAGTTTAGGTCTTGTACTTCATTGGTTATATTCTTGGGTGACTTATCTGTAATGTCAAAGTCATTCATGTCAGAGACATCTGTGTGGTCAATGTGGCGCCTATGATCATGAGTATATATCAGACTGCCACTAGCTGACAAACCATCTCTGTGTTTATGCACTGGGTTTGATGCATATGCACTATCCCCTACTGAATCCAACTCTTTTGGCTTTCTATCACATGTATAAATCTGACCACTCACAGCATCTTTCAATGCTTCAAATGGTAGAGTTTCACTCAATTCATCTGCTGTATCAATATAATCATCATGATCATACATTTCAGGTAGTTCACCAATGGCCTCATCTGTCACATCACCCTGGAATGACATTATGGAAGATGCACGATGTCCTTTTGTGTTCTTTCTCCAAGGAGGTAACTCTCTATGTGAAGAGAGGCTGGGATCATCTGAGTTCTCTCCTTTATAATCTCTATTGATCAAGTTGAATTCTTCCTTATGACCCCCAGGGAGCAGCTTATATGAGGATATACTAACAGAGCATTCCTCTGCTATACTTCCTAGTTCTACAGACATATTGTTCAATTATTCTGATTGAGATAACACAATATACAATGTATTCCTTATATAACATCCACTCCTTATCCGATGTTGTAGATGAGCCACATGATATCAAGGTACCATAGTAAGAGTGGATGCCATAAAGCACCTTCTTAAATCATTAATTACAAAGTAAGGCATGACTTAAAGTGATCATGCATATCATGCATATCCCTCTTAGATGTCATACATACATCAATTATTTACATTAATCACCAGTGTGCATACCATACTCAAGTACCAGTCATCTACATGACTGTATGATGCAGTAACATTGATGTAATAATTCAATAAATATTTAATCAATTTAAGAAAATTTTGCTGTTATAGATTTGGACCTTAAACGAGTAGTTTATTCTATTTTCAAGATTTCATATGTTGCCAATTTTCTAAGAGGTCCAAAAGTTGTATGTTCTGATAATCCTTTGATTTTTAAGGTTATCTGGCAGTGATTTGCAATTCATCAATCAATGTTTCCTTTTCAATCCTTGTGAATTTGGACATTTCAGCACTTGGTCTCCTTAATTTACTTATAATTATTTCTCAATTAAGTTGATGGAACATTACATTATTAATACACTCAATAGATATCCATGGTATTATATAACATATTTCATCATAATCTAAATAATTCATGATCTAATGATTAAACATCTGGATTACAGAGATTTAGCAATAATACTTAATGACTAATACTGAGACTATAGGTCAAACCCTCCAGATAATTACATGTACGCAATAACAATTACAGTAAATAAATGTGAAGCATTCATATGAAAAACAGAGCTCAAATATTTTCAAAGACCACAAGACCATGGCTTATTTCATTCATACTGAAGCTAGTATTTTATCTCCATTAATTTGACATTTTTCATTAAAATAATATTTTCTTCCAAGTAAAATCTTCAAGAAAAGATATCAATCTGACTCTCCAATTTCCCAAATGCGAGTAAGTAGTTACCAGTTTCACCACCAGAAGGGTGATTCGGGTCAATTAACATGGCAGGTATATAACCAGAACAACGGCAACGCCAAAGCGTAGCGAATCCCATCGAACAGAAATGGCTGGCATTTTTACAAACAAAATATATAGCAAATATCGTAAAATAACACCCATAAGGCCACCATTTTCAAAATGGTTGCTCACTAGCCAAGTTGTCATCAGAAGAAGTTATATGCTTTTAAGTAGCCACATATAAAAAAATTTAAAAATCGCACAGACATACATGTAAATGCTCGCTCTATTACTTTTTGAAGTAAAAATAATGGTGGCCATTTTTCAAAATGGCTAACTACTCCCCAAAGTTTTATTAGACAATGTGCCATGCTTAAAGTATTTACATATCAAATATGAACAAAATCGCTCCAAAACTTTTTGAGTTATAGTAAAAAATGTAAAAATGACAGCTATTTTTTAAAATGATAACCTACAATGCGAAGTGTTATGAGACAGTGTGCAAGGTTCATAAGTATTCACATACCAAATATGAACAAAATCGCTCCACTACTTTTCAAGTTATAGTAAAAAACGTAAAAAATGGTGGCCATTTTGAACGACCCAAAGTGTCATTAGACAGTATGCCATGGTTATAGTATTCACACTGGGGAGTATCGTGATGCAACAACACCGTGTTGTTGCATCAAGATGGCCAGACTTCCGGTGATAGATTTTCGTACGATATGTTGTTTCCCCATTTTAAACCCATTTCTAGCACAAGTTTCTCAATAACCATACACGTGAAGTTAGCGCACGATCTATATTTAAAGAAACTGTCATTAGTATACATGTAGCATCATCGAGAGGAACAGATTTTTAAATGCTACTATTGCAACACCGGGCCAGTACCCATTTGCGTTCTTCTCAGGCATTCAAAATACACGTCCTGCGGGCGAAAATTCTTTATATGTATTTTCAAAAATTTATACTTTTAAATGTCATAATGTACTGGAAGTTGTTTTATAACATAGTTCAATCGCCTTTAACATTACAAGCTATAGTTACCCAATCTATTATCATAAACCCCTGTTCCATAGCTTGATGACCCTGATACCAGTTACATGTAGTATCATTCAAAATGGTGGACAAACATCTTTCGTTCTTGGTAAACACGACGAGCTATTGGAAATCTTGCACGGCGCTCATGTAGAAGTATTGTTCTCTGGATTCTCTGGATTCTCCCCGATTGAGTAAAAAGGTAGGTAATAGGATTTAGGTCCCGAAAAGGTTAATTGATAGGGGTACAGTAATCCCAGATTCCCCCTGGGCCCTCGGGAAATATCATAATGTGTCCCGGAATAAAACCAATATTGAATCCCTCTCAGTAAATAACCTCTATATAATAGCATTGTATAACTGCAATATCATTAAACCAACACTCATCGGATGTTATGGCGTTTTGAAAACTCAAAATCGCTAAATTTGGTGCCCCATGTTAAGTCAATGGGAAAAAAAATTTTGAAGTGTAAAATACGACATATATACGACCGAGTACAGCTTAATTTAATGAAAGCCTTTAAATGAAGGGAACCTCAAAAGCAATCTAGCTTCAAAATTTGGACACAAAAATGTCTAGGTCAAAATCTAGGTCAAATTCAAAGTTTTCCTTATTTTTGTGATTCTGACACTATACTTCAATTATATTCTTCGAAATTGTGTATACATGTAGCCAAGAGTGTACTTATAGTGATTGCCTTTTGCCGTCAGAAAGTATTTTAACCCACTTTTGAGATATGGTGTCCAAAAAGTAGGTCAAATCCTGATAGAAAGTCAAGAGTAGCGAAGAAAGTGTTGAAAAATCCATCCATCCTTCCATCCATCCTTCCTATCCTATCCTACTATTCTATCATATCGTTCCTCCTTATTCTATCCTATCCTTCCTATCCTATCCCTTTTATCCCTACCCCTGTATCCGTTCCTTCCTATCTATCCTTCATATCCTTTCCTTCCTATCTATCTATCCTTCCTATCCTTTCCTTCCTATCCTTCCTATCTTATCCTCCCTTGCTATTCTATCCTATCTTTCTTCTCTATTCTCTCCTATCGTTCCATCCTATTGTCCTATCCCTCCTTCCTATTTCATCCATCCATCCATCTTTTTCTGGATGACTCGGCTTAAAAAAGTCCAGATCTGGAGTCTGAAATTGAACTTGTTCAATTTCCAAAGTCTAGTTATATTAGTTCTTTGTAAACAATTTCCATACGATACGGTAAATCAAGTGGATTTAATTTAGAAAATGAATAATCTTTATTTTTCAGATACAATATCAATGAGGTTGGCTCCCGGGGATTCAATACTTAGCCTACCTTGTATATCCTTTTAACTTTGATAAAGACAAATACATTAAGGAACCAAACAAAATACGTTTCATTCATGAACCAAGCACTCACGCGTTTTATTCATGTTCCGACCAACACCTATAAACAGAACATAAAACAGTTTCTCTTGATATTCAATGATCCATTATATTGGCGTTTTTGCATCAGCACATTGGTGTTGTTGCATCATCGATAATAAACAGAGTGGTGTTGTTGCATCAATAATGAGGAATTAAAACCGTGAATTTCTCGCTTCTTGATGATGCTACATGCATACTAATGAGAGTTTTTTTAAATATCATGAGCTAACTGCACGTGTATGATTATTGAGCAACTCGTCCTAGAAATGGGTTTAAATTGGGAAAACAAAATATCGTACGAAAATCTATCACCGGAAGTCTGGCCATCTTGATGCAACAACACGGTGTTGTTGCATCACGATACCCCCCAGTGATTCACATATAAAATAAAAATATGAACAAAATCGCTCTACTACTTTTTGAGTTACAATAAAAAATGTAAAATAACACACCTAAAAATGGCGGCCATTTTTCAAAATGGCCACCTAATACCCAAAATGTCATTAGACATTGGGCCATGCTTAAAGTATTCACATACCAAATATGAACAAAATCGCTCTACCACTTTTTGACTTACAGTAAAAAATGTTTAATAACACACATAAAAATGGTGGCCATTTTTCAAAATGGCTGCCTATTACAAAAAATGTAATTAGACATTGTGCTATGCTTAAAGTATTCACATACCAAATATGAACAAAATCGCTCCACTACTTTTCAAGTTACAGCAAAAATCGTAAAATGACGTGCAAAGGCAGCCATTTTTCAAGATGGCTGCCATGTATTTCTTTTGTATTTACATTTCTAGCTTAATCAATGTCCTTTATAACTTTTTTACATTTAAAACATATTGCTATTACAGTTTTATATGCAGTACCTAAATTACTGTAAAATCGGCACTAAAATGGCCGCCATTTTTAAATAAGCGGCCATTTTGAAAATCAGTTCTCGAGCAGAACTCCTACCCCCATTGGGTATGTGTGTACAAAATATGAACAAAATCGGGCATGGGATAATAAAGTTCCCTTAAACTTGAATATTATCAATTTAAGTGACTCAATTTTCACATAACCAGTAAAGCAAAATATTATCTGTCCACTAAAAGAAAAGATATTTCATTTTTTGTGATTTTATAGCATGGGGTCTATGGGGAATCTCCCCGAGCTAGAAGTCACATTTTCAAAGAAAATTATTTTTTCAAAGTTGATAAACACTTTTTAAAACCACATTTCTAGATGTAATTTTACATGTAGATTTCAAATATGATATTACTTTGACGTAAATCAAGATTATTTCTACTCGCATCTGGGTTATTGGGACACTGTGACTGTGACATATTTTTCAAAATGTTGAACTTATTTTCTGAAAAAATTATGTTATTTTCCACTTTTCCACTGGGGGTAATCTGCGTGAGGTTCCATTTTTAGGTTAGGTTTTTTGCGCATGGGCATTAAATCAAGCAAATTAATTGGTTCAATTTATGATAATGTATGCGCAATTAATTACCTTATAATTTAAGATAGATGTCACTTTCGTTCATCAATTCACAGCAGTCTCTACCAATAATGCACCCTATATTGCGGGAATATTTTTGTTTGGTATAAAAACAAAAAGTATACACTCAACAGAGGAAGTGTAATGACATAATGTGAACTTCTCCCTAATTTGATCACAGAAAAGTAATTTGAATCATGGGAATGAAGTACTTCCATTCATGAAAAACTGAACCAAGGAAAACTCCGAACCTCGTGCAGATTGCCCAGACTCGACTTTTTTTGTGATTATGAGTCAAAGAAAGCATTCTTGAGTTTCAAATTGACTTCTGTATTAACTTGAAACCATCTTCTAATTTATTCCACTTACCTTTTATTGTTTCTCCAAATATATTCTTTGAAAATCAAATTTGAAAGGTCTTAACCTTGAAACAAGCAATTGATGTCACGTTGCACTCATGAGAATTCTAGAATCACATGGCAGCCATTTTGGATATTTCAAAAAAATTCCCACTTAAACTAAGAGGGGGAGAAACCCCAGGGTTCAAAGATGATGTACGTCTATAATGTAAATCTGTCTTGAGATGATCCACCATCATGATTGGTCCAAAATGTCAAACAAAAATGGCGGATTCAAAATTTCCTAATAAGGCTTCGAATAATATTATGCTAATTTGTGGCATGGTAACCAATATTATAGCTTGTTATTTCACATCAAGATAAAGAAAGTTGTAAGGAATATGCTTACGTCGATTAAAACATCACAACGACATGTTAAATTCAAAAAACTAATGTAATATGGTATATTTTTATGTGCTTTCAGATATAGAGTACATTAGATTGTTCTTCCCAGTGGCCTTATGGTGGTGGTTTATTTTACAGAATATAGCAGCAATACCTTGAGATAGTCCAACAAATTGCAAGATTTATAGCATGTGATCAGTGTTGCTTGTAGATATAGTAGTGTTGTAACATCAACTGATTATAGTGAATAACAATTTGCTCATAGTGTGTATTAACAGTGTTCAGTATTCACATGTGAACTGGAGACTAGAATGAGTATCATCAGTGTTTTATGGGATGATATCGTTACAGAGCATCTCCAATATACATTGACTATTATGGTGTTAGAACATTGATTGATTGGCAGTAGTATATTGTGTCACAATTGCCATGATCAACATTGACACTGAGAACCAGACAGAATATGTACCAGAGTGACCATATAGGAGCCTAAGATATGAGCATACATAGCATACCAGCACAATATCATTATAGAGAGTGTAACATGATACAGTGATCATTATGATGACATATCATTCAATGATTGACATATTGGAGTTATTTTAATGTGGTACAATAAATCTTGATCATTTGCATGGAAGACCAGATTGAACAGCGGATTATTGAGAAGAATTGTACTGAGTTGTACCAGAGCGACGATTACAGTAACAGTTACCAGCAAACATTAGAATAACGCTAATATCATTACAGTGTGTCCCAGTATACACTGACCATTAATACATTGAATCAGCAACATTTTGTCTGATATATGCACATTTTCTATAAAATTTGAAGTTATGCGAAGTTTGGCGCGACAGAATATGTCACGCAAATACGCATTTTGCCTGATTATTCTCAAGCAAAAATATTCCTGTAGAAAAACTACAAAAAAGTGATCGCCGATGCAGCACAAAACCGAACACTGAAAAAACAAATGCATTTCGTTGTGACCTTTCAAGCGGATACCGTATATCTCATGCATTTTCCTCAAATTAATTCGCACGGACTTTTTTGCTAAAAATTGAGTGATAAAAATCATTTGTATCAACCTTAGTCTATCAGAGGGCTTGCTCAACCCTCCAACCTTGTCCTACCTTTGAAAATCGCTCCTCCATCTCCACACAAGGAATTCACTAAACGCTTTGGATTTTCAACTTAACTTGTATTGTTAAACCAATAGCAACAACGAATCTACTACAACTACAAGTTCTTCTTCTTTATCCTAGACACTGTAATGTTGTCAACTCAACAAATCAAAATATTTTTGAATTTTGATAAACATCCGGGTATTTTATTATTCAAAGTTCAGATTTTTTCGAACAAAATTAAGAATATGAACCAGACTTTAGGACGAAATTACTTCCGATTAATTTAAAATTATTTGAATCATAATATTTTAAAGCCCATTAAAACATTCATTATTAGTTATCATTAAGTGAAATAAATGCGAAAAAGTCTTATTCGAAATACTAGTTTGCGCATGCGCATTAACAAACATCCGGTTAAAAAATTTCAAACATTATCTCAAAATTTGTTAGATTATTGTGAATAAGAGGTATTCAGATACATCATTTTTGAAATATAATGTCTGCATTGTTTGCCTGTACTAAATGTCACAGTAGACACCCTTTTGATGAGCTTTCTTCTGCAGAACAGCTTTGTAAAGTAAGTTTTCATTTGTATTTATTTTGACACAACTGATTTTTTGACAAAGGTCCTAGGGGAAGGGGAAGTGATTCAAATATCTATATTTTGTACATCTCATATTCTTATCTATTCTCATGCTTTACCTAGTGTTTTTATAGTCAGATTTGTCTTGGTCAGTGTTTCATTTAGAGATTATCTTATACCAAAAGTAAATGGAAAATTATCCTCAAATTAATTTGCATTTTTCGATCTCAAATATCATAATTCAAAGCATAAATGTCAGTTTTATATTTCAAATACACCTTATACTTACATCTGATAATATCGTTTATCAAACGTATGCAGTATTTATCGTAGAATAATATTTTTTTCATGGCCTGAGTTCATGGCTAACATGCTAAATATAAGAGTTACAGTGGGGATCATAAAGAATTGCAAAAGCTATGAAAATTACATGCTGTCGCACATGTAATAAATTCTTACCTCAGTGTATTCAGTGCTCTATTTTCTCCGTCTTAGTAAGTCCAAATATAGTGGAATTTGTGTCCCTAATGACAAATAAGAACTTCAAAAGTTGAATTGGAAATTCACATGTTATGCCGACTCTTCAAATGTTGATGTGATTTTGTCGCCCGATTGCGCCGGAATGGAGGATTGGCTCCCAGAATGCAACATGACACGTGCCAGCTTTCAAAATGCTGTTCCGCCATTTTGAAACCTGTCATGAGTAAATACGGTTAACTGATGTTGCATTCTGGGAGTCAACCGTCCTTGGATACAAACATGGCGATTCATGAAAACATTCATTCGATTTGGTAGGGATTTATCCATTATTTGCAGGTATGAAGCTTTGGATTCATTTATTGTGCTACTTTAGTGAACGGGAATTATTTTTCTACCGCTTGGGAGAGTTTGAGACACGAAACTTCGAAATTAGCTCATTGTGACAACTTGTGAACGTTGAGTTTTATTTTTGTCCCCCATTGTAGGTGACGTTTGGGAGTCTGACTTACCTTCTAAAGGTTAGAACCCGAATCTTAATGAAACCATATCACCTTTGTTGCGTCATTGATGATGCATAAACAGAGCATTTGATAGAAATTAGTGTAAATGCTTTTCAGACTTTTTCATTTTTCATTAATGTTGACTTCCGGGAAGGCGTTGTAGTTATCACGAAATAACGCATTGACCCTTGAACTTTACTTTGTTGACGTGTCAACCAAGCATGTCTGGTGTGAAAATTAAAAGAATATTAAGCAATGTTCTACATCCGCCAAGCTAAGTGAAGTAGCCAATATTTAAAATTACCAATTTCAAGTGAAGTACGCAACGAACGAAACTGCGTGATCTGCACTCCCACTATTGGTCTGAACGAAATGCTACGTAGAAATATGAGCCGTCTGCTGTATTAGTCGATTAATAGAGTAAGACCTGTTGGTGATGCTTTATAATTTAGACCAAAACATTGGAGAAAAAAACGAACCTGTAAATCGTGAAAACAACGAACAAATATTCGGTTTTCACATATGTTCGGTAATTTTTCGTATTGAAACTTCCGGAACTTACAAGGAAATCATTCATTTTCACGGTCCATGATTTACCTCTTGGATGTTGTGGCAAATGCTCCATGGTTGACGGAACAAAGGTGATATGGTTTCATTAAGATTCGGGTTCTAACCTTTAGAAGGTAAGTCAGACTCCCAAACGTCAGCTATCTCTTATATTTAGCATGTTAGCGACGAACTCAGGCCATGAAAAAAATAGTAGAATGGATTTCAGCTAGAATTGGCGTAGTCTATATCCAATAGACTGAATTTCCTGAGAATTGAGTCTATTGATCATTATGTCCCTCCCGTGGGAAAAAACAGGAAATTTCCTGCACACAATTATCAATTTTAGGAAACTTCACTTCCAAAAAATAAGCATTATAACAATTCAATTAAGTAGTAAGGTACAATTAAATGCTATAAACATGATAAAAAGTAACACAGCATATTGTCAAATGGAAATAAAGTTAGGAGAAGTAACAAATATGCAAATTAATTTACCCAATCGGCCATTTTGAATGGCACTTCCTATGTAAACAAATAATTTTCAGTCCCATATTTTCATGATTTTGTGGGCTATAGTCTGAATATTTTCATTCCAAATTTCAAAAAAATTTCAGACTAGAGGATATAGTCTAGAATTGGTGTGGGAAATTTCAATTGACGATTCTCTGCCAGGTTACGCTCTGATCCATTGATTCCGATCCATTGATTGGTCAATGCGCTGTGCAACGGAAGAAACAATATTTTTTTTCAATTACGGTGTCACCCCACATTTTTAACATGGAAATAGGAGGGGTTATTTATCGTAATCGTGTCTAAATTTCTTGCTTTTGAGGCACAACATAATAAACAAATGGCGGGGTAAGTTTAAATGATTAAAGATGCAAGTATTTTCAATCTTTTCACAGCTAAATGGCTGTCTAGTCTATTCTTCAAGAAAGTCGCGAGGAGGGATACTTTACCTGCTTATTTCGAGTCTTGAACCTTCATGAACCTTTAATTTTACACAAATGTCTGAATAAACACATTCTAAAATGTAGTTTTGTAAGATATCAAGCTCCGGTTTTTGAGAAAATTGCTGCTCAAATTGGAGTAAATTTCTGTTTTGATGACGTCAATTTAATACGTTTTAGACAATATATGCGATAGTTACATTTCAAAATATGCAAGAATTGTGTGCAGCTACACTTTTGCCTGATATATTCGTGATTTAAATTAAAGGAGCTGTGCAGATAAACTTTGAGGGGTTATTTTGAGTAACAAATGTCCTATATATCAAAAATCCTCAAAATAACCCCACATTTATGGGGGTAGGAAAAGTTGTCTCTCATTTGACTAAGAGCAAATGTGTATGTTTATGCAGCAATATATGTTAGTTTAGAGAATGATTAATCTTACCTGTACTTCACAGAAACATCCTAAGTATGAAAATATTTCACCAAAATACATGCTTCCATTTTGTCACATGTTTATGATTTTGACCATGTGATGTTTACAGGGGGTGTAAACGCACCTAGCGTATTTTTGTAGAGTATACAGGAAATGTGTTATGATATTTATTAAGAAATTAGGTATGGTAATCGCTGTATTAAGCCCCCAACCTACTTCACAAAGTTCAAGAAATACCAAGGAAAGACCAAATATTGAAGAATAAATTAGAAAAATTTGAATTTCCCAAAAAATCAAGTGGGCGATAATTGAGTCTCTGAAACATGACAAAAGTGACATATTATGTAATTCAATGCATACTCCCGATAAGTATCTATCATTGTGTCCTTTCCAAACCATATCAAACTAATATTATCTAAAAATAATCCATTTTTCAAAAATTTTTAACTTAAATTTTTCCTTCATTTACTTATTATATACATTATTGGCATTATTTTGTTAAGCTGTCCCAAAGTGCAAATAAAAAATATTCTCTACAAGTACAGTATCTGCAAAACATGACGAGTAAAATGTACCCAAAAGTTAAGTAAGTGCCTTACTAATTTTTCAGGATTGTCGAAATGCCTTCCCAGTTGTAAAGTGTACGTACTGCCGTGGAGAGTTCCAACAGGAAGAGTAAGTACTAGATATTATAGCTATATGATTTATCTGAGTAGAAGTAAAAAATTTATGTATTATACAATATATGTCAAGGATTGATTGGATATTAAACATATTGGATTGTTTATTTTCAGTAAAACAAGTACAAATCCCATCTGTAAGAAATGTGCATACAACGTGAAGTCCTATGGAAAGGTTTGTACACAGTATTATATAATCAAGGGGTTCAATCTAAACATTTGTCCAATGTGGTGGACAATGCTATTCATAAAAACACTAAGAAAACTTCACAGATTAATTTTTACTCATATGTTTCATTATAACAAAGAACATTTTCTTCTCTATTATTAAAGTAATGCAATGTAAATGTTTCAAGAATTGTTCACATTTCCCTCTACATTATTATCCCATCGAACGAAGTCCGGAGGGATATAGGATGCGCCTTCATCCATCTTGGCGATAACTCACATGTTGAATTTGTTGAAATTTTATATGTGCCTACTAGTGCTGCAAGTGGCAACAAATTTCAATACCAGTATCTCATACACCCAATTTCGTACTGATCGGTAGTGCTGCGAAAAGTAAAAAAAAATCAAAAAATGTGATTCCTTATGTTGACATTCGAAATCCCTCCATTTGAAAAGCAATGAACCCAGCACTTCCAGGTAGAAAATTTAGCAAAATGTCTTGCCAATTGATGTTGATTTACAAACTATATTCTTCACACAACATCCAGCATCTGATTTTTTCAATACTGACACTGAAGCCCAGTGCTACTTCCAGTAATACCATGAGTGCCTACTTGATAGCAGATTACACTTTCTTATGACAATTTGGCTAGTGAGCGACCATTTTGAAAATTTTTATTTGGCATTTTTATGTGTTTTATTTTACAATTTTTGCAATAACTGAAAAAGTAGTGGAAGAATTTTATAAAAATGGCAGCCATGGCTGTTCGATGGGATTTGCTATGCTTTGACGTTATTGTTATCTTGCTATAACAGATATTACATAGCAAGAATATTTGTAAAGAATTGGTTTTATTCCATATTAGAGAGAAATGATTGACTCATATTTTAGCCATCTGTGTGTGAGTACTGTAACATCCTAGCTGCCTTTATTGGCAACAAGTGTCAGCGTTGTACCAACTCTGAGAAGAAATGGGGCTCTCCCCAGACATGTGAACAGTGCAAACAGCAGTGTGCCTTTGAGCGCAATGATGACAGCAGGAATAAGGTATGCTGTACCAGAACATCAGTTATTTCTGTGCTTCATTTCACAACTATATATCTATATTTAACCATTAGCAGTAGCATGTAACATTACTATTATACTAGAATATGAAAGTTGGTTGTCTAAACTGTTACCCCTCCCTAATTGAAATATACATTTATAATATTTATCTTTCAAAGCTAAATGTTTTCAATAATAGGTAGATGGTAAGCTGTTATGCTGGCTCTGTACCCTTGCCTATAAGAGAGTCCTAGCTAAGGCTAAGCAACAAGAGCATGAGTCTAAACTAGCAAGAGGAAGTTCACAGGTAATGAACATTTAATGTGTGTCTGCTAGAAGCCGTCTCTCAAGCTTATTCTCCCAACTCTATTTTTTCTTAAGATCTTGTTTTCTTATTTTGGGTATGTAAATGTCCCATACTTTTGTCTTACTTCTTCAAAATTGAGCTTTCCAATTCAAAAGCCCTCTTTGCAATGAATTGGATGTTTCTTCTTTTAGGAAAATGATGAGAAATCCAGCTCTGATAAAGAACAAAGTTCATCAGGTCACCATAGCAACAAGCTACATAGCAACAGCAGCAGCAGTAGCAAGCACCAAAGCAAACATAGCAGTCATCACAGGTAAAATTACTAAATGGAGTTGGTAGCACTTCTCAAGCTAAATGCTTCAACTAATGAAGAAACATAAAACATACTGCTGCTCTGACTCCGTTTTTTGAATCGCTAAATAATATCTATAAATCTAATTTATCAATTACAATATGAAAAATGATATTCCCTCTCTTGAAATGTATTACCACAATATATGGTAACACACACTGAACGAGAGTCTGATTACCAGTTTTTTCCATTGAACTTTTCTAGGTCTAAGGATGACGAGAAATCTGGGGATGATCACCACAGAAAGTCTCACAAACACAAGCATCACAGTGATCACAGGTATGGAATATATTTATTGCAGGTATAGGCACATTGAATGTATATTTATCACAGGTATGAACTTATTGAATGCAGGTATAGGCACATTGAATATCCAGGGTGACACAATGAAATCCCACCAACCAATTTTAGAGGAACTTTTTTCAATAATGAGAAATCTTCTTTTTTGTGTAGATAGAGTGTTAAGCGGAAGAAAGATTGTTGTACTTGTATAGCATCAACAACTTTAGAGATTTAGAGCTATCATGTTTTCTGTCTAGGTTCATGTATGCTCTCGGTGAAACCGTGAAAAAATGTGCAAAAATACAATTTTATGAAATTGGGATTTCTGTCTAAGCCATTATTTGAGTCATTCTGGATTGCTTTCACATATATTATCAGTAATACGAGGGTTGTCCCAGAAGTAATGCACTATATGCTCTAACTTTCTTTAATATTCTTCAATTCAGCTGAAATTTTGTGTATATAACAATTGAAGTTTCATCTATTATATCCTGAAGTTTCAGCATCCAACAATAATATTAAGTCTTAATATGGTTGCTATAACAACATGGGGGTAGGGGTGGGCGGGGCAGGTACCAGTTTTTCTAATTATGAAAAGATCTAAAGTGTTATTTTATTAATATTTCTTTCCTTTAAATGGTCAAAATGTTTGGGAAATTGTTAAATTTATTCAGCATGATGTTAACCAAGTACAAATGATGACATTTAGCACTGTGATGTCATAACACCACATTTCAATAGTCACGAATTCAAATACAGTCACAGTCAAGAAATTGCAAAAATGACTGCAATTCTCACCTGATAACAGAAGGCCTTGCATTTGGTGGCCTAATTTCATACTTCACTTGGACTCACAGCCACGCAAGACAATGCTACCATGAAGGAAGAATATAAGGAGTATATACCAGATGGAACTACAATTATAGGGTGTCAGAAGAGATTTAAAAGAGACGATTTGACCCTTTATGACAACTCCAAACATGGTAGGCAAAAACTCCACAAGTCACAGTGGAAGAAATTGCCGAGAGTGTTTGACCTGACAGGCATCAAAAGTACATAACATGCAAAGGGCAATATTTTGAGAAGATGTGAAATGGGACACTGTGCAATATACATCCATTAAATCTAGGATGTGCTCATAGTAATTTAGTACACTTGAAAATGTATTTTTGAGCATACTTCTTATAGCTACACCAAATGGTATTTGTTGATTAATTATTTCATATTTTCAATCTTTTATTCCTTTTGACGTGACTGTATAACCTGCCCCGCCCTACCCAAACTCACCAACTTGATTTTATTATAACATCAATATAGTTTTATCAGTCAACATGAAAATTTTTAGAATAATCAAAATGTCTCTAAGGAACATTTACTGAAAATTTCCTGGAAAAATATCAATTATTGATAAAGTTAGAGCATATAGTGCATTACTTCTGGGACAACCCTCGTATATCATATCTACCCATTTTCTTAAATAATTTTGTCAAATTTGATGAACTGACTCGCTTAATGGGTAAATTCTAAAAAGACAGATTTCTAATTTACATTTTTAAGTGATATTGTGTAAGAGCATCCCTCTGTAGAAAATTAGATATCTCTTAATTTCCATGAAGTTGATGCCAATCTTTCTTCCATTGAACACTCTATGTTCACTTAAATTCCAAAATTAGTGGGTGGCATTTTTGTGTTATACTGTATTTTTCACGTGTATAGCCAAATTGAATATGTTTATCACAGGTATGGACTTAATGAACATATTAATTGCAGGTATAAACACATTGAATATATTGACCAATAGAAAGGTAAAGAAAGAAACATTGAACATATTAAACACATACAAGGGTTGTTCAAAAAGTTTTGCACAAATATATCTTATTATGAAAATAATCAACCAATCTTGTTCATAGTTGGTAGGTATATGCCCCCATGTTATTCCCTTATACTGCCAAGGTTTCATGTATATTCGTCTTCTACTTAACATTCTATGGTTGCTATAGTAACCAAGGCGATGACGCAATGGTCCATATCATTTTATAAAAAGAAAACTAGTAATATATAAAGAACAGTATTACTAATCATGCTTTTATTTACATAAACTGTCAACTTAGATTTAAACAATATCTAGTTTTGTTCTCATGGGAAAAGTGAATCTTATATCAATATTTCCCATATTCTTTTCTTTTAATCATGCCAAATAATGACTGTAAATATACTCTGCAGAAATCTTTAAAAAATCACAACTTCTCATGAATTCATGAAATATGGGAGAGTATGGCTCGAAATAATAAAGTTGAAGCAGAAAACATTGATTGAATACATGATAAAAAATGGGGAAACACTATTACACAAGTTATATACATTATTGCATTAATACATGTATATATTGCATTAATGACTTCAATCACAGGCATTGCAAAGTATTCCAAGATGGAATTAGAAGGGAAAAACTTTTCGAACGACCCTTGTATATAGATACCTTGCGCATGTTGACCACAGGTAAAGAAAGACACATTGAACATGTTGACCACATGTAAAGAAACACACATATAACAAATTAAACAGGGATGTAGACACATTGAACATGTTGACCACATGTAAAGAAACACACATATAACAAATTAAACAGGAATGTAGACACATTGAAGATGTTGACCACATGTAAAGAAACACACATATAACAAATTAAACAGGGATGTAGACACATTGAACATGTTGACCACATGTAAAGAAACACACATATAACAAATTAAACAGGAATGTAGACACATTGAAGATGTTGACCACATGTAAAGAAACACACATATAACAAATTAAACAGGGATGTAGACACATTGAACATGTTGACCACATGTAAAGAAACACACATATAACAAATTAAACAGGAATGTAGATACATTGAACATGTTGACCACATGTAAAGAAACACACATATAACAAATTAAACAGGGATGTAGACACATTGAACATGTTGACCACATGTAAAGAAACACACATATAACAAATTAAACAAGGATGTAGACACATTGAACATGTTGACCACATGTAAAGAAACACACATATAACAAATTAAACAGGGATGTAGACACATTGAACATGTTGACCACATGTAAAGAAATGTACATATAACAATTAAACAGGGATGTAGACACATTGAACATGTTGACCACATGTAAAGAAACGCACATATAACAATTAAACAGGGATGTAGACACATTGAACATGTTGACCACATGTAAAGAAACACACATATAACAAATTAAACAAGGATGTAGACACATTGAACATGTTGACCACATGTAAAGAAACGCACATATAACAAATTAGACAGGGATGTAGACACATTGAACATGTTGACCACATGTAAAGAAACGCACATATAACAAATTAAACAGGGATGTAGACACATTGAACATGTTGACCACATGTAAAGAAACGCACATATAACAAATTAAACAGGGATGTAGACACATTGAACATGTTGACCACATGTAAAGAAACACAGATATAACAAATTAAACAGGGATGTAGACACATTGAACATGTTGACCACATGTAAAGAAACGAACATATAACAAATTAAACAGGAATGTAGACACATTGAACATGTTGACCACATGTAAAGAAACACACATATAACAAATTAAACAGGGATGTAGACACATTGAACATGTTGACCACATGTAAAGAAACACACATATAACAAATTAAACAGGGATGTAGATACATTGAACATGTTGACCACATGTAAAGAAACACACATATAACAAATTAAACAGGGATGTAGACACATTGAACATGTTGACCACATGTAAAGAAACACACATATAACAAATTAAACAGGGATGTAGACACATTGAACATGTTGACCACATGTAAAGAAACGCACATATAACAAATTAAACAGGGATGTAGACACATTGAACATGTTGACCACATGTAAAGAAACACACATATAACAAATTAAACAGGGATGTAGATACATTGAACATGTTGACCACATGTAAAGAAACACACATATAACAAATTAGACAGGGATGTAGACACATTGAACATGTTGACCACATGTAAAGAAACACACATATAACAAATTAAACAGGGATGTAGACACATTGAACATGTTGACCACATGTAAAGAAACACACATATAACAAATTAAACAGGGATGTAGATACATTGAACATGTTGACCACATGTAAAGAAACGCACATATAACAAATTAAACAGGGATGTAGATACATTGAACATGTTGACCACATGTAAAGAAACACACATATAACAAATTAAACAGGGATGTAGACACATTGAACATGTTGACCACATGTAAAGAAACACACATATAACAAATTAAACAGGGATGTAGACACATTGAACATGTTGACCACATGTAAAGAAACACACATATAACAAATTAAACAGGGATGTAGACACATTGAACATGTTGACCACATGTAAAGAAACACACATATAACAAATTAAACAGGGATGTAGACACATTGAACATGTTGGCCACATGTAAAGAAACACACATATAACAAATTAAACAGGAATGTAGATACATTGAACATGTTGACCACAGGTATAGATTCATAAATACAAGCTGTTTCAATGGTGTTCTGAATAGAAATACAATTAATTATACTATAATACTTTTTGTGTTTTCAGATCTCATCACCACCACAGTCATCACAGCAAAAGGCCTAAGCTGGGGGACAAGTCGGCCAATGGTTTCACATCCAAGCTGTAAGAATTCAGTGTTTGTTGTTTGTAAATCCATCACAATTCTCACATGTATAGCATTTTGAACTTTGAAGTGAGGATATAACTATTACAACTCTATTACTCCACCAAAGCTAATATAATGTGAAACTGGCCTTTTACATTTTGGCATAATGTTTTGATGACATTTTATGATATAGTTCCCCTTTCAACTATATTATCTCATGGAAATGGGTGTACCAGTCCAAAGATCTTTGTTCTGTGGTGAAGAAAAGCTATCAAACATTGTTAGGGTGTTTTTTGCTCTCATTTTACTCCTGTTTTCATGGTTACCATGACAACTTGATTGATGAAGGATATCCACCCAGTTGTAGTTGGACCAAGTTTGATGGGAAACAGCCCTGGGTTGATATGCAAGCTGTGGGGTTGATAGTGGCAAGTAGTGAATTGGGAAAACAATGTTGGAGTCAAACCATAGAATTGTATACTCAAGTTAATGAATTCTAGTTTTGTGCCTCTCATATATTGACAAACACGTTGTAATACATAATGAACTTGTATATATATTTAGGTCTGAGCCAACACTAGAAGTCCCCACAGACCACATGGTGGCAATTACCCAACTCAGGGAGGAAGTTGAACAACTCAAGAAAACAATACAAGAGAAAGACAGGACGCTTCTTGAGAAAGATAAAAAGGTATGCTGCGATTCTTTTGTGGCCAATATTTCTGTTTCTCTTTGAAAGATGTGTCCTTCAATTTTGAAATGTTGTATCCTGAATCAGTTAAGATTTGTGATTTTTTTTTTTCAGAATAAAGACGAAACCATTGAACTTTCTTTCTTCAAAACCTTTCTTATCATTTTAAATAATAAAAAGTGGGATGTGACACAATGCTTATTTTGTGTTCTTCCAGCTGACAGAGATTAAGGCGCTGAATTATGAAATAGAGAAAGAGTTACGAGGCAAGCTGACAGGACTCAGCAAGTCGACCACTGATACCATAGATCAGTTACAGGTTGGTTATAGTATTACTCAAGCTAGTATCTTCTCTCCACTGCCTTGAATCTCAAACGGTAACATGATTTGTCCTGGTTAGAGGGTCGTGTCCAGACAATGAGCTCAGGGTATTATGTGTTAAATCATCCAATGTTATTGTTCTGTAGGTGAAGAATAGAGCTCTCCAGAAGCAAGTGGTTGCCTTATCAAAGCAGACAACTACATCCAAACTGAAGCAGCCCAGTAGTACAACCAACAGTCCATCCGTCTAACTACTTGCTCAAGCAACAATCCCCTAATACAAGCTGCAGGTTCAATAATAGCACATAAAACAGTTCATCTTCACACACATGAGGTTCACTCCTTCATGTTTGTATAATAGTAAAGTATATGAATATATGAAATGTAGAATACAGTATATATTATACACCTCACATATGAAATATATCACATATGTTTTTCCATATTATAGGTATATTGCATTATTCTAAGGTGTATGAAAGATATTTAACTAAATAATCCAATTTGACCACTTTGTCAATTAATATCATTTGTATATGACACAAAGTGTCCATAAAGTGTCCATAAAGTGTCTATAGTCCATGGTATGACTCCAGAATGTGAAGAATCAATACCACACTATAGCGCAAAAATATTTGAACCAATAATCAAGGAGGTGCATATGCTCAATTTTTTTAAAATACCATTTGCTGAAAAAACTTCTGGCATTCACTCCGAAATACGTGTTTCATTTGTTTTATATATTTATAAGAAGCAGATCTTTATATATATACAATAAATTAGATTATCATAATGTAAAAATTAATTATAATTTGATGTAAATGCCGATGTTTAATAATGACATAAGTGTGCTTTTTAGATTTTGTTTAATTGTCCAGATTCAACAAAATTCTATTAAGTATTTTGAAAATTCATGACTGCAAACAAATTAGTTTTTCTTTTATTTAAAACATTTTATAACCAGAATTTATCCATATCCTCGCCAGGTGTCAAACAACAAATTATTGTTAATGATTAACAATGACACATGTTTTAATTAAATGTTACAGAGGTATTGGAATGTTCATATATTCCAAGGGTAAGTCTTATTCCATAAGTGGCATGTGCAATCGAATGCCTTTCATTTCTTCCTCAACGTTACTGCTGGTTATCATCACATTTTCTGATGATTATTTCTCCCTTGATTTTTCTGCTGGTTATCACATTTTTGAAGCTAATGATAACTAATTTTCTTTCATGAATTCGACCTGGTGGTCTTGGTAGTTGTTTCATAAGTAACTGAGTAATATTTAACTATGAGCAAAATCATTTTAGTTGTAGTCGCAATTAGTCAAGGTTGAGCAATGCCTTCCTTAATTGATAACTGACCCATGAGGATAATAATCAATATCTCAAAACATATTGAGACCCATTCTGTGAAAGACTACTATTATGTACTCAGAATTGGGAATAAATCAGATTTCGTTTTTGGTAATTTTTGACAAGTGCTAATGACAGGTATTATTCAGCCTTAAAGCCAGAAGCAAATTTAACGGTTAAAGTGAAATAAATACAGGACACTTATTAAGGTATGTAAATATTAAGTCAAACATTGCTGCGCTATAGTGAGCTACCAGCTCCTTCATTAGACATCCTAGAAATTCATACCATGGACTATTACCTAAGCTAAATGTTACATGAATTACCAAAAATAAGGCTGGAATTTTATGTTGTTTTAGCCAGATATCAAAATGTACAGATACTTATCCCATTGAATGAAGTTCAGGGGGATATAGAGAACACCTCCGTCTATCCATTCATCCATACTGTCTGGGCAATAATTCTAATATCTTTGGCTCAGTATCGTTTATATTTTATTATTTTCAAAATGACTGCCATTTTAGTGTAAATTTTACAGTATTTTAGGTATAACATATAAAACTGCAATATTAGTATGTTTTAAATGCAAAAAATACATAGGACACGAATTAGTTTAAAATGTAATTATCCTAAAAAACATGGTTGCCATCTTGAAAGATGGTGGCCATTACACACTATATTATGATTTTGCTGTAACTCGAAAAGTAGTTGAGCGATTCATATTTAATATGCGAATTCTTATAAATACGGTACACCGTCTTATTTTACGTTTTTACTATTACTAGAAATGTAGTTAGTGATATTGTTGAAATGTTTATATGTGACTTACAAGGGATAGTATGTGACTATTTTGAAACGTATTACACTTTAATGACAATTTGACCAGTGAATAGCCATTTTGAAAAATGGCCACTATTTTTAGTATTTTAAGTGTGTTATTTTATGTTTGTTTTGCTATAACTGAAAAAATAAAGAAGAGATTTTGTTGAAATTGTACACTTTCTGATTACAATTTGGCTAGTGAGTGGCCACTTTGAAAAATGGCAGCCATTTTTTATGTGTGTTGTTTTACATTGTTGCTTAACTGAAAAAATAGTGGAGCATTTTTAAAGAAAAATTTATTGGTGAATATTTCGAAGCATATTTCACTGTCTAGTGACAATTTGGCTGATAGGAGGCTATATTCAAAAATGGCAGCCATGGCTGTTCAATGGGATTTGCTCCGTTCACATTGCTGTTATTTAGTTTTAATTTTCAAATTATACATGTGATGTTACTGGTCTGCCTCTTATCAGGCTATAGTATATAAAAGTTTTACATATATTTTAACGCTATGCTGAGAAACAATAATGGGGGGTAGGAGAAGTGACACAAAACTTTATTCAGGGTGAGTCTCCATCATACACTTAATTGTACTTTTTATCACACTTTTTCAAAGTGAATGCATATTGTCATCATCTTGTCCTGATGGGTGTGCATGCATATGTGGGTTTGCCATCAAAATTCCAGGAAAACTTCCCTGTTCAGCTTGAAATTTTTACAGATGCAAGGACAGACTTGTTCCAATATCTGATTAGGTTTAGGGCATGCTGGGGAAATACTTGATGGCCATTTTGAATTTTTCGATAAATCTTGTTACCAAATTACTAAACATGTTAAGTGAGATATTTATCACTGTTTTTACTGTGTGCTGGAATTGAAACAATGTCCTAATGGGAAAAAACTGGAGTGTGGGCAAGTGTAAATGTTTAGTAGAAATACTAGTAATGTGTCATTAGATATTACTTCCATATTAAGAGAAAATACTCTATCCTCTCATTGGCTGATTCCAGTCATTAAATTCAAGGAATATTCCTCTAATGTTAGACAACAGTAAAACCTGTGTAAGTGAAACGTCTTTTCTAACTCTAAAAATGTTGGAGATGCTTCATTTAAAGAGGTTTATTTAAAGCACAACTGAAATAGTTATTTGAAACTAAAAGAATCAATTTTATTTACTAATGGATCTATTTGGACATGTCATCCAATCAGTTATGTTGGCCGTGGTAGCTGTTTTACAAGAAATTGTAAATATTTTGTGACATTTTTTGGCCCCCAAGTGACGTTCCACTGGCCCTTTTTCAGTTGTGCTTGAACATTAAGACACTTGGTAATGTTCCATTTAAAAAGGTACTGTATTTCGCTTAAAAATTAGACTTAAATATGATTGCACAATCTGGGTCGTGTACTTTTTGTTTTGTTGTTCTATTTATTTCTCCCAGGAGGCTTCAGATTTCAGTACCTGGTATTGATATTTTAATGTGACACATACATACTGTATGTTCTAACTAAACAAAATGTAAATAATATAGTTTAAAATTGTACACTGTTGTAGTATATATTGTAAATACACAGACTTTATTAGGCCAAGAAAAGTGTGTACTGCGCTTACCATAAATAAATGACACCATGCTGAAGTGAGGATTTCCCATGTTAAAAAGAAGAGAATTTTCAAGAGGCTATACATCAGTGGATGAGAGTATACAAAATGTAAAATATACAAAACTTAAGGGATGTGTATCTAGACATTATTGGGAAGTATGAAGTCTCAAATCACCATGGTCTGGAAATGGTGTAGAAAATCATGATGTCATTTATTTATGGTGAGCACTTTAGTTTCTCATCTCTGATTTCACTCTGAGTCTGACTGTTTAATATTTTAACTGAAATTAAAAAAATACAAATTGCAATACAATTCTACATACTTTGTGTTGACAAGGGGAAGAGGTTAAATATTATGAAAGCAATCACATTTAAGAACTGACAGGAATTTGAAAAATGAGAAAAAAAGTCAGACAATCCAAAACAACGTATTTTTCTTGGCCTTATTTGAATGTGCAATGGGAGCACCTATGTATAATAATCAATAATGTTGAATATGTAAAACATGACAAATCATATAATACTACAAGAAGTTCACATTCTAATGTCTGAATGTTGCTTGCATTCAGCACTACACAAATATAGTAATAATTATATATAGGTCATGTCAAAAACATAAACAGTGTAAAGTGTGTGGAAAAATAACTTTCTACATTCATGCTTTTCAAAATACTATTTTTTAATATGCCAATTCACGTGAAGGAACTAGTAATTGACAACTCCAGGGAGTAGCAAAATCTAATCAGCTAATGAACACTATATTCATGATTCTGTATACTTATATCAAATTATAGGATATGCCATCTACTTTACCCTCGCTTGATTTGTAGATAATAAAAGAGGGACATATTGAGATATATCTTAATTTCCCCCAAATAAGCTCAAATCATAGAGACAATACATGTATATATATATACATATAAAATTGCGTCATGCCAGATCATGAGTGTTGACTGGGAAAAGGAGACAATATTTACTCTCCTACCTCCTGGTTGTTTCTTGCATGCAATATCAATAATGAGGAGTGATTTGATTAAATATGTTTTATCGGATGGGATTTACTACTCCTGGAGTTCTGTTTTTTCTAGTTATTTTTGTTATATTCTTGTATCTTACATGCCATTATCAAATGCATAGTCAGGGGCCTCAAGTAGACTTAGATTGAGAGTACTTTCTGAACAATTACTTCATTATTCAAGAATATATGAATTAAATTATGCAGCAATGTACATTCAGTTGTTTTAAAATGTCAGATTTACCAAACAATAATTAAATGAAGATTTTTGATGTTTTTAATAGTAAAACCTATGTATTAATAAAATGTAATCATGTATAATGAGATGTTTTGAATGTTGAACATACAATCATACGTGTAATCTCAAATACAATGGGTCTTGAATTTCATTGCTACATGTTGGTTTCACAGAGATGCCACATGGTATTGCTGCCACTATTACGATTTTAATTGAAGTAAATAAATTGATTTTACTTATTTATATACTATTTAACTAGATTAGACTTGAACAATAGAAAATTATGTTTTACTTGGTAAAATATTTAAATTGTTTTATAATTATTTTAAATTGTTCATACAAATACATAAGACCACATGTTCACAATCTATTTATTGGTTTATGATTCAGTTTAAATTTCTTAAATTGGTTGAAGTTGCTAAATATTGTGCCTCACCATCACAATATACCAATGTTCATAAAGAGACAATTCGGGTAACAGAATGGTGACCACTTCACCTTTTCTATTATTTTTATGGAATATTTGGGTTTGGCCAATGTCTAGGAGAAATGAAAAAAATGATATTTCAAGCGAAGGACATTTGTACCTTTTTCAACAATAAACTGTATGAAACACTTGAAATTACCTATAGAAAGCACCTGCTCCTAGACATTGACCAAATTAGGCGATGACATCCCGTGATATTAGCATATAAAATTCAAGCCATGAGACTTAAGAGTGATGGTTTCAACTTTTTACATTTAAATAAGTAGTATTTATGAATGTTACATGTACATGTACTTACAAAATATTTAATAAATAAAAAATTGTATAAGTTTGTAGTAAAACAGAGTTGTTTCGTAAGATGTTTTTACATTGTACCTAGGGAGGTGTCCATGTAACATATTATCAGAGTTACAGACCCAAACAATGAATAATCTTAACATTGGAATATATCCCTAGTTTTCTTTTGTATTTTCATACAACAGAACCAACAAGAAAGGTAAGCAAAACCTCCAGGCATTGTATACTAGTATATTTATCATATATATTCATTTTATCTTTGGAATGTTTCTCGCTTTCTCATTGAATAAGAACTGATAACTTGATTAAAAATATGATGGTGTATTCCATGTAACTGCCAGTCTCAATCAGCAGCCTCATTTTCAACTATATTTCACTGAGTATATACCACAGTAGAAAAAGTCCCTGATGTTCAGGATATTAGCAGATGATAAAGATTCCTGATCATAAATATTGATGAAAAGCTCGTAGCGTGACAAAAAATGAAACCCACCCACATAATGTTTCATCATTTTTTGTCTGAAGAAATTCTGACTTGCTTTTTGCACATAGAACCAACACTCCATTTTGTAACTCCACAAGAAGTTTCAGGTGACTGGCTCACCTAGATGCACATTTATGAGCGTTACAAAGTGTGTCATCTATTCCTTTGCTGGCACAACTGGATCTTACACAAAAATTACACCCACATTTTGTAACATAATTTTGGAAATAAGTTATAATGATTTTATCAACAACAACTACATTATTTTGTGTTTTAATTGAATGGACTTTATTTCCCTGAAAGTACAAGCCAAAATCATTATTATTTACGAAGTTATGTTACAAAAGCTGGGTGGCATTTTTCGTGTAGAATCCATGTGTGTCTGCAAAGGAATAGATGACATTAAGAGCAAATATTGTAATGCTCATAAAATTTGACCCACTTGAGCTACAGAGTTGCTGTTGCATTATGTCTACTTTATATGTACCAAAGGACAAGTCTATTTGTTAATATACAAACAAGTTATTCAATGTAAGGTAGGTGTCATTTTTTGTGTCACCCTGTATTTTAGGAGGTGAACACTCCCAAAACACTAGGCGTATATGAAAGTAACAATGAATGCATTCAAGATATTATTGCTTTTCTACAACAACAACAACTTAACTCCAATCTTAAAGCGGTAGAGAAAGATGAAAACTGTAAAAAATGATTCATATCAGAATTAATTCTATTTTAGGTGAATACATGTTCATCTTTCCCTCAGGTATATTTCCCGCCCTTTAGGCTGAACATGAGTTGAAGATGTAGGAAATACAACCATACAAGTACACACCACAGCTGTTTCTACAAGTTGGTCAACCACCCAGTATGACACTTAATTTCATTATGCAACATCACATCTTTGCTCTATGATTAGTGTCCATGTAATTATGTCACCACCACGAAAGGGTGACATTGTTAAAGTTACCAATTTTTGTCACAAGTCTTGGATTCTGTAACAAACTGCTAAACTTGTTACCATTTGCAGATGGGAACTAATGAGAAGTTATGTCCAGATTAATTTGTAATTTTTTAATGTTAGGTTTTTCTGATAATTTTCAATTTCAATTTATTCATTTCACAAAATACATACAATAAAGTGACACAAAAATATTTGTATATTCCCACAGATGGAGTGATTAAATATAAGTATGTTACATTATGCAGTTTTGGGATCTGCCATTGCATGCCCTCAACAATAAGAAATACAAAATGTGCCATCTATACCATGGCATCAAGTTAGTGGACTGAAGGACTCTTTTTTGTAACATGGCATTAATTCAAGCAGTAGCAAGCTATAACTGAGAAAGTAAAGGTCAAACTGATTTGAAATTTAAAACAAAGTGAGGAATTCAAGATGAGATGTGTAAAGATTGCTTCAGAGGCAATATCAGGGTTCAAAACTTGACAGCCAATGGCAATTATTTTACTCTTCGCAATAAACTTGGAAAAACAAGTTGCCTATTGGACTGAAAGACAATATGTTAACTTGTAATGTGTGCAATGAGGTAGTGAGATTTTATCATGCTGATGATGCTTTGCCATACAGTTCCTGTGAGATTTTTTCATATACTTGACTTGAACATATTGAATTTGCATACCTTGAAATGAATCCATTTATGGTATCAAAGGCAACTTATAAGCACCAACACAATCAATAGCATTTTCCTGGAGACTGAGGTCTGTTTAATTTAACACTCGTCAAGTTATCACAAATATTATTATATTGTATTATACTTTATACTCCATTAATGTAAACAAACAAGTAATTTTCAAGAAAATGTATCTAATTTAATGATATCAAAATCAAAATGACAGTGTCCCTACGGGCAAATATAAGACTAATGTTCATAGGATATCATACATGTATGACTGAGATATCATACCATTATTACTGGCCTCCATGAAAATGTATAATCCCACCTTAAGAAGTGTGTTTCCCTGACTCCATCTTATTGTTGATTCAAAATGATCTAAATAGGTCTCAATTTCACTGGAACTAAAAGGGCTAAGATAGATTCATTTAGTGTTGTTTATTATCTGTTGTAGCTTATAATATCCAACACAGTCTTTCCTCTGCCATGTTTCTCACCAACCTTTTCATATGCTAATGGTAGGTCACGGAATTGGTATACACATTCTATCTGTGGTATGATCTGCAATATCAAAGCAGGGCATAAGTACAACTAGGAAACTGATAGAGAGCAATGTTTTCAAAGATTATGTCAGTCTTTTTATATATAATACGATGTTCATGTACTATTTATTCCTTGTATTAGGATATCCATTAATTAAACTCAATTGAATTTTCTAACAACAGAATCAACTCTTCTCAGTTTTTCACTTCCACATAGCTAGGATAGAATTTGAGCCAAATCCATCCACTGGTATTTGAATTATCAAAGATCATGTTTTTTATGAAACATGGTTGCCATTTTGAAATTCAGCTGTCATTTTTAGATTTCTTCTTTAGCAGAGCTCCTATGTCCCAAGGTATCAGCATATAGAATTTAATTCAAATCCGTCAACTGGTACTTGAGTTATCAAGGATTACATATTTAATGAAAAATGGCGGAGATTTCGATAAATAGCAGCCACCTTGAAAATTTCTTCTCAAGCAGAGCTCCCTTATCTCTATTCATCAGTATATAAAAGGACGATTCTCGGTTTGGAGAACGAAGTTCATCAATCTAAATGAGCATTATCCCTGCTTCGGACAAATTTGATTTTTTTACATAATATAGATTTGAATGTCCTCTTTTGAATAGTCATAATTTAATTTGGGTAATATTTCTAGATTTTTCTGAAAAAAATATTAGCGCAGTACACTGATGAACTTCTTTCCCCAAATCGAGACTTGTATTTTATTAAAATCGGTCTAATTGAGCGTTATCCCTGCTCCAGACCAATTTGATATTTTTACATCTTGTAGATTTAAATGTCCTCTTTTGAATATTCATAGTTTAATTTGGGTAATATTTCTATATTTTTCATGAAAAAAAATATTAGCCCAGGAGACTGTTCTCCAAACCGAGAATCGTCCTTTGAAGTAAATCCGTCAAATGGTATTTGAGTTATTAGATTACCTATTTTATGAAAAATGGCAGCCATCTTGAAAATGTCTTCTTGAGCAGAACTTCTTTGTCTCTAGGCATCAGCATATAGAATTAGAACCAAATCCATCAACTGGTATTTGAGTTATCAAAGGTTACGTTCTTTTATGAAAAATGGCGGCCATTTTGAAATTTAGCTGCCATCTTGGAAATCCCTTCTCAAGCAGAGCACCTATGTCCATAGGCATCAGCATGTAAAATTTGAACCAAATCCATTCAATGGTATTTGAGTTTTTTACAAAAATAGCCGCCATTTTGAAATATGGTGGCCATCTTGAAAACATTTTCTTGAGATATCTTCTTTTTTACCCAGGCAACAGCATATAAAATTTGAACCAAATCCATCGACTAGTATTTGAGTTATCAAAGATTATATTTTTTCCAAAAAATGGCCGCCATTTTGAATTTAGCAGCCATATTGAAAATTCCTTCTCAAGCGGAGGTCCTACACCCATAAAGCATAAGCCTATAAAATTTGAATGAAATCCGTCAACCAGTATTTGAGTTATTGCCCGGACACACAAATGGACGGACGAATGGACGGATGAACAAATTTTCTATATCCCCCTCGAACTTCGTTCAGTGGGATAATAAATGACCTATATAATCATCATATTTGTCTCCAATTTCATGTAAAACTGCACTGAAAGCTAACAGAAATCAAGTAGCACAGAATTAGTATTTTTTCTATTGCAGAATTCAGTAGTTTCAGTTTCAATTCACTGAGGTTTCAAAACTCATTATTCCTGCTTGCAGAAAACAAGTGAGTGAGTTGCTATCTGTTCCTTGAATTCAGATTTATTTTGTTCAGAAAATTTTTAGGTGTTTATATTTCCATACTTGAACACAATCATTCTCAACAGAACATCTGGATTGGGCTAGATATGTCATTACATGTACTTTCTTACATACCATTTCAGCCTCCACAAGGTCTTTCACTGTTCCCAAGGCTTTGCCATCTGGTATAAAGAAAGCCCAGCGATAATTGGTCTGCTTAGGGAGACTCTAAAACCACAAATGAAATATAATAATGGAAACAGTATATACAAATGAGGTATAGCCCAGGAGTTGATATTTTAGTGAGACTGTGGCATCAGGGGACAAGCACACTCTTCCACTCTTTATGCTTAAGTTAGAATAATAGCTTTTTATTATTGGGCATCTATACTCAACGGCCCCTCAAGTTTTCATTCCAGATCAACCCTCAATATTGTGCAGTCATTTCATTCTATCTTAAATCTGAATCTAGGCATCCATAAAAAACAAAATATAAAGTTGCAATTATTAAAAAGAGAGGGTGGTGGTCTTTATGTGACACATTTATATGACCCCTTTTTGCAAATCATAACGCAACTTGATAATTGGCTTACACCATGCTGCAACTGAACTGAATTCCATATGTTCCCAAAAATACAAAACATTGTCATGTAAATTAACCAAGTAAGTAATTAATTAAGTAAATCTACAGGGTGTCCCGAAAGTATGGCCCCCCCCCTAGGCAGACATATTCCAGTGTCCTCATAGTATGTCTCATATATCATTTTAAAGCTTATCCAAAGTTACATTGATCTGCCAAGTATCATGGTTTAACTCCCAAATGGGAAAAAGTTACAGTCATTTTAAAAGTTAGTGTTTTGTCAAAATAAAGTCCAATTTTACTCAACATTACTAGTCAATGAGTCCCCCCTTGCCCATGTTAACAGCACCAATTATTTTCAGATATGACCTTAAAAGCCCTTCAAATAGGGGTGTGGAATTTTATAACCCTCTTAAAACCTGTTAAGGCACTTTAGAAGAGTTTCCTTAGAGTTTCTACCCTCACCGTTCTCTTTTTCCAACTCAATATCCATCCGACCCGAAAAGAATTGCTGCTGTTACGATGGCCCGGAAGGACACATTGACTAGTGATTTGGTGTAAAATTGAACTTCATTTTGACCAAACACTAAATTTTGAAATGCCTGTAATTTTTCACATTTGAGAGTTGAACCATGATACTTGGTGAATCAATGTAACTTTGTGTGAGCTTTAAAATGATATATGATACATACTATGACGACACTGGTATATGTCTGCCTAGGGGGGGCCCCATACTTTCGGGACACCCTGTATATATTGTACATGTGTATGTTAAGGAAAAATATTTAAAAATATCAAAGTGGGAGAGAATCAAGAGTTCATTTACCGAAGTAAGTTTTGGAAGTATAGAAAAAGCAGTTTTAGCAAGGCCTCCCAGCAGCCCGTCTTTGTCTATATTGGTCAGCACTGGGGTAACCAAGGTAACAAACATGCCCCCTCTAGTGAGCAATGAGCTCTGGTATGATTCCATGTTACCAACAGTGTCAAGTATGAAGTCAAACCTGAAAATGAGAAACTAAAGTACATGTAGCAATTTGTTTAGAAATGAAAAATGTTTTACTTTATACATGTATATTATTTATTAATTAAGTACCAAATAAAATATGGAAAACATCCGATGAACCTCAAAATAAAGCATCAATTTTACATTAAAGGAATTAAAAAGAAAAGAGAGTAAATAATGGAAGAAATCTTTTTAAAAAGTTTGCCAATGTTTCCCTTACATGTACATGTTACAGAAATATCCAAATTCATTAGAATTGAAAAGGTGGTTGTCTGAGATTATTATTGCCAGATACGCTTAAAAATTATCCTAGGTACTAGAATTATCAATTCCAAATGCCAAAAACATGTCATATTCGTTGGAGTTTTTGAAAATAATTATGAAAATAGTCACCTTCCAGTTTCTTTTAATGATGATTCAACTCCAACAGTTTTGTAGTCAATGACCTCATCTGCACCAAGGTCAGTAACCATAGCAACTGCATCAGTAGCACATGTTGTAACCACTTCAGCACCCCAAGCTTTTAATAACTTAATAAAAACAGGAACTAATCATTCATTTTTTATTTGGACTACCAGTAAAGGATGAGTATGGGAATTAGTCTGGGTATCGACTTAGAAAATATTAAATTGTAATGTCTGAAAAACCAACTCAATCACACATATTATTAAACTTCAATATCTTATCCTTCTTCTGAGATTACAAAAATATCAATTTGTATCACAATTGATGAAGAATATTGGCATCAAAGACAGTGCATATCACTTTGTCGGAATTGAAAAAAATCAATGGCAAATATTAAATGAATTATTTATGCAAAAAGTTTGAAACATATCTTCCAAAACATTGGTTACTTTCTTTGTATAGACATTGAATGGTATTTCTGGATAAGTGAATTGGTGTATATCTGGGTAATCAAGGGATTATAGTCACTCGAAGTTACTGAGCATCCAGTTTTGAGACTTCAATTGTGTTGGTGATGTTTCACATATTTCAGTTTATAATCTCTATACATGACCCTGGTGATGAAGAGTCAGAATCAGTCAAAAAACCTTAACCGGAAAACTGTGCTCATTGTGAAGACTAAAAGTGAAGCAACTTTTTTCTGATATTTCTTACATCAAATGGCAACCATCTTGTTTTCCCCCTTCAAATTAAACTGGCGGGAAATTCAAAAATTTGAAAAATATTTAAATCCTTAAATATATTTCAAAAATATGATTTTCTTTTTAATTCTTCATGGGTCTTAAGTTATTTCTTCTTTGTATGTCATACATGTTGCCATTGGTGTTTTTTTCTATGATAATGACTATTTTTTTTGTTTGTTAAGATACTTACTCTGACTCTCAGCAAGGGGTTAATTATTCATCAAAACTCGTGATAAAGTAAATATACTTATCAAATATAACTAGGCAGTAATAAAAACCATATTTCACATACATTTGACTGAGGAATCAAAAGGGCATATACCCGGACACATCCTTTGTTTTTTCCATATTTTTGCAAAATTTTAAACATCTCCATGTGGCGTAGGAACAATGTGCGCCAAGACGCCAATGCGTAATGTTGAAAAGGTAGAATAAAAAAGCTTATTAATTTCCCTATGTTCTTTTGTCATATTCCCTCATTGTTAATAGAAATGTTTTTGGACAACATGTAATATTTACTCCTGGTGGTTCTTTCTGGGCAGATGGACGGACGGACAGACGGACAAGTGAGTGATTGCAAAAGCTCACCATGTGAGCTAATAAGCTACTATATTTCTTCCATTGTCAATATTTTTTCAAACTAACAAAATTCATATAGACTTTGGCCTTAAATATAGTTATCAACTGAGAAGACCACCTTAAAGTGTGTTCTTTTTCTTGGAATATTATCTTTATTCAGTACTCTGGTACTTACTTGTATTGCAAATGTCCCAATGCCACCTGAGCCTCCATTCACAAGTACCCTAAAAAGAACTACATGTTGTAAGTTTCTTAATTGGATGAAAAAATCATATCTTTAGGTCTTTACATTTACATAAATTGTTGAGTTAGATAAGCTATTTCAATTGACCTCCATGTTTATATTCCAAAGTATTGTAATACCTTGATTGACTGGCTTTTTGTTGAGTGAAATTTCCAAAAGTACAGATTGCTGACCATGTGGTTGCAGCAACATAGGGTAAACTGGCAGCTTGCTGGTGGCTTATATTGCTGGGCTTTTTGGATATCTGAAACAAGTATCTGAGACAAATAATATGAAGTCTGAAATTATATATCCAATTATCTTACATTCATTGGAAATGACAAAATGAATCTTTTAAATTGACAAATTTACGCCTACTTGACATAACAAAGTATATATCTGGTATTGTTGAACAACATGTTAGATTCAACTGAATGACTTGCGGTAAAGTATTTAATGTGGTTACCTCACGCTGTGATGCAATGGTATATTGTGAATGTGAACCTGGTTTCTCAACTCCTAAGGCTCCCCAAACCTAAAAAATAAAAATATAACAATGAAGCATACTCGTTTAACATCATAGTCACATAGATATAATAATGCATTATGCAAGTGTGTACATTAAAGTCCATAACATTTTTAAAAAATAAACAAAACTGCATAAATGTGACTTGTCCAGAGCAAATGATGCTTATTACCTACATGAATTAAAATATATTACACTGTAGATTTGTATATATACATGTAAATATATACTAGTATCTGCAACACTCATATGTAGTTCTCCCTTTTTTTAAAAAAAATTTAAAAAAAACATGTATGAATAATCTTGAATAATCTGAATATTCAAGCATGTACCTGATCCCCTGGTTTAAACCTGTGAACTCCCCTGCCTGACTGTATGACAACTCCAGAGAAATCCCGTCCAAGAATCAAAGGAAATTCAGATGCAACTTGTAACTGACTGAATATCCCACGGAGAGTATTTATCACATTTGACCCATATCCACCTAAATAAAATGTACGTAAATAGTATGAGCAAATACCATTCTAATTCTATTTTTGAACATTAAGGTTTATATTATTTTCTATTAAAATTCTATCACTGTAGAATTACATATCTGCTTTAAGTAGATGCGGAATGAAAACATTTTTGAATATTGCTATACCTGCACATGTTATTTTACACCAAATTGAGCATTTCGGTGATAATTTAAGAGTTCAAAGGCATAATTCAATATTTGTGATCTTATAAAGTCTAATGTAACCATACTTTGAAGAGATCTCTCAGTAAAAGCGAATTCCTGCTCTAGGCAGCCATTTTGAATTTTCTGAGGCACAATTCAGAAAAAACAATACCATAATTGGGATCTACTCTAAAATTACTTCAATTTGAGTACTAGCATAATAAAGCCATACTACTTGAGAGCTCAGCCATACTGAAGAAATTAGAAAATTATTGCAAAATTCAACATTATGTGCCCTTTTTGAATTTTACGAGGCCCAAATTAGAAAACCAATACAATATTTGCAATCTGCTCTATATTGCCTTTCATTTGAGTATAATAGAGCTATACTTCAGAAAAATCTCAAAATGGACAAAGGAGGAGGGGAATTATCGCAACAGACTTTGGAAAGTCATATGTTGGTTTTTGGCTATTTTCTGAGGATTTAAACAGGTGCATATATTAGGCCAATGCATTATCTCCAGGAAAAGCACTCATAGAGATGATAAAATAATTTAGACTTTGAGACAGGGGAGATGCAAACAACCCACCCACCACATGTTTTTCTGAAATGTTGCCTTGCTTTTCAACCCCTTCCACCCTGCTTTTTCAATTTTTGTTTTTTTGTAAAAATCAAGGGAATTCTCACATGCCTTCATACTTTTTATTTTTTGTACCAGAAAATAGCATGTGTAGGTATAGCAATTTTTTCAAAAATATTTGCATTCCACCATCATTTTAGATGGATTAACTTAGCCTTTTGCAGATTACTAACATAGACCATAAAACAGTAAAATAAAGTTGACACTGTCACTGTGTATTGAATCCATTTATATATTTAGATTGTACACAAATGACATTTGTATCTTTCAGATTATTTAGTGTTTAGTGCAATAAGCCTGTGGCCTCTTGTTACTTGAGGTCCATCCTCCATGTTATTTTTTTCAGAATTAACATGGCAGAGAAGCATCAAAATATCCCGGGCAAAATATGAGAGGTTTAGTAGCCAATTGAGAAGCAATCCAAGATATGCAAATGCCATTCATGTATAGGATAAATATGTTTTTCAACACATTTTTGCACAATGGTCTTTATATTTCTTTTTTAGGTTCAACTGGTTGCTTTGAAGCAACTGTATGTATGATGAGATTCCCATTACTATTATATGGGAGAAGAACAGATCAAATAATATCAAATTCAAAAGCCACCTCTCATGCCTACATCGATTGGGTTGACACTTGCTGCATGTATCTTTATCAGGATATCATCTGGATTCGAGATAGGTGGCACTCTACATGTGTTAGAAAAGGATAGTTGTTCATTGCCTCCATATTTGTGAATTTGCCATGCAGCCATTTTACCACTTGTCTTGGACTCTGTATGCTGATATCTTTTATTTCCATACTGTCCATATGGATAATAAGGTGTCGATTTTGGTCGAAGTACAACTGGCAAGAAAAATTGTTTTTGATTTGATAAAAATGTTGAATTTCTGATTTTTATATTTGAAGTCCACTTAGCGCCATTTATATTGCTCCGAATCGTGTTATTACACATAAAACAGCTTCTCATTGTATTGGTTTGCATTCTAACAATCACAAGGTATGTGAAGACCTGATAGTAGACTAGTGGAAAAGAGACCTGTCAGATATTACAAAATACTTGAACAGATACTCGTTAGAAATTTAGCCACATCCGGTTATAAAACATTTTTGAATAAAAGAGGGCAGGGCAATCAATGCAATCTCCTAGAATTCCTTCAAAGCAACGAATGAATGAAAACAGCATTTATATTATTCAAAAGCGTTGAATATCAATGATTTCCAGCTGTCTGAAGTTTGGAAAATAAAAATACATGGGTATTAATCCATAAATTATCTTTAAATATAACTTGAGAAATATTCGTTAGGATCATATGGTGTAATCTTAGAGTCAATGAAACGTTTTGTAGTATAGACGGACTACCCCCATAGATGTGGGGTTATTTTGAGGTTTTTTGATATTTAGGACATTTGTTTCTCAAAATTAAGTTATTTTGAGAAACAAATGTCCTAAATATAAAAAAACCTCAAAATAACCCCACATTTATGGGGGTAAGACGGACGGACATTGGACGGTTAAGAATATGATGTTTGCAAAAAATTTCAATGGATATGCCCTTCAGCCAAAGGATTCTTAATGACTGGAACTTATAACAACATTCATCATCATACAATCTCAATCCCTGAAGACTTTTTAAATGAACCCCGACAAGCATTGGGAGGGTTAGCCATTTTATGATATGAAGATGAGGGCAACTACAGGATCATCATGATACCATTGGCATAACATCTCATTTCTTCTCACCCCTAAGATGTTTCATGTGAAACAGAAAAATGCTATGAGTATCAGAATGCTACAGGATCATTATCCTACAAGTCTTCTTATCCTGATGGGCCTACCTGATAACCGAAATGCATGAAAAAACCACCTTGTGATCCCCTTGTGATCTGAGGTGGAATGCACCTGGGAATTCACAAGGAGTTTGAAGGAGGGTTTGGGGGAAATGATCCTTGTCCTTGAACCCTTATTTATCTCAACATTATTATTAATTCCATCCCCGGTTCCATCTTGCGCGGGGCTTAAACGGGGCTTCCGTAAAGACCGACCTTACCGATCGGTGTAGTACGTTTTTGCATGCATTTTCATCGTGAAATTGGTTAAACCTCGTTTTAAAGGCAGGCCTAGTAGTAGTATCTAGCAAAGGTGACACTATTATTAGGCCCTATGTTTATTTATCCATCATTTTTGATGAGTGCATGTTTCTTTAAATTTAGTAACATATGAATTAAATATTTTAAATTATACACTGCTGTGAGTCAAGAATTTTTAGGAGATTATGATATATCATGTAACAAATTTGTGTTGTGTTATTTCGTCAGCTCAGAAGGATTACTATCAGTTCCAGGGGCGTAGCCGGGGGGGGGGGGTATTTTTTTACAAAAATTGATGCAACTTCCTTCAAATTTGAGCTACAACCTTCAAATAAAAAGCATTTTAAAGCCCTTTTCTTCTTCTATCTCTGGTTTTATTTTTATTGGTTATGAGGGGGGGGGGTGCGATCGCACCCATCGCACCCACTGGCTATGAGTTCACATGTGCCTCAAGTGTTTTGGGCGCATATATTAGGAAGTTTAAGCTTGCAAATCGAAACACCAACCTTGAACCTATACGTATGACCAATCGCCCATACAAAATGCATCGCTTAAATATTTTCCGTTCACATTTAGGTTGTGAAAGACATTGCAAGCTTAAACTCCCTATTGTACTTTTTAAATACAAGTTGTTACAATTTGAATTTTATTGTCATTTAGTCATCTGAACTTCGTCAAATAGAGTGCTCTTTACAAAATTGTTTCAATTTTTATTTTGAGCTCATATCGTCCTTTCCCATAGGACAAATTCAAGCATATGTAGCACTGGCGGATCTGGGGGGGGGGGGCCCAGGGGCCCGCCCCCCCCCCCCCCTTGGGTGGGCCCAGAAAAAAAAATTTGTGCCCAAAAAAATTTTGAGCCAAAAAAAGGCCTAAAGGCCCCAAAAAGTAGGCCTTTTTGGTCATAAATGGGCCTTCTAAGGCCTTATTTTTTAATTTAGGCCAAATTTTGAAGAAAATGGGCCTCAAAATTTCAAAATTTGGGCCCACTTTTGGGTTTGAGGGGCCCAAATTTTTTTAGACTAAAAGATCTGATTCTGCCCCACGACCTTGTAAACCCGACTTGTAAAGTTTATCTTGTCATTGGACTCTTATTTAGCTTCAATTTCTTTCTCTATTTGCAACCATTCTTTGAGTAGAATGAGACCGCTCGTGCGGATCCCGGGATGCGGACCCAACTGTGGAGAGTGCTGGTCAGTAGTGTCTTTTAGATCCGACTAAAAAGTTGTCAATGTTTTTCACTCCAATTCAAAGACTAATGCAGGGGCGGATCTGGGAACCAACAAGGGGGGGGGGCAAATTTCCAGTCTGAGAAAAAAAGTTCAGTCCTAAAACCTAAAGGTGGACCCAAATTTTGAATTCTTGAGGCCCATTTTCTTCAACTTTGGCCTAAAACTAAAAAATAAGGCCTTGAGGCCCAGTAATGACCAAAAAGGCCCACTTTTTTGGGCCCAATTTTTTCTGGGCCCACCCCCTAGATCCGCCAGTGGTGTATATTAACCTAGTACTGATTTCAAGTTACCCTCAGCAAATTAGGTTTGCCAATGCCAAGCCCGGGAAATGGAAATAGTTCTTACATTAAATCATATGAATGTAGTATTTCTGAATTGCATTTGATTTTTAACAGAGAAAAGGTTCAGACCATTTAAAAATTTAAAATTCGCGCCAGAATGAATACTTCTCAGAGGGGTTCTCATATTGATGAGCAATGATTGACGCATGGGCAAAACCCCACCCTAATTGTCAGCCATATTGGATTGAACTGAATATTTACCGGAGATTTTGAATGATCGGTAAGTACAGTATTCGTCACTGCTTTGACATGTTATGTGATTGTATTGAAAGAAACTATCTATATGTTTTTAACCAAGGGCCACATTAAGTATATGCTATTTGTCTTGATGGGTAAATAACAACTTTTTACCCACACCGGTGCCAAAATTAACCGCCATTTTTTTTCGGTCGGCACTTGCAGCTCTTATCAGAAGAACTTTGCCCTTTCAGTCTTTATCCCGACATTCACAGTTCTCACCGGACGTTTGTATCGAAATTCTAGGTAAATCTCTTTGACTTGGACAAATTTTGATGACTTCAATCTTCAGAATAAATGAATGAACACTGAAACACACACCTGTTGGATTTTTACCTGTAAAACTGGTGGAATGCAAAGCAACGCCCATTTTTATGACTCAAGCTTTTTATATAGTTTTAAAAGGAAGATAAATAGAAAAAGGAGTCACTCATCATCTTCTTTTTAAAGAACAAAAAGGTGCACTCTGAAATATTACATGGTTATCATCGAAAAGTACAACCAGGAAGTGAACAGTTGATAAGTTTTTCTTTCAAAAAAGTTTTTCAGATTGGAGAAGTATTCTAATACAGTTTATAATAGTTAACATTTTCATTTGCAGCTACACACATCTGGTAGCGGAGGACATTATATATACACTACCAGCATTTTGCAGGGAAAGAAACAACAAAATGCCGAAACCAGTAAGTGGATCTTTTTTGCTACGTGTTTACAAAACTTCAGTTCCTTTACATATGAGGGTTAAAATGAAGTTGCTCGGAACATTTGTCATTTGTCAATACCTTAGGGCATTATTGTTTAAGTTGTATTGTCTTTATGGTGAAACTTTCAGCATACGTTTACATGTTCTAAAGCATAAATTCAGATTTCAAAATTTTACAAAACAAAATTTCTTTCTAATGATGGGCAATAAATAGCTTTTGATTTTACATATCGGACATTACTGATGAAATGTCAATTCAATTCAGTAAATTATAAGAAATTTAATGTCTGAATGATATCAGTATTCATGAATCAGTTAAACCTACTTGAATTAACTCGAAAAGCTAAACCAGTACAGCATACAAGTGTTACCAAGTGAATACCTGACTTCCTTTCATTAGGGCAATTGTCAGATAATTAAATTAAATGAACAATCTAAGCAAAAGTAAAATGTTATTTAAAGATCCATTGAAATGCTCACTATGATGGCTGTTTATGTGCGTCTTAATTTACTATGGTGATTTTAGTTACTGAAAACCAAGCCACAATGTCAATAATGCTATGATAATACTTGTAGGTACAGAAAGATACTGATATATTGGCATTTCAATATGATTTTTGAATAAATACAATAATTATGATCTGAACTCACAATGTCATTTATTCCCAATATTTTACATTTATAAGTGTTCATTTGAATGAATATTTAGTGAAATCTCAATTATATGTCACTTAGCCCTCATATAAGGGTTAAGTGCCAATGGAAGTTCTCTGGTAGTCCTCTGCGGTATTACCGGAAGAACCGTTACAGTGGCATTCTGGCCTAATTTCGACACTGAAATTCCAATAATGGATACAGGAATATCTAGAGAATCAATTAAACTTACCAGAAATCGCAAGATGAAATGTTTAACATCGATAAAAAGTGAAGTTAAACTTTTCACATCGGAAATATTTACATTTTGTTTTTGTCTCCTTTTTGAAGAGTTAGGGGCACCATCTGACTTGAACTGTTGTGACTTTTTCTTTTGGAGCTATCTCAGGAGCACCATTTCTCCACCAGATATTGCAAAACTTTGAGAAAGAATCGCCAATAAGCAGCTTTTCTCCACTTTAACCCACAGATGACTCAGGGCTGAACCATGCATGACATGGAGAGATGAGCGCATCTTTATTTGCAAAGAAGTGGTGACAATTTGGTAGTGTAAGAGGTGTAGGATGTATTCTTGCAAAAGTATGAGTATGAATACTTTACTGTCTATGTCACACCTGCCACACCTTCTTCAAATAGCCCCTATGTCCCATGCATTGTTTAAAACTTGGGTCCGAGCTGAATTTTGCCCCACTTTGCGAAATTAATGATTATTCGGCCAGCTATGACTCCCTGTGAATGAATGACATTCCATTGCAAAGAGGAGTAATTTGGCTTTTTGGTACATTGAATGAACAGGATCCAGTCATCATTGTTTTTATGTTTTCTTCCAATATTGCATTGGCCCCTGTATACTGACTTTCGCAATGTTTATAAATTGGTCCCAAGCTAATTTTGGCCCACTTTGCAAAAGGAATGATTACTCGCCCAACCATGGCCCAATATCAACGAATGATATACCATTGGAAAGGGGAGACACATGGCTTTATGGTACATTGAATGAAATCAATGCTGTTATCACTGGTTTTGTGCCTTTCCGAGATAATCTCTGTTGCGTTTTTTTATACGCACTGTATAGGATTGTGACAAAATTCATAATCAGTCTCGGATGAACAGAAAAACCCAGTATTTGGTAATGATAAGGTATTGATCAGCAGAAATTCCGGCACCAGTTTTTATTACAATTTAGTACTCTGCGCTAGAGTGGAATATTTCTTTATTCTGGCACAGAGACCTATGTTTGGATGGTCCATCACTGAACAAGTTTTAAACAACCCAGCCCTAGATTAGGGCCTTTGCACACTCCCACACATAAGCTTACCAAAGGTGCAATGTACAGTTCTAACATTCTTATAGTTATATATTAACCATCAAATGTCTAATTTGAATCTTGTCAAGTACTGGAGTATATATAACTGACCTGACTTGAACAGGAGGTTCACTACCAGGATTCATCGGTGAACTACCATCTTGTTTCATATTTGTATCCTCCTTTGTATTTTTGATTTGCATTTAGTAAAGTGTGAGCAGTTAGTGTCTGTAACATATTGTTACACTTTTATAACAATTTTCATGTGCTGACAATTTGTCATGATAATGCCTCATTCATATAATGTACTGTCTGTCAGTTATCATTTTGAATATGGTTTGCACAGTATTGCTCATTATCATTATCCCACCGAACTAAGTTCGAGGGGGATATAGGAAAGCAGTCAATTCGTCCAACTGTCTGTTTGTCCGGGTGATAACTCAAATACCTGTTGACAGATTTGATTAAAATTTTATAGGCTTATGCCTTATGGTGATAGAACCTCTGCTCTAGAAGGAATTTTCAATATGGTCGCTTAATTCAAAATGGCCGCCATTTTTCATAAAAATGTAATCTTTGATTACTCAAATACTAGTTGGTCAAATTTTATACGCTGATGCCTAGGGACAAAGGAGCTACCTTGAAGAAGAGATTTTCAAAATGGCTACTAAATATCAGAATGGTTGCCATTTTCGTAAAAAATGTAATCTTTGATAACTCAAATACCAGTGAATGGATTTGGTTCAAATTTTATATGATGATGCCTAGGAATTAAGGAGCTAGCTACGCTGAAGAAGAGATTTTTAGAATGGCTGTTAAATACCAAAATGTTGGCCATTTTTCGTAAAAAAAACTTAATCTTTGATAATTCAAATTCTAGTCGAAGGATTTGGTTCAAATTTTATATGCTGATGCCTAGGGACAAAGAAGCTACCTTGAGAAGAAATTTTCAAAATGGAGGCCATTTTTGTAAAAAAAATTTATCTTTGATAACTCAAATAGCAGGATTTTTTTGAAAGTTTATATGCTGATACCTAGGGACACAGTAGCTCTGTTCGAGAAAGATTTCAAAGGCTGAATTTCAAAATAGCTGCCATTTTTCATAAAAAAGGAATGTAATCTTTGATTACTCAAATGCTAATTATTAGATATGATTTACATTTTACATTTTGATGCCTATGGAAAAACAAACTCTGCTCAAGAAAGAATTTTCAAGATGGCCACTAATAAGCAAAATATGTTTTGTTCGGTGGGATTTGCTACTCCGTGGAGTTGCTGTTTTTCTAGTTGAATACAGGCCTGAGGTCAGTCATCAATATAGCCTGAGCTTGCAAGGGCTGTATTGATGACAGACTGGAGGCATCTATCCGATGATACAGTCATGGTTATTTCACATACCTAAACCATATTTTACATTGCATTCTTATTTAAGATAATTGGTAGAAATGCCTGAAATATGACAAAAATGGAGCATTTACGTGATTCAATTGAAATTTGACAGAATTTTACCATTCCCGATATTTATCCGTGTGATACGTCCAACTATTTGAATGGATGTTACTCTAATTAATCAAATGATATTTGTGATGAATTAATTAAATTATATGAATTTCATTGTTATACCAATAGTTCAAGCGATTAATTTGTAAATTTCAATTAATCATCAGTCCCAGATTACAGTTCCTGGGATTCTCCTTTGGAGATTCCCTTTATATCAAAAGTTTGGTGGCTAAACAGGTATATATAGCCAACCTTCAGCTCCATTGACTCCCATACTAATGCTTCCTAAATGTAGTACATGTATATATGAAGTACTACAGACTAGAGATAATATGTCTATCCTGAAGTGCAGTTATTGTGTGGGACATGTTGTAATTAAGATTTATAGAGTACATGTATATAGGTTATCTCATCCTTCTCCTGTGTTTTATTACCTTCAATGTAGAGTAGGCTATGTGGGGTTGGTGAAAGATATAATATAGAATTAACATGATGTGAGAAAGAAGTTACCATTTTCACCACCAGGTGGCTGATTCGGGTAGATAAGATTGCATATTACCCTCATGTATCTGATAGTTGTGCAAATCAAAAGATGTCCAGTAAAAGAAGATATTATCTGCCCAATACAAGAAAAGATCACTTTTTGTAATTTTATAACATGGGGTCTACTTTTTTCTGTGAAACTAATACATAACAGTATGGAACTATCTTATATTTGATCTCCTATTTGACTCCATATTATATTGACTATTAACCAGATTTTACCACAACAGATATTGTAGTTTTCCACCAAATACAATGGGATGTTATAATAAGGCGCAGAGTCTAGTTTGCTTCAGTTCAGCTCATCCACTTATAATGCAGCTAGAAGGATCAATGCTTGCATTTTGATTTATTGAATATGGGCAATATGGTTACTCATGAAGACAAAGCTCTCTTTTGAGAAGCAAAGTCTAACTAATGCAAAGGGTAAATAAGGAGTTGAACAGTTCAGCTCATCCACTTATAATGCAGCTAGAAGGATCAATGCTTGCATTTTGATTTATTGAATATGGGCAATATGGTTACTCATGAAGACAAAGCTCTCTTTTGAGAAGCAAAGTCTAACTAATGCAAAGGGTAAATAAGGAGTTGAACAGTTCAGCTCATCCACTTATAATGCAGCTAGAAGGATCAATGCTTGCATTTTGATTTATTGAATATAGGCAATTAATCAGACCTGAGAACTGAACTAATCTGCCATCCCATTGACTTTTCTAATTTAATTATTGTTAGTAGATTAAACATAATATGATACAAATCATACTGATTTTCATTTATTTATTTATTATCTTATACTCTTTTACCTGTTTGATTTTCAATGAAAACTTCATACCTTGATAATACAATATGATTATCTAGAGATTATCCTAAACCTTTACTTTATATAAACTTTTTTCTTAAAACTTTGGAACTTTGATATTAAAGTTCAGTAGATAATATTATATTTGTTTGAAGGAATCATTTCCAAATTTGGTTAG